TAGGTCTCGTCCTAAAGCATGATGCTACCAAGCTGGGAGGGTAAAGGCTATTGCATGCTTCCTCCAAACCATGAGGTCAGCCATGCATCTTCTCAAACTGCCGCTAACCCATCATTAGACAGCTCAACACACTTAGAGGAGGACGCTAATCGCCAATTCTGTTACGTCAGCAAACAGACACCCTCGTTGGCTAGCATCATTCTGAATAATGGGAGAGAAGGAGGACCATTCTACCCACCCAGAGAGAGAGAGAGAGACCAATTTTTAAGGTTTGAAGATACATTACATTCACCTTCCCAGAGGCAAGGTACATATTTGTACCTTTTATAAACTTTTTTAATAGAAAAATAAAAAGCCTGGAGTCAAGACACCGTGCATAGAGTCAGTGCAACCAATTATATTCCCTAACTAAAGGTGCTGAAGACATACAACTGGAGATACTACCAGTGACAAATGTTTGCACCCTGAAATATATAATTTAGTACCTATTTAGTGCAATAATATAATACCTAATATATTGTTTGTTTGCTGGTAAATGTATAAAATATCTGTAGATGATTCCCATAATAAAGCTGTGTAGAATCAAATATGAAGCTGTTTATTTGCTGAATTTAACATATTGGGGAAAAAACATAAAATGTGGCCTGTGCAAAAGTTAAAGCACATTTCATATTTGATTTTTCATTTTTTTTTGCCAAATGCTAAATTCAGCAAATAAACAGAAATTGTGCACCACCCTTTGCAGAAAAAAAAGTTCATATTTAAGCTTGTTTCCTGTAGTTGATATGTCACTTAGAAAATCAACATATAATTTAACTGGAGGTGTTCAAACATTTGCATATGACTGTATTAACATGTGGCACTATCCATATATATATATGGATTCACGTTAGAGTCTGCAGTATATAAAGCGAGATATATATGTATATATGTAAGCTCAAGCTCCACTGGGTTAAGTGAAAGGTACTTCAAGAAACTGCCAACAAAACCCTGGCATCCCTGAGACAGAGAGACAGCCTATTGTTCTGAAACTGGGGTAAGACAACCTTCTTCCTGAAGAGCAGCAGCCATGCAGGCTTATTCTGGAGTACTACAAAAGGAGTGTAGGAGTTACTCCAATACACTGATCCAGGGCCTGCGCTCTAAAGTGTAATTACGACAGGAGAACATACAGCACAGGGCCCAGGTTAGCAGCACTGACGCATGACTGTTACCAACAGCACAACGCCTACACACGATTAAACTCCAGACCAGACTCTTAATTCCACTCCTTAAATTCTCTGCCTCTGCCAGGCCTCACAGCCAACTGGGCCACTGACGGGAGTTTAGAAATGAATCAGCTTGTCAATAATCCTTGGGTCGACTCAGGCCCTCTTGACAATATTATTTCTCCTCAGTGCCAATAACGCAGGTACACGAGGGAGATAAATGTCCATTATTCTCTTTAATGAGCATCAATAAGCTTCGTGAACCGCATTCGTGAGCTCCCAAGGTCTTTGCTGAAGCAGCACACAAGATACGCAGACTATATTCACACCACGAATGTAACAGCAAGTCGAAAGCACATTAGGCAAGCCCCTCCCAAAGGGACGGTTTTAACACAGTCTCAATGTGCCATGTTGAGTTGGAAGGGAAACTGCACCCAAAAAAAAATAATGTATGTGTTTTTCACACCTCACATTTTCTGGCACTTTCAGAGGTGTGTATGACATGATGGCTTAAGCCAGCATTGTTTTGGGCACCAAGGAAGCAAATCCTGTGATGTCACTTGGATATGTCAGGCTAGGATTGGTGGAGACTGAGCCAGATCTTGATTCGCTGTAATTTTCAGTGAAAAGACTTCTTGGGACACTGACAGCACTACGGTCCAGCTGTCCAGATGGATACAAATTCTGCACTGGGCAACGTCTATAGTGATAATGGCCTGCAATCTCCTCTAGAGATGGGACAGAATGAAAATTCCTGATCAAGATATAAGTCAGCAAAATCATCATGCTGTTATTGCAGTTTTGTTAAAATATATGAAAAATGTTTTTAGAAAAACACTGCATGTTGAATTCACTGCTGGCATTATATTAATTAACTTCATACTGAACAACTTGTATTTTCCAAAAAAACCTGACTATGAAATTATAACCAGCACCACTGCTGTATCCTGTTCAGATGTAAAAGTACGTAAACGTGTGTTTTCCTAGCATGTGCTTTGCAGGGAGGCTGTAGCAGGAGGCTATTAACTTTGCAGTATGACATTTTAAAAAGACAGTAATTATACAAGCTATGTTTAAATTTGAAATAGCATGATTAAGATGGAGTTGTATACTGAGGTATTTCATTAAAACCACTAACCATCCCATCTCTAACCATGTTTTCTTTTATAACATACAGGAACAGCTGAGACAACAAGGTTCACAAATGATCACAAATATTGCATATGTGTCATATGATGCCTTGGCCATTAGCCTCAGTTTCCAACAGAGAACATGTGTGTTCTTGTATTAGTCAGCATTCATTAGTGCTGGGTGATATATCATCTACACCGGTATACAGAGGAGCACCGTGACTGTTAGAGCTAGGCCAAAAACCCACCTACCTCTTTGATAACGCTAATTTCTGTAAAAGCCCCTAAGGGATTACAGTAGTATGTTAGTGCTGACCTGGCAGTGACTCACGTGGACGTTTTTTGGCCTTTCTAGATTAAACGCGAACATTTGAGGGTTGTGAATGACATTGTATGTTTTATTTGAAGCTTGTAGCAGACATATAGTTCACCTTGTAGCAGTTTTACAGTGACTCTTCAGTAAAGAGCCTTGGCATAGAGCTTCTGCTGTTTTCCATTTCTAACATCTGACTGAAATCAGCATCTGACTGTTCAGGTCAGCACTCATACTCACAGTCAGTCCCATATCAAGGACTTCCAGAAAGCCTAGAGTCACGTTTTTTATTACAATGTTTATAGTCCCATTTATAGGAAATCCAAATTATGCTGGTGGTTAATCTGACACATTAGGCCTTCAGTTCAGCTCCTGATGTCCTAAGCAATGGGAGAGCTTGCTTGACTGTATCTACTTGATACCACACGGAAAAAAAAATCCTGACTGGATAATTTTCTACTGGGCATTTCAAGAATTTAACCCTTTCGTTTCCAACCAAAACAATGAAATAAGATTATTACTACAATGCTTGCATAGTTCAAATACAAGCATGATGATCACATTAATAAAACTGAACTAAATGTATTTGTTATTTCACAGAAATGATTAGGCCAAGAAGGCCCTGAGAGCTCCCCACTGTTGGTATATCTGTATTAGTATCACACAACAATACTGATTTTCAGCTTTAGTGATTATTGAAAATTCACTTTGATGTTTACAGTACTGTCTAAAGTTTCCTTTGGTCTTCCTTTAAGAAAAGCAGAACAGAACAAAACAGTCCCAAACAAGCTGTATCAGGACTTTATAAGACTGTGTATAATAAGACGAGGCTGAGGACAGCACGTCTTCATAAAAACAGGGAGAACCTGGCGCTCGTCCACTAGTTGGCACACTCTTCTATAAATGACCAGAGCCTGAAACCACTTGGTTTCACGCAGTGTTGTTAAACATTCTCATTTCTAAGGTCCAGTGTGAGCGTCCTTGCTGCACGCGCTATAACATATTCCACTACATTCACACATCTCAGGGGCCTTCCAACACAAAATATCACAGTCAATACACTGACTAATACAAAAGGGATCCATCCAGCACATCTTTTCAAAAAAGCTACTGCCTTTATGTTGATGCCTTGTCTGTTATATTAATGGAGGGAAATACACTTGACACAGCACTTAATTGAGTGACAGGTGCAGTTTGCACACAGGAATAATAATCAGGTATCACTTGATTATTATTCAAATTCCCACTCCACCTGGCCTGTGCAAACACATCTTTATCATCTCCACACTGGTGAACTAATGACCACCAATAGCAGAAAACCAGACTATCACAGAGAATAGAAACAAATATATTACAACATTAATGATTTATTAATTATGAAAAGTATTATGAAAATCAGTCAAAATAGCGAAAATAGTTACTGTCATGGTTTTGTATGATGATGATGATGTTTAATATTAATAATGATGATTATTAGTATTAATATTAATGTTAATATTAAGAATAATTATCATAATCAGTACTTGTATTGCATATTAAAGTACAATGGAAAAAAGTGTGTGACTCATAAGTTTCCCTTATGAAAACGGTCCAAATTTATTTTGGCCCTTGAATTTTCTGATGACTAATAACAATTAGTGAAAATAGTTATAATTATTATTATGATTAGTATTATTATCATCATGTTATTATATTGTTATTATTCACACTACTGTTGTTGGTCATAATAATAATAAGCCAACGTCATCTTAATCATAATAATAATGATAATATAATAATAATAATAATAATAATAATAATAGCCTTCATAACGTTAACCCCCCCCCCCAAAAAAAAAAATATTTATTAATTTATATGTTTATTTTTTCTCTATTTTTAGTTTCATTATTTGAGCTCAGCAGCCGCCCTTTACGCTGTATGAAAATTTTATGCAGAATGGACCAATAAGATGCTCCAAAATTGCCTGGAATGAAATTGATTTACATGAACTTATATTAAAATCTAAGACTATTTTGATCTTCTCCTGTGAAGTTACCATTTTGCAGACACTTGTTTTTATTTACTTTATTTTTTTACATCGACGATAATCATCATCACCGTCATCATCATCGTCATCACCATGATAACCCCTAAAGCCTATATAGCTATGAATGAACTATATATGTGGGGGGTTTCATTCCAACCTGCTGTATATCTGTAACAAGAACAGGTCTGAAAAGAGTAACAGCTGATTTATAACAGCACTTTCGCTCAGTGGACAGTGTGTATTAGTTAACGCGGCCTCTGTAATGTACATAACTGCGTCTGTAAGTGATGTCTCTATGTCTCTGATGTCTCCGCTGCACTTACTCTGGCTCTCGAATTTCCTGATGATGGTGTCCAGGAAGGTGTTCTGGGGCGCCACGTGCCCCCTCCTCACCGGCATCCTCACTCACAGCATCACACACACTCATACACTCTCGCACTCTCAGTCCGGATCTCCCGCTTCTCCCTCACAGTCAGTCAGTCAGTGACTCCACGGCCCGTTTAGCTCCTGCTGCTCCGCCTTTATTTACTCCAGCACAGTCCGCTGGGGCCAGAGCCTCACCATCACTTCTACAGCTCCACTCCTCCTCCTCCTGTCCGCTCCTCTCTGCTCCTCCTCCTCTTCTCCTCCAGCCGCACGCTCTCCTCGTGCGTACGGTAGAGCCTCCTCGCGCGCGCCTCCCTCACAGCGGAGAGAAGAGCACGAAAAGCGCGAAAAGCGCGGCGTCAGCACCCACACGACCAGAAAGACGATAGAAACTAAACTTCCCAACTAAAAACCTGCCCCTCTGCACGAAGCTGCTGTGAGGCGTCGCGCGAGTCCAAAAGAGACCGAGCGAAACAAAGAAAGAAAGAAAAGAAAGGCACGGAAGGAGAAAAAACAGTGAAGAGCTCCGTGCATCAGCGAGGACGGTTAAAAAAGGCTCGGGCTGTGCTGGAAGCGCGCGGCACTGATTGGCTGAAGGCGCTGGGGACAGGTGCTCTGTGTGTGTGTGTGAGTGTGTGTGTGTGTGTGTGTGCAGGTGTGTTGTGGTCGAGTCCTCGCTGTCTCTCCCTCACTCTCTCCCACCGCTGAGAGGAACAAAAACAGAAGCGAAATGAAAGCGCAGAGTGAGAGCTGCTGGAGCACGAGCCCGTGTGTGCGCGCGCGCGTGCCCGTCTCCTCTGGCTTTATGTGCTTCAGCGCGGGGGTTTCACACTGTACGGCTCTACGTCACCGTGGATGTGGGGTTTCCCTACCGGCGCGAGACAAAGGAGGACTCAGCACACACACACACATACACACACACACGAGCGTGCGCGCAACGACACCCCACCCCAAACACACACACGAGCGCGCATCGACACCACCCCCTCCAAACACACACACTCCCTCTCTCTACTTTAGGATTCCCCTCGAGCGCAGCTGGCGCCTCATTACTGGCTGACGGTTTTAATTTGGGGGGAAAAACATCACACGCACTCCTCTTCCCCTCTCAGTGAGAGAGGGAGATACAGAGAGAGCGGGGAATTCAGAGTGTCCACAAGGGGGCGCGTCACACTCTCTTTCTTCAACTCCCATATTTAGTCAGGAGCGCGCTGGCTCTCACACTCACACTCTCTCTCTCTCTCACTCACTCGGCTGTCTTTGAAGAATCCCACCAGTGAAATGATCCAGCCTGCCCTCCTCCCCCACCTCTCACTCGTTCACCACCATTCTCCTCTCTCTATGACACGTACACGCACATGCAAATACACGCTTCAGCTTGTATTGCTGTCTTTAAGGGGTCCTCACTCAAATAACCTTCTATATGACTGGCTGAATGCTGCAGAGCTTAACAATAAGAAATACTCCAACATTTCCAGACTTTTTCGACCTAGTTTCTATCTGCTCCATGTACATCATGCCATCATTTGCCACGAACGTTGATTTTAAGCCGTTTCCCTGTAGGGTGTGCCCCTTGGTTTTATAATCAGGTGAAAGTGGGGAACCACACACATTTTGGTTTTTGCCTGATATTGTGGATAATGTTCTGTTGCTGGCTGGCACTGGCACCTGAGACTTTGGAGGCGTGGCTGTGCAGATGATCACAAGCAGGGGCCCATGGTATACACGCCGCACCCTCCAGAAAATGGGCTATTCAATGTTGTTTATGTTTGTTGGTTTGAGTTGTGTTGTGTTATTTATTTGTTATTTGTGTTATTTGGTGTCAGGGAGTGAGCTAATGTGTGGGTTTTGTGTAAGTGTGTGTAACGGGTCATGCCAGGTGAAATGTGTGGATGTGGTCAGTATTTTGTGTGTGTGTGTGTCTGCCTGTGTGCTCAATTAAGAGCACTTTTTTGCAGCAGAAACATGGCTACCCCTGTGTTTCTTCTCCTGCCGACACTACAATTTTTTTTAAAAAGTGTCTGAGCAAGGATAGTTTTTAATATAAGGGTTCATTGTAACAGATGGAGAGGCTTGTTATAACATTTGCCTAAAAGGCAGGTAAATCTAAATAAATAAATACATAAACAAACTATTTAGTGTTGCTTGAACCAGACAACCTAAATACAGCAAATAAAGGCATCAAGATAAATACGATTGGTGAAAAGAGACGACAAACTTATTTTCAGCACAAATAAAACAGAAAATATCAGCAATACAAAATCGAATTACTTCTCTTTTCTTTCTGGTTAATCTGTGCATAAATAAACTTAAAAAAACTCTTTTGAACTGATGTGGGGGACACACAGATCATAGTTTTCATTGGGAGGCTCAGATGTAACACTGTTAAAGCAAACCCCACCATGTGGAGGCTGTACTTTAGCCTGACTGTAGTTGTTTACATGCTTCAAAATGGTGCCATACTACAGACACCAGGAGGGTGATTAAAATGACTTACACACACAACTTAGGATTCAAGAAACATTTATGATGAAAAAAAATTCTTTTGTGGTACAAAAACAGTTTTCGGGGTGAATCTTCAGAAATATCTGTCCGATTGTTACGGGGATTCAAGAACATGACTGAAAGCATCTTCAACTAGAGCCTGTTAAATTTTACCCAGCATTAGTTTGTGGCCTGCTCTCCCGCACTGTGTTTTGCACCAACAGTTCTTCTGTGCCTCTCAGGAAAATAATTACCTCTGGTAATCTGCTGTATCAGTCAGACATTACAGTTAAAATTAGGTAAGTTGGTTAAACTGGTACATTTACAGAAAGGTTTATTAATGTCCTTATAATCTAAACTAAATAAAGTTTGTTATGATGTAGCAAATAGATTAGGTTTAAAAAGGACAAATTCTTTTAAACTCAGGAACCAAAAGCTAAACTTTCTCTAATAAAAGCTGCTGTTAAAGCAGAGATTTGTTTCCAGTATGAACATTTTTGTGTTTTTTCCATCATCTTGGGGATGGTCAGTCCCTACAAAGAGCTAAACAAACACACATACACATAAACATTAATCAAACCCCTAGGTGTAGCAGTTATTTTTAATACAGATTTTTAATGAAAAATAGAAAACAATATATATATATTTAAAGTAATTATTCAGTAAACAGAAATATCTTTGGTCACAATGCACAGTGTAGAGCACGAGATTTGACTAATAAAGCTCAATTTGTAAATCAATGTGACGGCACATAAAAAAAATGTGAAAAGTAAAAAAGGAGTAAAAATAATTGATTAACTCATAAAACCCATAATTTAAAAGCTGTACAGAATATAGATAGATCTGAGAGCTTCAGAAAGTACTCTATAAAATATTTCAGTCATATAATGACTACAAGCTACATAAAAGTATACTGGAGGTGTTACAGGATATTTTTTCTCCAAAGTTGTCCATCCCTCCAAAGGCACTCAACGTCTGGACAGATCTCCTCCTGTGAGAAAAAGAACAGAGAATGTTAAATCAACAGTAGTCAAACATGAGCGCAAAGCTGACGTTGAAAAACACTGCTATCTGGGTATATTAGCCAGTGCTGAACATTATTAGTCCACTAAACCAGCATAATAATAATAAAAATAAATGTTACACAACAGCATTTTCAACATCTCTATTAAATGTGTGACTTCACATTAGTTCATGTTGTATTTTCCAGCTTGCACTAGAGCTTATTTCATTCTGAATACTGTTGCGATAGTCTATTAGAGCAAACATGGCTCTGTAAAACCGTATGATGACAAATGTGACCCGCTAAGTGACAGCCAAAGCTATTCAATTAGCTAATGTAATCAGCTACATTGATGAATGGCCTAATGCGTAATTGCTGGGGGGGGGGACCCTGATGCAATTATACATGTTTGAAATGCAAACATGCATCGCATCGAGGGTAGAACAGTTTCATCAAAATGCCGAGACATTAAATGGAGAGAACGTTCTCCGGTGATGGAGAGCAGGGTTGTTGTCACGACAACAGACCGTGAATATCCTGGATACAGTAGCTCTACTCAGAGCCAGTCTAATGCTGGAGACACAGAGCACTGACAGATTGTAAATCTGAAGTGGGACTGGTTTTATTGTTTTTGCAGTTATGATGAAAGCTGGGACAACAGTGTGACATGCTGATGGTGACTCATTTGTAATGCAGTGAAATGACAGCAGGGCAAATCAGGTGAAAGCACAGCAACTGTAAACAAGGTGTCTTGTAAGAACTGTGGGAATATATACTGATTTCGAATGTGGCTTTCATAAAATCTTTGAGCGTTCACTGCGTTTGCCCTTTTGTTTTTCCTCAGGGAAAAGATTCATAAGACAAGCTGTTCTCCGTCTCTGTCGTACCTCTGCCTGACAATGAAAACAGTGAAAACAAAAAGCGTGACCCATCACTACAGACATGCATGAGTTTGAACATCCCTGGTAAAATGACATGTTTTCTTGATTTCTTATGTGAAAATAATAACATCCTCTACAGCTGCTACTGGGAAAAAAAAAATATTACGTGTAAAAATGTGTACTTTCATAATAACAATGTTAATAACAATTTCAAGTGGGGCGTTCCATAGTCAAGATGTTTGCAGGGAGGCTGGTGAAACGTGAGAGAACTTACAGAGAGTAAAGAGTAAGAGGGCGTATAAGCCTTCACCAGGTGACAGGTACACTGGAGCTGTGCCATGAACTGCTTTGCATGTCAAAATAAGGCTTTTTGATCATTTTCACTTTCACTCATTTTCACTAAAATCAGCAAAATATGCAATGTGACTGGGGTGCCCAAACTTCTGCACATGGCTGTACATGTATTTTGTTGTATGCAGAGACATGTGGTGGATCTCAAAACGCTAACTGATGTCTGCTCAATTCCTCTCTTCTCCATCCTTCAGCCTGTGACCCGGAAATGGAAGGGAATCTGCCAGGATGTAATAGTTCTTCAAAGGCACTCCGAGGAATCAAGGAGAGAGGAGAGACGAAGCTTTCAGAATGAGGAAACGTGCATCCTACATGGAAATCTTAATTTAATTAATCTTAATTAAATTGTTGATGTATCTGAATTTCAGTGAATCATGCTGATCTGAAGTGAGCTGATAATAGGTTACCAGTGTTAATTATGGGAAGAGCCCTTATGCCCAGTAAGAGGTGATGAAAGTGACAACTATGTAAAGGACATCTGATTTGGTAAACATGTTTGCCATGGAGACCTCTGACCTCGTATCACATCCTTGCATCTCTTCCTCACATCCTCAGAGGCAGGAGCTCAGACACGAGGACAGGATGCAAGGAAAGGAAACGAGAATGAACAATTAAAGATATGAGATCCACCCCCAGTTAAGGTCATGGTTCACTGGGTGAATGGCCGTGTCCGCTGCAGTCCCTGTACCCACCCTGGCAGCTGGTACACTCGCAGCTGTGTATGACGGGCAGCACCACAGGCTCGCTCTCTCCGTTGGCACAACGCAGGCTCAGGAAGCGCACGGGACTCTGGGGGTCCAGCCTATAACTGCAGCAGTCACACACAGCCTGCAGGTAGGGCTCCTGACGAGAGAGAGAGAGAGAGAGTGAGTGAGAGAGAGAGAAAGAGAGAGAGAGAGAGAGAGAGAGAGAATGAAAGGGGAACATCAGAGTAAAAAGCAAGGAAAGCATGGTGAGGAGGGGAAAAACAAACAAACAAGGATGAAGATAAACAAAATATGGTGGTGTAAGGAGTGAAAGATAGTTGAAAGAGAGCAGGAGAGAGTCACAAGGGAGAAAGAAAGAGGAAAAGGCACAAGAGAAAAGAGTGCATAAGAATTGGGTGGGGGGGAACGGTGGAGGAAAGGCATAAGGAAGGAGAAAAGTAGAATCATCAACAATCCAAATAATATTATCTCCATGCTACATTTACTTTCCTAACAATGAGCTTTCTCTCTGCTTGAGGAAGCTCGCAGTGTAATTTAAGGCAATGCCAGCAGTAAGTGACTGTACGTGTTCAGCTGCAGTGAGGAGGGGGTCCAGATGACTGTTCTGGGAAGTATACGGATGGGGATAAAAGAAAGAAGGGAATAAAGAGGCGCTAAAACAAGGCAGTAAGGACCTATCCGACTGCAAGTCCTCTGCTTCTCGTCTCCATGGAAACTTGAGAGACTTTGTGAGCTGAAACATATTTTTAAACAGTTACAGCAAACAGATCACAAAGATAGACTTCTCAAAATTAGATGGGTGGATCAAAGAAACATGAGGGTGGCATCCGTCAGTTATTTAAAGGTCAAATTTTGCACAGTGCATTATGATAAGAAACCAGTCTTGATTTTCAACTGCATACAAGGAGATATGGGCTGACATGTATTAAGCATTTCAGAAAAATTTTCCATTTACCTGAAAAGGCAAAAACTGATCCTGGATCAGCACTTTTTTGTAAATATATGCAAGGATCTAGGATCATTTCTCCCACTGGCTTTACTGACCTTTGTGTGATATAAAAAAAAATGAACTGACCCAGAAACCGTAGGCTTAATATATCCCTAGATCATAACCTTCACAGCAGCTGCCATTCAGAGGAGGAGAATCTTATCCAGACATGACATAATCTTGACTTTGACTTCAGGTCTAATGAGACCCGATGCAGCAATTTATTCGTCTATAAATATATTATTGAAACCATAAGCTTGTAATGAGGTACTATGTACAGTTTATTAATACACTGTACATAGTTTGTATAGGTTGCATAGGTTTTGCACAGTAAAGAACGATATACAAAAACGTAGTAAAATTATACCTCCAGAATCACATCTGTTCCAGACAAACAGCGCCCCCTGCAGAAGCTGACTTCTACATTGTCCAATCGACAGTCGCCCTTGGTGATGTTCCTGACCTCAGTGTGGCGGTGGCACTGGGCCAGCGGATCTCCTGCAGGAGGAGGAGCCCAAGAGGGGAAGACAGCCAGTAGGAGAGCAGAGACGGAGTGCAAGAGAGGAAAACGAATGAAAAGTCCAGTTAAAAGGAGTCTGATTAAAGAAAAGGCTTTTGTGCTCAAGTTAATGAAGGAGGGAGAGTTAGTGAGTAAGCTCACAGGAGCCATGCTGACTTTGAAAAATGCTTAACTCTGATTAGAATGCATAAAGGAACACTGCTGTGCATAAAACCTTGAGTGAACTTATTCACAAGTGAATTGTTGTTAAGGGGACATTCTGGCCAAAAATGAAATGTGTTATTTGTCATGTTATGTAATATTCTGTAGTGCAGCCTCATCGGTTTGGCAGAATACACTATTTCATATCCTTTTTGTGATTTTCATGTTTACAACAGATGTAGAAATGGCCACTGTACTCTTATAAGGACAGAACACTTCCTGATAAACTAAATCCTAAACAAAGATTTTTAAAAACATGAACTATTCATTTAAGATGACATTCTAAAACCACTGTGCTTAAACACCCTTTTTTAAAGAAAACAAAAAAATATTCTCATGTCACCTTTACTCCATTTTACTTTACTAATCCGAAACTTATTTAAACTTATTTAATAGTAGTTTCTTATTTTCTTTAAGGACTGATAAAACTTGGGACTTGCATTAGCTATTTTTTCACCAAAACACAGGATCTGCTGAGGAACTCCAGTTTCCCTTGTGAAAAGTATTGGACTTCCAGCACACATAACTTTTCTGTTGACTCTTCCATTTTTCCCAGTGGCTCATTTCAGTTTATATAAAAGGAACAGCAGGCCAGGAGTGGCCACCCTTTACACACCCCATAATTAATACTGTGCAACAAACTTTACTGTCCAATGCACTTGAGGCTTCAGGGAATCGCAGACAAAGTTAAAAAATTCCCTGGAGGCCACAGAGGAGCACTAATGACAGCACATGCGTAAGTTGATGTAAGACTTTGTCCATCATCTCCTCATTCCTACCTGTGTACTCTTTCCTGCAGACAGGGCAACACTGCCCAGCCTCCAGCACCTTGACTTCACCCTGGGGACAGTGCAGATGGAAAAGAGCAGAGGATCACAGTCAGCAATGAGCATCTCAGAATAGCACGCTGCCGTTCGTGATTCATCTCCCTGGAGATGGCCACTGACAGCAGGAAGAGCCATCGGGCACCAACGCCCGACACACTACAACTCCCATGGCGGCCACTAGCAGGGCCTGCCCCCGGGGGTGGTGTGGGGGTTGGGGTAAAAAGGCCCAGAGAAACATTTAAAGTTTAATGCCAGTAGAACTCGGAGACTCAAACAGGAAAGCTCAAATAAAACCCAATCGATACTGTCTCCACAGAGTGGGCAGGATCTTTCTAAAGTAAATAGTTTCCTATAGATCTGTGACAAGTCAAATTTACACAATTCTCCACCTATCCTGAATAGTCAGACAAGACATGTTTGGTGTTTGCTTCTTTAGTTCTGCATTGGAGATATGAGGCTAATGTAGCTAAGAGGTAATTAAAGCTTACTCAGAGTTGCCAGCTTATTAGGTACACCTATTTAGTGGCGTGTTGCACCTACTTTTGCCTATAGAACATCGTTGAACAACAACCAACCAACAAGTGCGTTTACATGCACTCAATCAGATCATGATCAGATTTCTGCAGTTACCTGATTATTGAAATGGTGTAAACAGCATACACCGATATCTTAGATCGGAGTAGGGTTTTGAAATTCAATTAAAAAATTCAATAAAGAAAGCTGGATTTTAGCACAGTAATCAGATTTCTTGGTGCATGTATACTCTTACTCTGGATTTCTTTCGGATTTCTCAGTCTGCTCATGTGCGAAAACAGACTGCTGTACTGGAAACAAGCAAGCAGCGTTGCAACGAGATGGCAGCAAAAGACTTTTGGAGCGACACTGAAACAAACTACATGCTTGATGAAATTAAGGATTTAAATATTCATCTTCTAAATGATGAATGTTCATATTTTCAGGTAAAGTGGCGCGATGTTTTTTAAAAAAACAAGCCGCGGCATGAAGTTTGAGATTTACATTACGTTTACGTCATGTCATCTGTCGGTTTATTGGCTGGTTGCAAAGCAGAAATCCGATTACTGCCTGACTCATACAGACCCAGAGTTTTACCATTATCTGACTACCCAAGTGCATGTAAACTCTCGGATCGGATTACTGACAAAATCTAATTTTCTGCAGCTTTGGCATTATCAAGTGCATGTTTACGCACTCTATGTGAGCAGTATGGGGTGTTAAAAACTTGCTCTGTAGGTTTTTACTACTGTAAAGAGATGTGCAGAACTCTGTGGAACTCTACATAATGATTAAAAAGAGACATTAGTGCTTTGGGCTGCTTTTGGAATAAACTCTTAGCACCACATTTGGTTTTATATGAAACATGATCAGACAGTCTCTCTTGACAAGAGGGACTCCAATAAACTGAATGAATTAAACATTTTTAACAGCCCGTGCGTGTACATAAGCAAAGACTCGCGGCACATTTTTGTCAGATGACAAATTCAGCTAGAGACTGGTGTAGAAAATGTGCGTGGTGTACTTCCTCCAGTCACGAAATCCGCTCACAAGTGTTGACTGCAGATGCAACTGAGGTGCAATCCCATGGAAACGTCAGGTGTAAACAGCTATATGTCTCACTGTTCTCCTGTGCTAAGATCAACTGAGAGGAACGCTAGTATGAGGTATGAATAGGACATATGTTATGCAGTTGTCTTGCTAAGAATAGTCTTTTCCACCTCATCCAAAAGACACTTGATAAGGTGGATTCTGTAATGTTCCTGGAACCATTCTGTGACAATACGAGACGTGACATGGTGCATTATTCTGCTAGTGTCAGACTGAGTGTAGCTAAACTCTAACCATGAAGGGCTCTATGAACTCCACCAAATTCTGATCTTTCCATCAGCATGATCCAAAAGGATTATGGATTCATTCATCCAATTAGCTTTTTTCACTCCCTAACAGTCCAGTTTTAATGCTGCTGTTGCACCCTAATCTACAACCCCATTTCCAAAAAAGTAAGTGCACTCCATGAAAAGTTTCCCTGTTTGACATAAGTGGACATATTTGAACTTCAAGTAGCAGAATGTATAGAAATTTGACTTTGCAATAACATATAAAAAATAACTGAGATGTCCTTTTGGTCTGTTGAAGAAGTAAGTACACCCCTGGCTTCAGTAATTGCTACTGCCCCCTTTTGCAGAAACAGCTTCATGTAGGCGTTTCCTATAACTGTTTACCAGTTTCTGCCATCTACTGGGAGAATTTTTTGTCCACTCCTTCACACAGAATTGTTTAAACTGTGGAATGCTTGAGGGGCTTCTTGCATGTACATCCCTTTTCAAATCCTCCCATAGCAGATTTACATCTGGGCTTTGACTAGGCAATTCTGTAACCCTACATTTCTTTCTTTTGAGCAATTCTTTGGTGGATTTACTTGTGTGTTTGGAATCATTATCCTGTTGGAAGGTCCACTTCTTCAGCTTCAACATTTTTACAGATGGTCGCACATTCTCCTTAAGCAATCTCTGGAATAGATAATTCAGTCAATTCTATGATTACAAGTTGGCCAGGCCATGAGGCAGCAAAGCAGCCCTAAACCATAACATTTCCATCACCATGCTTTACAGTTGGTAGAGTTGAAGTTTTTCTGATCAAATGCTCTCTTTAGTTTTCACCAAACATGGCTTCTAGTACTGTGGCAAAACAACTTTTTTACTCATCTGTCCAGAGCACATTGTTCCAGAAGTCCTGGTCTTTGCCTACATATACATTAGCAAACTTTAGTCTTTCCCCAGTGTTCATTTTTAGACAGCTAAGACTTCCTCCTGGCGCCTCCTGTTTAGGTCAAATTTGTGCAGTACTTTTCTAAAGGTAGATGCATGTACTTTTACACAGTAAAACAGTGACAGTGGAAAGAGCTACAAGCAGATCCTGTGATGAAATCTGGGGTTCTTAGAGACTTCTTTTAGCATCTTCAGGTCTGCTCTCAGGTTAAATTTGCTGGGGCGGCCTGGCCTGGACAAGTTGACAGTGGTTTTTCAAATCTACTCCACTTGCAGATGATCTTCCTGACAGTGGAATGACTGATTTCCAATATTTTTTATATCTTCTTAAACCCCTTCCCAGACTCATAGGCATCTACAACTTTCTTTCTGAAGGCCTCAGACACTCTTTTAATCTTGATAATACCAGACACTCCAAAAACAAAGAGCAAACCAGACCAGATATCTGAGGTTTAAATAGGTTCATCCAAGAAATTCTGTAATGGTGTTCTAATCCTTGGTACCTGGTCAGCTGCACCTGATTTTAATATGATATGTTTGAAATTGAATTTGAAATATGTAGAGCTGTACATACTGCATAACAAAAATGCACTTCTGCTTATTTCAGTTATATAAAGGATAACACAAATGTTAATTGTGTCACTTGTTAAATTATAAAATGTTGATCTATCAACACTGCTTAAATGAAGACTTAATATCTTTATCTCCAAATATGTTGAAAAAGTCTATACTGTATTTTCGGGGATCATGATCATTTTTCTAGGGTTCAACTGCTGCCGTAAAATGTTTACACATGCTGGGAGCCAGTAAAATGAAGTAATGTATCCTACGCATGCATGACAGTGTTGCGCATGCAGAGTGCAAATCGTGCAGCAGACACAGATCAACTAGCGACAGCTTCTCCTTGTTCTTTGTGGACAAAATGGTCTCTGAGTGTTGTAGCCCATTCAAGACAGTCTGATAGATGGTGCAATCAACAAAACAACCATTTGTGCTCCATTTACATTTATGAATTTGGCAGACGTTCCGATCCAGAGGAACTTTGGGTTTAATCAGGTGTGGGTCAATGTAGTGTTAAAATTCTTGCCCACGGACTCGCACTGTTGTAGTCTGTCTGCTGTGTGGAGGGCAGTGGTATTAACCACTATGCCAATTTCACCAATGTTAAATTCGAATGTGGTTGCCACCTGTCTGTTCACTTGCACAGTTCTTGCCATTCTTCTTTGAAATCTCTGATCCACAGGCTGTTTTGTCCAAAGGACTGCCTATCATTGGTAGTTTTTTGCTTTTTGCCTAATTTTCAGTGAACACTTGAAATAGTTGTATTATTCAGGAAAAATCTAGGATTAGTCAGTTAGGAATTGCTAGAACCAGCACACGTAGTGCAAACTTTCATACTTCATTTAGTCACTGAGGTCAATTGTTTTGCCCATTCCAACTTTCATTTCTACACTAACTAATGCTAACCGAAGTGACTCTAGCCTGTTTTACACCACACTATTGTCTTGTGATGTATGACTTGGAACCTAATAAACTGGCCACTCATTGTACAACTTAAATAAACTTGCCTCAAACTGTATCAAGCTGTTAAGTTGTTTTTTGACACTAGATGACATACTGTTATCTATAAGAATGGACAAAAACGTTACATTTTTAAAAACAGTGGCAGCTACTTTGAACAATGAATTTTGTTTATACTTTTGTTCAATCCAAAATAAAGATGCAAACTTCAGAAACTATATACATCTTTAGGGATTTGTGATGCCTTTGAATTAAACCAAAGTGGAAGCTGAGTGCAGTACAGTCCTCAGCTCTCTCTCTCTCTCTCTCTCAGTAAGTCAACATCTCCTTCAGAGCGCAGGCTGTAAGTGGATGTTTAGGGGACCACAGCGCTGTGTAGAACCCTGAGAAGTAGGAGATGCGCTCCCTCTCTGAATGTGGTAAGGGGTGACAGAGTTACTCAGTTGCCATCTGGGATACAGCGTCTGACCAGAGCATTCGCCTGGACAATGAGTCACTCTATCCACCAGCATCTGCTGCTCTCCAGGGGCCCAGTTCACTTTCTGATGCAACACGTGCTGTATGGCTTACAACTGCTGTGTTTTAAGAGGGTGGGTTGCACAGTGCGCTACTAACAACAAAAACTATACATGCTGGAGATTCTCACAAAAATGTTTTATAATAAATCAACATAGAAAATAGGTAAACACAGTATGCTGCAGCTGCAGAATAAAGGATTTAGTAATGAAGTCAGTGAATATCATTGTGCTTACCTGTTCACACTGAAGTGAGGGGCAGCTAGATTTACACTGCTTTAGGCCGTTGACACAGCGACAGGTTTGGCAATCTTCCTCCCACTCAGATCCAGGCTGGAACACGCAGAGACACCCACACACACAAATAAACCCAGAATTATACTCAAGCATCCACTGAAAACACAGAAGAGGATGTACGTTTTTAAGTCATTTTTGCATCACATTTATTAATTGTTAAAGATCAAAAAACACTTTTTAAATTAAATGGCCAAAGACCTCTATCATCAGCTATCTTCATTTCTATATGAATCATTTTTAGAGAAGAAAGTGGGGGAAGAAGCCCCCTAAAACAATGTCTTCTTTACCATAAAGCTAAACCACATCTACATGCATGAGTTTAACAGGTACAAGATAATCAACCTACACACAGTTAGAGGAAATAAACTGGAAAAAACATTTTTATTTTTAGGGCACAAAAAAAGAAAATCTTTAAAAGGGCCCCCAGTGAATCTTTGATCAGTTTGTCAAGTTTTCCAGAATGCATAATTTAAAAATATTAATAAAAGTATGACACAAAAAGTCATATAGAATATCTTATATATTATATAAAATATTTAAAAATCAATTTGTGGCTTAATGATTTCACTTAACTGTAATAAGCTATGACAAAAGACACAACAGAAAAATAGAACTTGAAATGTGAAATATGTTTATTATTTAAATAGTTATTGGATATATTAACTGTGCGATTATATTATGTAAATACATTAAATGGTATTATTGTTGTTACCATTGTTATAGTGGCTAAAATTACAATAATACTTTAACAACGCAATAACATTTGGCAGATGCTCTTATCCAGAGTGACTTACACAGGTAGGTGAAAATAGGTGTTAGGAGTCTTGCCCAAGGACTCTTATTGGTATAACACTGGGTGTTTACCCAGGCAGGGGTTCAAACTCAAGTCTACAGTATGGCAGGCAGAGGTGTTACACACTACACTATGCCAAACAATTATTAAGTGCAAGCAGTCATTAAACATGAAGGATCAGGCATGAATGTAACTCTGCAACTCTAAAACTCACATACAAACTCACTTCCAGTAAGATGACTAAATATGTTGCATAATTCTAGCTAACAATGACAGCTAGCATGGTAGTGCTATTGCTAACTAGTCAGTGAAACTCTGGTGAGCAGCTTTGCGTTTTGAGTTTCACAAAACTGCTGTCTTAGCCCACCCACCAATCATATATTATTAACAGGTTTTCTTATACAACTTATTGTAAATGCGTAGAGATTAGGTTTGGCCCCATCATTTGATTGGTGGGAAAACGCATCTTACCCTGGAGGGCTTCCCCTCCAAGATATCACAAATTCTACTGTACACAAACAACGGCTCTCTACATAAAGCAACTACAGCTTCACAAAACTTTTCTTCAACTCTGAGGAGCTTCCTCAAGCTTTTCTTTACAACTTCACAGCAAATCAAGTGACAGGGTCACCATATCACTTCTCTAAAATTACAGTGAATCTTTAATTAATACTACATGAGAGTTCCTAAGGAGCAATTTTCATTTGTATGCAGTGGCACCTTGTAAAGTGCAACAGCTTCATCAACAATAGCTTACTCGAAAAGCTCTCCTGATGGAACATTCAAGTCACACTGTCTTAACTGGGCGCTATAGTCCATTTAGATAGCACTCTAATGCCTTTCAACACTTTTATGCATTATTGATGAGAGTAATTATTATAGTGGCATTCTCTAGAAGGGCCCTGGAGGGTAATCCATCAGGTCCAATAATTAGGCCCCTCTTAGAGATAAATACACAAAGAAGCTGGCAATACAATAGAAGGATAAAGGAGAACAATGAAAGATCGCTGTGCTTTTGTGAATATGCATGTGTCCATGAAGTGTATGACTGTTTGTATGCTTGTAACTGTCTGTGTGAGCACATATTTGCACCATTTGTTTTTTTGGTTACCTAGTGGGACGGTAAAACCTGCCAATATTTCGAAGTGAGAGTTAGTGTGTGCGCATACACACCCCTCGCAGTGTGCCATCCTCCTCCTCACACTGACAGAGAGCAGGGATCACACACCGGCCGTCTGTGTTGCGATAGCGCCCGTCCTCACACACGCATCCCTCTGAGACGGTGTTTGTTGTGGTGCAGTTCAGCGGTTCAGCTCTGTACATGTCCACACACCCCCTCTCACACACACGCTCCGCCTCTGACATACTCCGTCTCCAGCGCTCGCCCTCCGGACACGCTACAGCAATGAAAAAGAGGATTCATAGTCAATCAGGTAAAGAACTTGATAACATCTCCACCACCGTAAAGAAATCTGAGCAAGGATGTTTCTGTACACCATTTCACATCAAACCACTCTGAATGACTTTGTTTCCATCTTAATTTCTGAATTATGCAATGAAAGAAATATTGAAAAATCACTGAAGTGACTTCATTTACACACTTAACTGGAGGTCTCTCTATATGCAAACTGGAGCTAATATTCTAAAATTCACGTTCATTTATCATCTCATAGCTCTCTCTTTCTCGCACACATATGTAATTTCATGCTGCTCTTTATTGGTTGTTTTTAGATGTGTGTCATAGCAGCAGTCACACTGTGAGATTTTGGGCCAAAATTTCTGATACTGCTAGAACATTGGTGACTCTTTATGATGATGGTACAAGCTGATACGTGTTCGGAACACTGCCAGAACTTTATCATAGGATATCTTTTGTCGCAGAGGCAGTAAAGCGGTTCGCTATGGAACGTGTCAAATTAAGTGTTCAAAGACCACCGATTTTAACTGAAGATCAAAGAATTCTTTCACAATTTGAGATTTTTTGTCTGTAACAACATTATCTTGATGATTTTGTACAGTGTAAACCAGGCTTAACTCATCACTCATTAACATCACTCCAACCCTCAACCTGTATCTGCCCTAAAGTCCCTCCCCTTCCACTATGTCCCTTAGTGGAGCTGCTGCTTTGATGTGGCATTCGTGGTGCATTTACACATAAAAATCACTTCACCTGACCCTTATTGTAAGTACTAGTTGTTTGTATTTGAGTGGTCACTTGAAATTGGTAAATTCATCACATGAACAATGTGTAAATACACTGTGATGGATGGACCACTGCCAGCTTGTCCTAGTGTATTCATATGGTTTCAGACATTCACACTGACTGGTGATACATCACAATGTGTAAACTCAAGTGAGAAGTCAGAACTGTGTTGCTATGGGAAATCCATGCTGCCCAGGTCTGTGTTGCCATGAGAAACCCATGCTGCGAAGCCAGCATCTCCATTCCTTATGTCTAAATCTTTAGAGGAAGAAGAGGTTCAGTGGTTGGTTGAACCAGTTGGTTACTCACTCAAAAGCACACTCATTTCCCCAACCACTGAAGTAGCATAAGTGTAAAATTGATTCATAATGTTAGAGAGAGAGGGAGACTTCAAATGAGGCTCTCTTTCTTCTAATTGAGTGAGTCATTATCATTATCATCTTTATAATATAGAGTGAGTCATTATTAAAAAAAGTCTGTGTAGTTTATGATGAAACAGACGGTTGTATTGAAATATTATGTGCATTTCGTCGCAGTCACAGCCAAACATTCTAACTCTGAAAATAATAACTTTACAGGAGAAGAAAAAAATATGGTTAACTCTAAATGAAAGTAAATGGATCAAGATTTTTTTTCATGTAATTACGGAGGATTTCTACTTGTCTATTCATCATGAAATGTTAACACATTGTAAGGGGCAACTGGCATTTTCAAACTCTGTAATAAATGCAAGAAATGACAAAAGTAGAGACATGATAAGTTATTTTGTTTCATTCAGAGAACTGGAGCATGGTCAAGTCTGTATATGTAATCAATTAAATGTTTTTAACTAAGCAAACAGCAATTTTTAGCTGCTAAAATGAGAACAGACACCGTACTTTTTCAGTCACAAGGAGCAATAATGACCTAAGATAGAATTAGTTATACAAAGCATCACAAGTCTAATCACACGTGTATCAGACCATTTTATGTCATTTATGTAAAGATGTGTCTTAGGACTTTCAGACAAATAAGTTATGACCATGTAATTTCTGTCAAACCTCAAACAGCTGTTTAAAAAAACATCTAATGTTCATCAGTTTAATTCTCGTGTGCATGATTCTGTATGTGTATGTGACGTATCTGAAATATCTGAAAAAGATCTTGCTTAGACTGGGAATTATAATAGTTTTTCCAACACAAGGTAACATGGAACTCGCCTAAGTTTACCACTGTATTTATGACTTTGTCAGTTGCTTTAATGCAACTGCTTTGTGGTAAACTGAGAAATTACAGGTTTACAAGGACATTCATTACACACATGCACATACTAACTGAATTAGCAATTAAATTAAAATATATACTACATGGCCAAAAGCATGTAAACACCTGATCATCACACCTATATGATATTATTTCAAAACCATGGGCATTAACATGGAGCTGGCTCCCCTCTGCGACCATAATAGCCTTCACTCTTCTGGGAAGGCTTTCCACAAGATTTTGGAGTGTGTCTGTGGGAATCTGTACCTACATACAGTCAAAAGGGCATTTGTGAGGTCAAGCAGTTATGTTGGACAAAAAGCCTGACTCACAATCAACAGTCCAATTCATGTCTTTGTATGCTGTAGCCTTAACATAACTATTAGATAGCCAGATAGCAAAGTGTGACTCTTAACTCCAGAGAACATGTTTCCACTGCTCTAGAGTCCAGTGACTGCATGCTTTACACCACTCTTTTTACACTTTCTCAACACTTGCCATCACTTATAGTGATCCTAGGCTGCTTGGCCATGGAAACCCATTTCATGAAGCTCCTGACACACAGTTCAGTTCTGTTGCTTCTAGAGGCAGTGAGTGATGCCACTAAGCTTCAGCACTTGGTGGTCCTGCTGTATCAGCTTGTGTGGTCTACTGCCTTGTGGTTGAGCTGTTGTTGCTCCTAGACGCTTCCATTTCACAATAATAGCACTTTCAGTTGACTGAGGCTAATAGGGCAGTTATTTCATGAACTGACATGGAAAAGGTGCCACATTTAAAGTCACTAAGCTCTTCTGTACAACCCGTTCTAATGTCAGTGTTCGTCTATGGAGTTTGCGTGGCTATGTGCTTAATTTTATACACCTGTTAGCAATGGGTGTGGCCGAAACACCTGCACTCAATAATTGGGATGGGTGTCCATGTACTTTTGGCCATAGAGTGTTTTTTGTATACAACAGCCGTTGTCACAGAGCAGCTTTACAGAAATCCAGGCCTAAGCCCCAAATGACCAAGCCAAGCATGATAGCAGCAACTGGAAGAAACAGTGAGAAGAACCAAGAATCAAAAGTGGGGCCCATCCTCCTCTGGTTGATACTGGATAGCAAACAACAACACAACTAAAGCAATAAGAGTAATAACTAAGAAAATGACTAATGCACTACAATAATAACTAATCAATAAAGAAACAAAGTGAACATGATCATTACACACAGGTATTCAGAGCAACCAATGAAAAGCAATGACCAATGTTAGAAATCTATCAAAGGTTACCTAACAAAAATGAATACATGTTAGTATAAACAGGTAAGGAACTCATTATAGTGTGAAGCAGGTGTGCATCTCTAGTGCGCTACTAGTGGGTATCTTACCACAGTCAGGCTCTGTGCAGACTCTGCTCCTGATGCTGGGGCCCTCACACTTGTGGCCCCCGTACTGTCTGGGCTCCAGTACATAGCGGCTAGAGCTCTGCAGTCCAGAGCCACAGGATGCTGAACATGAGCTCCACTCTGACCAGCTGCTCCATTCACAGTCCACTAACACACACACCATGCAGCACTATCATTACAGTGATCACATACTGAGCATAATCAGACATCTCTACAGCTGGCTAGACTGTGTTTGCTACAGGAACAACAAAGGCTTTGGAAAAACAGCAGTACTACAAGATATCCACTGTGCTTCCTCTTATTAAATGCGATATTTGACAGGACTCTGACTAGCTGATGCAGTAAAATGTGTTAAACTGCACTTACCATCACAAAGCTCCTCTGTGCAGCTGAACACTCCATTTTCACACACACTGTACATGCACAAGAAAAAGAGAAAGAAAGAGAAGCGCAGCATGAAACATGGCACATACATACGATACATACATGCATCATTCTAACTACTGTACTGGGCAAAAGCCAGGGCCGTTAAAGTGTAAGACAGTAAAGTCAATTAAGTAGTCAATAAGCACAAGTTACTCATTCTTCAGCGCCATAAGGAAAAACATATTTAACAAAAATACACAGAAGCCTCAGCTATCAACTAAATATAATATGATTTCTTTCAGTATTTAGTGTGTACTAGCTTTATTATAGCTATGATTTCTTTCGGTTGCTTTTAATTTTTCAAAGAAATCTGCAGGGCTGTTTTTCCACTCCTCAAAGGTCAGTCTTAGGAGCTGTGTTTTCTGCTTTTTATGATCCAAGTAATCCAAAATACAAATTAAGTCCATAAACCCTTACTCCACATCTCTGATGTCCAGTTTCTGTGTTCTGGTAAAAAAAAAATCTTCTTTTTTGTCAATTTCCTTTTCTCAGTAAGGGCTTCTTGACAGCTACACATCCTTTCAGACACAGTGTTGAGTTATCTTTTTACAGTGGAAAGATAGAGAGAAGCACCTGTGGATTTTTTTTTCAATCTGAAGCAAGAGCAGAGCTCAATTTTTTCTCAAAGATGAAAACTTTAAGCACTGTTTATCTGATGGTGACAGTTTTAGTCGTCTACCAAGTCTTGCACGGTTGTTAGGAGTCCCATTTTCTCTTTTAATAACTTCTGTGTTTCACTTATTTTTGTTGACTTTACCCTTCATTATGAGAGTAGACTTTTTAGATGCTAATGATGCTACTTTTTTTTTTTTGATGCTAATGAAAAAATGAAAAGTACAGGACAGACAGGGTTGTTTGGGTTGTAGCTTGTGTTATGTTAGTGTATATTTGAAGGGGAACATAAGGTCAGTGACTCTTTTGTGAACAGCTTGCGTTGGGAGGACACAGCTGTAACTGGTTGGTTTTAAGATTGGAAGGATGGAAAAGTTAAAGCATCAGTACAGCACAAAAGCAAAGAGTGGACAAATTAAATACTGATAGATTTGATTTAGACTTAGTGTTGGAGGCATTTTTTGTAAAATATAGGTTTTCTGTTTTTTTCCATGACATTGACAAATGAATAACTTTTACTTAATGGCTGTTTTGACGTGAAATTAAATAAACGAAAAAATAGTTTCTGACTTTTGCACAGCACCGAATATAAAATGTTTTGTTTGTGTGCTATAATGGCCGTATCGAATCCCCAGTGCAGCCATTATGTCAAAACAACCTCTCTAATCATTACCAGATGCATTGTACAGAACGTTGACTGAGAGGCGAGCATTTATCCTACAGCATATGCCTGTCTTTCCGTCACGCCTGCTTTAACCCAACGCCTTGTGTGGGTGGAAAAATCATTCTGAGCCTGATACTGAATCTACACACTGATCTATGTTCACCCGTGTCCCTTGGCATCCCTTGGACATATGACGTATATCTCATATTCAAAATCAATATACTTTCAGCAATATCCTGGTCCCTATAGAAAAGAAACGTGGAAGCGAAAGGGAGTAAATGAATGAGGGATAGCATGAAAGCAAGAGGAAAGAGGCTTGAGTTATTACCAGGTATTGCAGAGGTGTGGTACAATAGTCCCAGGGGGAACCTCCTCCTGTAGGGCACTCAATGTGATGTTGGGGAACATCAGTAACAGAGAGAGAGGAGAGCAGGGGCACTCAGAGTGTGGCACGCACGTCCCATTAAACATAACCTGGGAGCACAGGAGAACAGTTATATGGATTGCAGCATGTTCTTCTGAGAACAAAGCTTTTGGTGGGCGAATACTGTGATGCTCTTTACATAGAAAGTACTGTGTGAGGTCATTCCTCCCCACAGCTATTAGGCCTTATAATGAGTTAACCTATAGCTCGGGAGATACTGACCTTCATACCAAATGCTTCTCAGCTGTATAGCTTATGCACTTTATTGGTTCATAGTAGTCAGCAATCATTCTGGTATTTCTGTAGTTAAACAATTGTTAAACTCATTATCATGAGATGTGTAAAAGTGCATATTTAAAAAATCCCATCACTGACTAACTTTTAATATGCAAATATTCAGCTGGATTTATGCATGCATTTTTTAAACTAGTGTAGCAGTTTACATCTCTTCTAAGCATCTTGTAAATTCTGCATTTTTTTGTAGTTTCTAATGTTTGTGTTTTTTGCACATTATTTTTGCTTCTCGTGCTCTGCAATTTCCTTTAGAATTAATGAACTTTCTGCATGTCTATCTACACTATATATCCAGAAGGCTGTGGTCACCTGCTCACCCAATGTTTCTTCTAAAATCAAGGGTATTAATGAGAAGTTTGTTCCCCTTTGCTGCAGTAGGAGTTTCTACTTTCTAGGAAGGCTTTACACCACATGCTGGAACATTGCTGTGAGAATTTGATTGCATTCAGCCACAAGCGCATTAGTGAGGTCAGGTACTAACATTGGATGATTAGTTCTGGATCACAAATGCCACTCTGGCTCACTCCAAAGGCACTGGATGATGTCGCCTCAGAGAAGGCAGGTCTGCTCCACAGTCCACAGATCAATGCTCTTTTACCCCTTTAGCTGACATTTGGCATTGGGCTTGGTGATCTTTGGATCATGTGAGGCTGATCCAGAGTTTGTCATTCTATTGTCAGCGCTTTTCACTGGAGATCATACAAACTACGTGCACGCAACTGAATGCCAGTATCAGCAAGGGGTGCAGAATTCACTGAATTCGCTGAATTCACTAATCAGAAGGTATCTGGATATTTTTGGACATCTAGTGTATTTATCTACATACCTATCTTTCTTGAGTCATTTTTACCACATTATTTAAAAGATACCAGGCTACTAGTTTTTAAGTGTATTCTACAGCAATGTAAGGGTTTCCCGATTACGTGAGCACACATGCACATTAAACGGTCAAGCAGAATGTTTTAAATGAGACCAAAACTTTGTGTTCACGTTGGTCACAAAGCCGTTCTAAACTGGCCAGGTCGAGCGCAGAGCAGTGCTGGGTTATATATAATCAATAGTGATATAACAACAATAGCTGATGCTGCCTAAGGTTGATGCAAGATTTTCACAGGAGAGAGAAGTGTAAATATTTAAAGTTTATGTTGAAAAGAGTTGACAAGTTATTCTACTATAGTTACATTTTCAGACTTCCCTTTGTTTCTGAATGGCTGATACTGTTTTTTTTAATAAAAACAATGTTTTTAAATGTACTTATTTCGCGGCCACAACGTTTTTCTATGTGTACTGAACATCTTTAGTTGTTCATTATCAATGACAGTCATTGTACAATCCTGTTGGTCTGATCTTTAAAAGTCAGTCACCATCTAGTGTTTAAAAAGTATCTAATATTGATCAAGTGGCCTTTTTTTAGGTCCATGTCAGCTAGCTAATTCTTTCCATAGGGTCATTCCACAATGCCGTATTACTCTACAGAAGAGCGTCAACTTTTGTGTGTGCAAACGTCTGCGCATGCAAGTTTAAGCGTCAACTGTTTTTAATACATCAGTATTGGTACAACACACTATTGATTTTCAGTTTTAGTGGTACTGATAGACAAAGCAAGAGTTTTTCTTTCTTATATTGTATTTTGTGTACTTTTCATGTGGTGTCCCAGACTTGACAGTTAACTAAACTGCATGTAATTTGTATGTAAAATACATCTAGAAAAAAAAAGTAATATTAAGCAGCAGGTTTCCGGTTTCTGTCACTCTGCAAGGTAGAGCTGGGTGATATAGCAAAAATGTCATATCACAATACTTCAGCAGTCATGATACCCTGTAAGTCACAATATTTATTTTTTCTGATAAGTGGAAACAAAGTAAAGCCACATTTAAAAATTTCTATCAAAAACTATAAATCCAATTTGCATTTAACCTTTCACAAGCTGTGTATTCAATTAAACAGCACTAAGTGTTTTTACATACTGGTGACATATACTGTGATGTAATTTATCATGACTATGATGAATATGGTCATATTGCCCAGCCCTTAGCATAAAGTTTCCTTTTGAAATAACAGTCCAATCAAAAAACAGCCTGTCAGGTGTGTACGACTTTCTTTTGGATTTCTTCATGATAAATATATCATACCATGATATAATAGGAAAATACTGTGATACTGAATTTTATGAATACTGCCCAGCACTACCATGGAATTGTTTAAAGGTGTTCATGTTAACTCACTGTAGCAGGAGGGCAGGCGCAGCCAGGGCTGCAGGCTCCTGGCACACACTCACTCTCAGGCCACAGATCCTGGCAGGAGAATGGGCACGAGCCTGCACACACACTGAACACCTGACCCACAGGACACTCTGACACAACAGCAAAGAGACAAGAGAGAAAAGAACAGTAGTTAGACCAAAGCCAATGTATATTCTCAAAAAACACTTATTGAGCATATTTATGAGCATAATTTCTGATTAAGAAACCTGACCGCAATAATTTTAACAAACTGTGATGAAGATGAAAGCTTTTGGTTTAAAGCTTGAGTTTAAGAGCACTAATGCTGAGCCTTTGTCATGAATATCACACAAGCAGCACTCCTCCTTTTACTCTCGAGGCAACATTAATTCAAAGAGGCTTAATTCTAACTTTATCTTACTACTTTAAAATGGACCTGTCAAATTATTCTCTATTATGTCTTATCAGCCAACAAAACTACATTTTATGAACATGACAGTAGTTAAAGATTTAATTTCTACTTTATGCTTAATTAAAGCTATGCTTATCAGCTGCACTGTAGCTGTCAGACTAGTTTGCAATTAGTCTGTTATCATCATTGACATTATAAATGTGTCACACAAATCACAAATGTGTGATTTGTGTGACAAATCCAAGGTGTGAGTGCACAGTGCCAACACAGAGTGCTACGCAAAATGTTATGGAATGCCAAACATAACCTAAAGTATAAGATCACTAAGGATGAAGAAAAAATGGCATTCAGTTTCTCACTTAATCCAGTCTTCTCCAATTCCCAAACCTGCAATTCTGTCACTGTAATGCCTCACAGTACTACACCGATCTGGGTGAGTTAAGGCTGAAAAGGCATCAGAGGGGTTTCATCAGAGGGGTTTGAGGTTTGCTGGCACATATTTTCAGGTCAACAGGTGCAAGAGATTCTTGAGAGATTTATTATGTAACCTCATGCAGGTAGAGACAGTGAACCCTCATGTTAATTTCCTTCCCTCCTCTGAAATATAACCTGCTGTATTCCCTTTAGACTCCTGGGCACAGATTACATATGATGCAGCGAGGATTCATTCCAAGCTGAAGAGCAAACCTCTCAATCACAGACAGTGTTTATACTAGCAAACCAATCGGGGCCAAGAAACTCATTTGTTTAAAGTGCATTATCATTCATTTAGATGTGCACGGCATCCAACACAAAAGTCTACCAATTTCCCAAAGCTGTTTCCCTCCTCTGTGTGCTGCTATATTGCAATGCTAGTCCTGTCACCTCCATTCTCAGTTTTTTATTTCTGGCGTTTTTTATAAATGCATACTCTAGTCAGCTGTCATAACATCAAACATTATGACATCTGACATAACAGTTACTAGTAACAGTAACATGACGGTGAGTACATTTGCACTTAATAATCTGATCACAACCAGATTTTTGAGTTATCTTATTCAAATGGTCACATAAACAGCTTAATCCGATTTCTTGACTGAAGTAAGATCTAGAAATCCGATTAAGAAACCCGATAAAGAGAGGTAAATCTTAGCTCAGTAATCAGATATCTCAGCACATGCATACTCTTACTCAGATTTCTCAGTCTGCACATGTGCAAAAACAGACAGCAGTAGAAGAAATAAGTAAGCAGCGTTTAACCCAGCGCCCGTGAGACGTCGACAAAGCACTTTTGGAGCGACACTGAAACCAACTACGTGTTTGAAGAAATTTAAATATTTAAATTTAGAATTTAAATATTCTTCACTTTCTCGATGATGTATGTTCATATATTAAGGTCAAAGTGGCTTAATGTTTAAAAAAAAAAAACAACGCTGCGGCATGAGTTTTACATAACGTTTACGTCATTTCTTCTTCTGTGAGTTTATTGGCTGATGGCAAAGCAGAAATCCGATTACTGCCAACTCATGTAAACCTGGGAGTTTTCCCATTGCTGAAAAAATCTGATTTACTGCAGTTATCAGATTATTAAGTGCATGGGAACGCACTCAGTGTTATATTACTGTAAAATATCTGTCATGACAACTCATGAGAGCATATGAGAGTTGCCCTGACATGTCTCTGACAGTTTTGTCAAAGTTATGTCATGGAGTTCAAGTAAAGTATCACCGAATAAGCTTCATCAGAATTTCTAATTTTCATCACCGACATCCAGTGAGAGCAACAGAGGCTGCGTGTTCTAAACAATGAATGATTTCATCATATACATCGCCTATACAGTCAATATTTCCAACCGAAGGTAGCAGGAGCTTTGAACTTTGCTATTTCTTTTGTTAGTTAGCTACTCAATGATTTAGCCATATGTCTCCTGCAAGCACTGTCCAGTGTACTGTGCTGAATGTGTCAAAAGTATTGCTTTAAAAGTCATTTAAAAGTTGTATTTGTACAAGACAGCTACATTCGTAGATTCTGTCATAGCAACAACATCGTTCGAGCAGCTGAGCTTCAGCCTGAACTACTACGGCAGGTCTAAATGATCAAACTAGAAAATGTGTTAAAGGATTATTAGCATTAAAAAATTTGTGCTGTTAATCATTCATCTTTCTTTCACAGCCCTATTTAAAATATAAAAGTCTCTGTGGAAATAATAAAAAAGTCAGTTAGTGACCTTTATTTGGTGTATGCAACAGAAATTTGGTATTGCACAATTTTAATTCAGAAATCTTTATTTCGCTTCAGGGAGAAAGCTTGAGTATGGGCTGGAAATGCACTATTCTACGGTGATGCAAACTTTCATAAAAAATGTAGCAGGTCCATCATAAATGCGAGATGAGGGGGACCGTATTTTTATGGCCAGTGAATTTGCAGCTCATGCCATGATTTAGTGCTGGCTAGACACTTTATGGTGCTGTGAAGGATGGCACAGCAGACAAATATGAGAGAGATAAAACTGGGCATTAAAACCTAAATTGCGTTTGAATCTCTTTTCTGTGTGTGTGCGTGTGTGTGTGTGTGTGTGTGTGTGTGTGCATACAGTTGCGGTAAGTGCTGAAAACTTGTACTCGACTTAAGTAGATTTAATTGCATTTTTTATGAGCCACAACTTGGAAAGTAGTTCAGTGGTGTTGCTGAAAAATGAGGTAAACATCGGCTGGCGCTTGTGTCTGTGTGTGTATGTGCATTAACTTATGTGTGTCCTCCTCACCAGGCAGACAGCTGTTGGTATTGCAGACAGTGTGCTGCTCAAAAGGAGATGGGCAGGCCAGTCCTCCAGGCTCAGGCTCCTGTAGAATACTCTTACTGCGCATTGAGACTCCTCCTCCACAGGAGGCACTGCACTCACTCCAGGAGGACCACTCGCCCAGTATACAAGAAGCTAACAGCAGACAAGATTCAATCAGAATATGAATCAAAATAAAAAATAAATCTGAATAAAACTGCATCTGGATAATATACACATTGGTGTCAAGTTCTAGAGACAGAAAATCTTACATTCATAGTCTCCAAACTGTATAAAATCACTGATATCCAGCCTCATGCAGCCCTGTACCTCCAAAACTGCTACAAAAACACATTCTATACATGTAAACCATTTGGTTTGATGTTAATGTCGATGGATAACTAAAGCGGAACATTTATCATAAAATGAATCGCGTAATGCCCCAAACATTACTGTTTAAAAGTTTGGAAGCAATATTTTCAATAACATGAAATATATTTGGTGCAGAAACATCATTGTCCAATAAAAATATAACAAAAAAACAAACAAAACCGACTGACATGACAAGTGAATAAAACTTTTAAATGATATAAATTGCAGAAATCGCAGACCTGGACAGGCAGGCTGAGTGCAGGTCTCGTTCTGTTCAGTCTCTGCACAGGGTGGGCCTCCTGCTGTGTGAGTGCAGGGACGACTACGTGTCCTCTGTCCAGCGCCACATGACACTGAGCACTCACTCCAGGACCCCCATGAGTCGTACACTGGGCAGGGCTGCTCGGTACACACCAGTGACCCATTTACACACACACTGCAGGGACAATTGAAGACACTGTGTGTTAAAGAATGAGGAGGCTGCTGGTTCGTCAGGCAATTTTATACTGCAAATATATAGATTCTTTATATATAGATGGTAGAATAAGCTAATTTCTAATAGACCTCCTTTACCCTGTGCCTGTGCTCTTACCAGGTGTTGCAGTCGACTGTGACATTCTGTCCGGGTGTAAGCTGAAGGGTGCCGTTCTCTGTGGGAAGTCCACAGCGACAGGCTGCCACTCTCACACACTCACCATCCTGCAGCAGCCAGCCATCAGGACAACGGCAGCCTGGACACACACAGAGACAGAAAAGAGGAAAGAGAAGGATTAAAGGGGAACACCAGTGATTTTCCTTAATTCCTGCATAATTCATTCATTAAGATTAAACAAAGCCATTCACAGTGGTTTGATGCGAAATGCTCTGTTCTAGACAGCGGTGATTCATAGTGGTGGTTATAGGGCAAAATAAGGCGAAATAGTCCCCACAGAAAACTTTGTTAAAGGAGTTTGTGTAGCTAAAGGACTGTGAATCCTTTACCTCAATTTGATGCAGGAAACTAAACTGATTAAATACATCATGAAATCTTAGATTTCATGTTCTTTTTTGTGGGGTGGGCAATTTAAATGTTTGGAAAAAAGCTAATAATTAGATTTTCGCCAAAAAATTAAGGTACATACTTTATCGAATACCATTGTAATAAATTATAATCAACACTAGTCAACTATGACGTTCTTACCCCTCAGGAATTACACTGGTATAGTTCTGTAGTCACTAGATGTGGAATAGCATGTTCCTGAACTGCATCTCCCAATGTTTTAAGGGGAAAGCATTTTGGCAGGGCATGTGACGCCCTGACAAAAATGTTGGGAACTTCATTCCTGCTTGACTTTGTCTTCTGTGAAATAAAACCAATGTAAATCTTTCCCAACACTTTAGCAAGTTTATAGATATAGCCCTTGTTGCTTCCACGCCCCTACATGGATGTCAGTCCCCCCGCCCAACAAAATGGGTAAAAGAAATAAATTAATGTATGCTCTTAGAAAAGTCACCAATGTTCTGAGAAATAAATACAAGGTGTTCTTAAGAAATTTTCAACTTTTTACTGAGTACATGGAAACATTGTCTTAACCGCTTGTTAAATTATTAGCAATTCTTGAACAACCAGTACCTAAATATGTCAAGAGTTTCTTTGGCAACATCTACAGTTTTATGCAAAAGTTTGGGAACCCCTGTCAGCATTACACATTGTGATGATTTCTGATGTGAAAAAATTAATATAAACAATCTGTGCAGAAAACTTCTGCAAAGGTTAGTGTACCTTTTATGTTTGGTTAACTTAAAAATAGAAAAAAAAAATGTACAAAAGTTCAGGCACTCTTAATTTAGTAACACCCCCTGTGGCAGATTTCGCAGCATGAAAACACTTCTTGTAACCAGCTAGGAGTCTTTCTTTTCTTGTTTTAGGAATTTTCACCTACTCCTCCTCACAGAACACTTTTAGTTATCTGATATTCTAGGGCCGTCTTTCATGCAAAACACTTTTACAATCTACCCACAGATTTTCAATGATGTCAGGGGATTGTGAGGGCCATTCCAAATGCTTCAGCTTGTATTTCTTGAAGTAGTTTCTGCTGGATATTGAGGTATGTTTTGGATCATTGTCATGATGTAGAAGCCAGCCTCTTTTAAACTACATTTCCTTGACTAACTGTGTCACACTTGCTTCCAGAATTGGCTGATATTCAGTGGAATCCATTCTTCCATCTACCTGTGTAATGCTTTCTGAGCCATCAGTCGACACTGATCCAGCCCTATGCTAATCAGTTTGCAAGATGGTCTTTTCATCAAAAGCTGCTTCTTTTTTCAGTCTTAACATACTGTTGGTGATTGTGACACGCTTTACCTTGAAACAACTACACAAGTGCAGGTTACAATATGACAGGTATAATGCTGGGCACAATACAGAATCTATGATTTATCATTAAAAATAATTTACATGTACGTTTTTACTTTTAGTTGTTGTATTTTTCTGTTGTTTATTTATTTCAGGATTAATTATTATGCTAATGTTATGTTAAATCATCAACTGCACATCAATACACCATGAAAAACTGATGTATTTTTACACCCCTTATGAGCAGAGTGTAGGGTTATTATTGACTTTTGTTGTGGCATTGTTACTGTATTAGTGACAGGAATACCTGGGTGACAGACTCCCTGCAGACACTGCACATGCTCCCACAGATCAGCACAGCTCCGTGGACACTGATTGGCACAGGAAGCCTCATAGACACGCCCCCTGTCTTCACACCGCTCACCTAAAATTCAACACAGGCAACAGCTGAAGAATTAAAAGTCACCTTTCCCATTTTGCATGTACTTATGTAGTACATACTGCACCAGTTTCCACATTTCATAATATTACTCAGTTAAAGACATGAGATCTATGAAATGAACACATGTGGACCCATGCAGCAACCAAAAAATATTACATAATCCAAACTATCAAATATTTTAGAGACTTTAATCAGCTCCTTTGCCTTGAGCAGTTTTACACACTCTTGGCATTCTCTCAAGCACCTTCACAAGGAGCCACCTGGGATGCTTTTCTAATAGCCTTTCCAACTGAACATCCACGTATACTGAGCACTTGTTGGCTGCAAAAACAATTAGTTGGAGGGCATTAATTATTTATTTTTTTTTACATGAAAAAGTGTTTCAAATTAATACATATACAGACTTGACTATTTCTACTTTATATACACAAAACGTATCTGGATAGCCTTTCTAATTAGTGAACCAGGAGCACTCATTACTGCTAAAAAGGCATTCATTTGTGCACACACAGCTTGTATGAGTTCCACAGAAAAGCGCAGCCAAAAGAATGGGGCACTCTGGAGCAGCTGCACATGATCCTAAAAGTCACCAAGCCAGGAGTTGGCTAGAGGGGTATCAAGCCCACAGCATTTGGCTGTGGTGCAGTGGAACTGTGTTCTCTGGAGTGATGGAGCTCCATCCAACTCCTCTGGGATCAGCTGAAGTGGTGTTTGTGATCTAGAACTAACCATTCAGCATCAGTACAGAACCTCAGTAATGCTCTTGGGGCTGAATGCAATCAAAGCCTCATTAAAGCATCATATAGTGTGAAGTCTTCTCATACAACGTTGTTCTAGGAAAAACACTAAAACTGGTGCAGAACCTTTACATTACATTGTATTTGTGTGTGTAGATGGTATTGCATGGTCATGTTTGTTTTTAGCATATATACATAGGTGTGTTTGTGTGAGCGTGCGTGTGTGTTTGTACACACCAGGACAAAGGCCAGTATTACAACTCTGTGACTGGCTCTGCTGTCTTGGGCAGTGGGGCCCGGGGATGGCTGCTAAGGCTTTGCGCTCACGCTGGCGGAATCCACCACTACATGGGTCCTGACACACACTCCATGGTCCCCACACACTCCACTGGCACAGGTCTGCATTCAACAACACAATGACAATAAACACTCACACCCTTGAGGGGCAACATTTTATATTTTCCTTTTAGAATAATGTATTTTTTCAAGAACAAATATCTGTAGCTGCACTTCCTAATTTACTGCAGCATGCTACATATTACATAAAAAATATTAAAGGAATTGTAGTCCTTTAATCCATCATCTATGAAGAGTTTCTGCTGTTGGGCAACGCTGAGCAACAAAGACTGTACTGTTCAAAAGTTTTTTGGAAGTTGAAGGAGAAGAAAAGAAGAAGCTTATGTCCAAAGATACTTATGTCCAAGGTATGTACAAAATGATGGATTAAACTGGCTGTGGGTCTAAAATTACTGGGAAATTGTATAGCATTGAGAATTAAGTTAAAATAAAAATTCATATGCAAATTTCCTTGTATTTCAAAGTTGATAATTAAACAGCAAAGTTGGCAAAAATGATCATATGTTATCATTCGCCAAACATTATTTATCATATCATGTATTTATACTTGAAATACTGAATAAAAAAGTACTTTCTGGAGTCTAGGTGAAATATTGAAGTCATTATTGTGCATACAATACCAAACACTGATTAATTAAAAAGATAAATGATTCCAAACTTTTGAACAGTAGTGTAGCTAAGGCCATTGTCAGTTTTGGTAGTTCTGTAATATCAGTAATTATGAACAAAAAGTAGTCCCACCTTTGCAGATGTCAGGTTGGGGGCATATTCTCTCCTCTTCCAGCGGTTTGGAGCACTCCCCTTCTCTTCCATTGATAGGCAAACCAGAGTCAACATCCAGACACGCCCGGTAACGCCTCTGGACCGACACCAGAGCAGCAGCAGTCGCGTGCACTCCAGCACCTTCACCTACGTCCACTGTAGAGCCAGATTGGAGGAGAGAGGAGGCAGGAACACAAGGAGAGCAGGAAGTCCATTCTGACCACTCACTGAGTGACACTGAGTGGGTGAGAGAGACAGAATGAAAGAACAACATGGGAGAATAAGAGTGTGATTCACAAAACTTGTAAAACATTTTCACATTTTTTAAAAAAATACTTTGGCTGGATTTGTTACAGAGGAGTTAATGTAATTTGCAATGTCAATTTGTATGAGATAAAGCAGGGGTCTTAAATTTGGGTCCTAGAGGGCCAATGTCCAGCATAGTTTGGTGATTTCCCTGCTCAATCACACCTACTGAACCTCATAATCACTTTTCTCAAATTAGCACAGATAACACGGACTGAAAGGTCATAGCCCGGATGTACACGCTAGCATTACAAGAACAAGTGCTACACTCAATAACAATAACAACATGGTGCATGGCTGTATCCATTAGCAGCATTGTTATTGCATTAGTGTGAGTATTTAAACTGGATTACTATTACTGATAAAGCTCTGGTTTGGGTCAGCTACAGGGAGTCATGCACTCCAGAATTAACAATTAGACTTGTTAGTAATCACTTACATTATAGTAAACCTCCAAGTAAAAAAAAAAATCAGCTCAAAAAGGCCCAAAGGTTCAAAAAGTTCAACCCTCAATCAAACTCTACAGTCTTGACTTCATTACCTTCACATTCTCGAGAATCACACTTCAAAGATCCTTCATGGCATAAGCTGAAACAAAGGCAATTAAAAGAATAAACATCAGAGGAAATGTAATCTCTTCCGCTCTGTTTCTCCAGCTAGGCAATCTTGAACCTTTGATCTGAAGGGCGTGCAGTTCATCATTACAGCTTATTAGAGGTTAAGTATGTGATCTTACCATGTGCTGCAGCCTACAGTGATTTGCTTCCCCTGTGGGACAGTGACAGGAAGAGGTAGGCCTGAGTCTTGCTGCAGGAGGTGAATACAGCCACACTGTTCTGGGGGTACACATGTCTCATTCTGCTGCAGCAGACCCTGGAATCACCCAGAGAAGTGAAGAATTTCAATGAAGTTTCATTGGAGTTTTCATTGAAAAAGAGGCTCAACATATTTCTGATCACACTGCATTTTGGAACTTGCATTTGGAAAGAATACTTGTACTTGTTGCTAAGTTACCCTGTTACGTGTGATGGTAAAATTAGCTCAGTGAAGTTGACAGACTAACACCAACCTTATATTCTTGGAAACAGAATGAGAGGTGAGAAACAGTGCTCTGCAAAAGTCTTAGGCTACCTGAATTTACATTTAAAGTCATTTATAGGGGCAGTAATCATTTACTAATATAGTAAGTACTGACACAACATAATAAAATTATTAACACAAAAAAGCTTAATCATTTTCAAACCTCTTCTTAAAGTAGCCCAGTGTTTATAGTCATTGTGCAACATCTGGTTTTGTTATTCAATACTTCACTGAATTGCCTGTGATGGAATTTAACAAATACATGTGATGGCTGGTGTGCAATGAGGAGAAGAGGAATCAAACCTTCTATCCATCTCACAGCATTCTTGTTACGTTTTACCAGGCCCGTGTACAGACTTTTTGAGGGGCAGAAAAAAAGGGCAACCAGAACATAAATTTGATTTAATGTACTGCATAGGGCATGCACTTTTATCCAGACAGACAGTCTAATTATATCTGAGAGGAAGGCAAATGCAGTGTTAGGAGTCTCACCCAAAGACAGGCAGTCTTCTATAGGCAGTCTAAAATTGCACAGTTACATGCTGAGATGAGAGTGTTCTCACCAGAGCCAGACAATGAACGGGCTAGGCGGTTATGTTATTCACCATTCGACTGGACTGCTATTAACTTTAAGCAGATCGTCTCTTTAATAGCTCCACAGGGCCTTGCATAAATCTGTGTTTTTACAATAATTAAAAACTTGGTCTGTTAAGTTATTCGCACCCCTCACTGCCATCTTTAAGTATGGTTGTTCAAAATGACAACATTTTGGAATATTTGAATAAAGCAGTAAGATATGAGAGGCTATGTTACTATGATTTTACGACAGGTAAGGGGCGTTCTTAGGCATGTGAAGCAGAGTAACACATGGCCTCAAGTGGCTTATTGGTTTTATAAAACTGTGACAATATAAAATACCATAAAATACACAATCAGTAATTTAAGTTGTAATGAATTAAAATCATAATAAACAACTCTTCCATCAAGAAATGTAGTTTGTATAGTTATAGTATAATATTGTTGCTAATCAATACAGAGCAGGTTTTTGGTCATATAATAATGAAAATGTTCTAAAATACCAGTGTTTAAAGGATCAGCGCATAAGACGATGCAAGCTGCCAAATTTATACTGCACACTCCAAACAAATAGGGGGCAACAAATCACCAGAAAGTTGTGGTGTCCACCCCTATCGTGAGAAACAAGAACACGCACAGTCCCTTCTCCTCCCTGCTCTTTCCCCATTTCCTTACCAGTTTAGGAGAAATGGTGTAAGTTCAGCATTAAATTTCATCCCTTTACTTGCCAAAGTCTCCAGAAGTGGAAAGCAATGACAATTTTAACTCTTGTTTTGCTTCTATTTATGTCACTTCTTTGCTACCGAATGTGGTTTCTTTTGGGAGCAGGCAGCGATGGTGATAATGGTCGCTTTCCAAGAGCTTTAGCCATTGTTGCGTTTGCTGTTGCTTTCATAACGTAACCATCTAGCCCGTTACTGTTCCTTTCATTGACTACCTGTCCTTAAATGACCTACCTGGGGGCAATACCTTCAACATGATTGACAACAGATTAGAACGCGGGGCAGTGCTACTTCTTCATCCTCTCATGTTGGACTGATGGCAGACTCTACAGTGACGCACTATTCCCTCCAGAGTATAAAGTGGCATTACGAGACAGAACGGACCAAGACTAGCTGGTTAGCATGCTAACTTCAGTAGATATCTCTGTGACACGATACATAAATGTCTTTGACATAATGCCAACACTTATTTCTTCACATTCTGTTGATAATTTTAGTTTATTTTGGAAGGTTTTGCAGAAAGCTTCACCTTACATGTCATTTTGCTCACCAAATTAATGGTAATGCTAATCTCTGTTTGTGTCTCAATGTGATTTTGTGTTGTGTTAGCATCAAGCTAATGGTGCTTGCATTTTTCAGTGAATCATTCAGTAAATACTCAGGTCAAAGCATATCAATGTAATGTTAACTAAAAAACAGTTTAGAATGTTAGCCTGTTTAATCAGCTATCTTCTAGCTTAGTTGTTAAGAAAATAAGTTGTTTGCCCTCCATTCACAGCATAATTTTTGGTTTTAGACTTGTCACATTAAAACAGAATTCAATTGCTATGAGGCAGTCATTAGAGTGTGTCTATCAAGTATTTTACAACAGTTTAGATTTTAGGACTGGAACTGTTTTAAAAAGAACATCACTGATTTATCTGTGGGATTTCCAGCGCTGCTCTGTTGTGATTATTGGTGTTAGGTTGAAGTTAATAAGGTAAAATCAGTGATAAATCCACATTGTGGAGTCCAGACCCAACCACTAGCTCTATTCCCGGGGCAAGACTGAGCACTTACTGAGCAATTACTGACCGGACAATTATTATACCCACTGACCAGGGCACTTGTACAGACTGAGGGCAAAAGGACAGGAGCACAAATCTATGCACATGCCTACTTTTTACCATAATGATGTTTATTTGTATTTTTTTATCTTATAGAGTGCTTTTATAAAAATACCTTGTCCCTGACAAACAGTTTTAAACTTTCTAGTGATTTTTTTTTGCTGGTTTATGACTTTTGCAGTGCTGTATATCAGAGTTCATAACCACAGGCAGAGAGGGACAGAGATATTTCAGTTTTACTGCAGGATAACTGCTTCAATAATCGAGATTTAAAGCAGCAGTCTAGCTATGCAAGGACACTTAGGGACGTTGCTATTAATGCTCAGGTGTAGAGTGTTAAGCTGACCTGAGGGCAGTAGCACCCATCCGTGCAGCCCGACTGACCCACGCAAGCATCTGCCTGGCCTTGCAGAACACATTGCTTCTCACACGGAGAAGCGCAGTCCAGCTGGAAGGGCTCGGTACAGTCTGACACACAATCATGCAGAGAGTGAGAGACAGAAGGACAAATACATCACATTGCAGGCATTACACACTAAATTTATACCTGTCTCTGGATTTGGAAACTGAATGCAGATACTTTCCAGAAGAGAGGTAACAAAACCCTACAACACACCGGTCAGCTTAACATGTTTTGAGCGTCAATGTAAACATGGACACTGACAGACTTGTAGGACACTCACTCTGACAGTCCTGAAGTTTGCAGGGTCTGCTCTGCCGCTCAAGCTCTGTGCAGTGCTGACTCCTAGTGGTAGTAGAGAGCGGTGCACGATAGCGCTGCTGCCATGGAGACACACACGAACACACCGTCCACTCACTCCACTCGGACATGGGACAGTCTGTGTGTGTGTGTGTGTGTGTGTGTGCGCATGAGACAGAGAGAGAGCGTGAGAGAGAAAACACATGGTCAATAAGTAAATAACTGAATAAACCAGGAATCACTTGTCATTTTAATAATTGTCATGTTATTCAAAAACAACATAAACAATGACATTTTTTATATTTTTCTAATATTTTTGTTTTATTTTTATTCAACATTTCAAGGTTCTTGAAAACCAGATGTTAGGTGATTAAAATACACTGTAATTGTCTGTTCATTGTTATTTTGTGTCAAGTGTCAAATTGTGTGGCCTGTGATTTAATCTACTTTTAAAATACGGGGCATTCTGGACATTAATTTTATGATAACTTTATTGTAAATGTTATGCTGCTTTCTTATGTCTTATGAAATCATCTACAACTCATATCATTCTGGACAAATCCAATATTTCTTCAGTTTTACCTCTCACTACTCTAAAGCTATGAAATAGAAGAGCACTGGTATCATAGTAGAATCATTTTATAAGTACGATTCTCTACCCGGTTGTATGCAAAGGTTTGAACACTTCTGGTCAAATTACATGTTTTGTTGACTTTCAAAACAGTAAATAAATAAATGAACATATCATCTGCAAGCTTAAATATGGCATTTTCTGTACACAGTTTCTGTTTGTTTGCTTAGTTTGACAGTTTGGAAGAATACAGACATAAAGGTCCCATACCTTGGGAACAGGCCACATTACATTAAATTCAGAAAATAAACAGTAACAGTGTATTAAATTGTGCAACAGACAACTGAAATAAACCAGTGAACAAAAAGTGATTTTAATAGTTAAAAATAAATAAGTAAATAGATAAATACATAAAGTTTTTCATAATCTGTATTATTAATAAAAAACATAATACATAAATAAAAATAAAAAATTAATCATTAGATTTATGTATGACATATATATATATATATATATATATATATATATATATATCTAACAGGGCTGTGCATTTGTTTGTGGTAGTACTCTACAGGGTCAGTTTGATCTTGTAGAGAACTCACCAGGGCAGGGTCTCCTGTAGCACAGCCGAGTCTCCTCTCTGTCCCTCTCTGCCTCTATGTGGTCAGGGCAAGAGTGGTCACCTTCCTCCTCACACACGCACTGCCTGCGTCTGGACGCCACTCCTGCACCACAGCTCCGCGAGCATGGTGACCAGATGGACCACGGACACAGGTCATCTGAGAGCAGGGGACAGGACCAGGGACATCATTCAACTTCAGAAGTGACAGATATTTACCATGAATTGCGACACAAACGTTGTATTATTAATAGTATTGCTCAAAACTGAACGCAGGGAGTGGAACACTGAATACACCAAAGCACAATACAGCAGGAAACATCAGTACCCAGACATGGAGCAGTCTGGCAGTCCTGGGTATCACTCTCCGGTCCAGAGCAGTGGGTGCCGTTGTTGCGGGGAGGGGGGTTGATACAGGCCCGGCTACGGATTTGTGTTCCCCGGCCACACGTCACGGAGCAGTCAGACCATACAGACCAGGGAGTCCAACCACCGTCCACTGCCAAGAAAATAAACCTTACTACATCTGTGAACAGTTCATTCAAAAGTTTAGGACCAATATTTTTACTACTACAAAATTACTTTTGCAGATTCACACATAAAGTAATTATAATTTGCAGGTCTTGTGCAACTTCACATTTCATGTACAGTCATATAAAAAGTTTGGGCACCCCTGGTCAAACTACATTTTGTTGAAATTCTAAGTGAACATTTCAATGCACAATTACAGTTTATTTGCCGAATTCAACGTTTAATAAAAATGTGGCCTGTGCAAAAGTTATGGCCCATTTTACATTTTATGTTTTCATTTTCTCCAATATGTTAATGTTAAAATTTGCAGAAAAATATCATATTTAAGTGTGTTTTCTGTAGAAGATGTGTTATTTATTTTCACTTAGAAAATCAACAAAACATGTCATGTGACTGTACACGTGTATTTAGTAGGAAGCTAATGATGATGAACAGAGCAGCAGAAAGACCCAGAAAGCAGAACAGCACTGAGAAATAAGCTTTAATAAAGTTTCCATCCAGCAGGAATGCATGATGATATCAGAATCATATCGGTTTTTGTCTACAAAGAATATCAGCATTTGAAAGATTTGATGTTTCAAGCCAATATTTCATGATAAGTTAATGACACTCCAGAAAAGCAGAAGGTTTAGGTGAAGTTGGGTCACTGTGCTAAAATGTCTGTATTTTATTTATTTATAAGCATAAGCATTTATAGTATAGTGTTGTAGAATTAAATAAAATAAATAATATTTCTCTGTAATGCTAATCCTGGCGGACCTAATCCCAATTTCTACATTGTCTAAATGTTTATGTCTTGACATGCAAAGTTTCTGTATGTACAAGAAAAAAGTACTGGATATCGGCCCACAGTTCTTATATCAGTGCGCCCGCAACGTCCAGAACATTTCAAATTTCAAATATTAGCATTTATCTGACAGCAACTTTTTGCTGCTCCTATAATGATTTAAATATTGATCTAAAACAATTTTTACATCTATTACAGATATAAAATAATAAAATAATGTGCATTTGTGATTCACAGGACTTCAAAAGATTCAACTGCAATAAAACACATTTTTAGACAGCTGTTACAGAAATGTATTTTTCAGATTACTGCAGATTTTACCCACCTCGACAGTCAATATCTTGGCAGTACTCTCCTTCCGGGATACATGTGCTGAATACCACAATGAAAATACAAAAACAACAATTCACACACAGTACATGACATAGTGTGTTTGTGTTTGCACAGTGTTAGCATCTGCGTGCACTATATGTTTATTTATATACTAGTATTATTTCATTTAAAACAAGAAAATCAGCAAAAGAAACCAAATGATATTTTAAAATATACCCAGATATCACATCCTGGACCTCACCCACCATTGTTTACATTCCCCTTGCAACCATGTGTCTCCGACAGACAGCTCCTGGTTGTCATGGAGACACAGCGGGGGGCAGGGCCCTAGGTCACATGATTTGCGCTGAACTTCCTCAAACTGACAGTCAACATCTGGGGACTCTGGAATCAGCGATCTGAAAGGGCAGTATAGTTGTCAGTTCTTGACAAGTGATAATTCACGTTTTTTTTTCACCAGTGATAACTCGCAAAGTGATCTGTCAATCTCCTCTGTTCCATCAGCCCACAGCTTTCTACACTCCTTCTTCCCATTCATTCTTTATCCCCCACTTTCTTAATCACCACTTCACTAAGCATCTGGACCCAAACAACAGTCACTCAGACAGACTGTTTTCAAGCAGCCACAGCATGGAAAAAGAATTCTTTGCTTTTTTTTTTAAAGAAAGAAAAGAGCTTTAGCTATGTTAACACTGTTACAATTTCAAAAAGTATTGTTGGCTACCCAGCCCATATATATGGACATTAAGGTGCCAAACAGCCCTTTTTTGAATTCATCATGGTAATCATTTAAGCAGTTTACATTAAAAGAAGATGCCCATTTAGCCTCCAACAGTTTAGCCTACTCAATCACAAATGAAGTGATGAGGAGTGTTGTTTCTGCAGTCTGAAGCATAGTTAATGATGTGGAAGAGAGAAAATTTTCAAATGTTGTGCTGCTACTTGTTATCAGAAAATACACATATCAGTGAAGGCTGTCAAAGAATTCAGACACCTGAAAAGAAGTAAATGAAGCTTATTTTTTCCAACTTCCCTCAGAATTTCAATCCAAACTTGTCAGTTTGTCTGGCCTGCTGGAATGTAGTTCTATATCAGAACAGAGAGGTCAGTTGCACATAGCTGTCTTAAAGGACTGATTAACAAAAACAATTTATGTCATTTCAAAATGGAAAAACAAATGTTTTGGGTACATAAAGCCACACAGCATAAGTAGGCTTCAGAAGAAATAACAAAAAATTAAATAAAATACAGGGGCTCCCAAGTGGCACAACCGTCTAAGCGTTGGCCCTATCATCAGGAGATCACGAGTTCGATCCCTGGTGATGCTACAACCATCTGTGGCCGGGAGTCCTAGAGAGCACAATTGGCTTCGCTCTCTCTGAGAGTTGGAATTGGAGACGACTAAATTGGGAAGAAAATTGGGTAAAAATAAAAACCAAACATACACACATAATATGGCCCCTTTAAATTCATTCAAACATTCAATCTCTTTTTCTCATAATAAAATCACAGCGGAGTCTTAGCCATAGCTGTCACTAGGGATGTGTGTTGTGCATTATTTTCGATTTTGATTTGAGTATCCGCAGGAGTTAATGAACGGATATCTGGTTAACCACAGGAAGGAGAAATCACAAAAAATGGTACTTTGGCCAAGAGTAATACAGGGTTGGAGCCGGACGCTACTCTTTTAGGTGGTGGAAATGTATTAAGCTAAAAAAGTAGCATCAAAATTTACAGCAAGTAGAGGAATACATCTGAAAACATATTTTATTGTTCAAAAAAAGCAGAGAGAATTCAGTAGTTTTCATGTTAGATGGGTAACAGAGGCTGCCTCAGATGTGAGCTAAAACTACAGCTAACTTGTACAACACTGGATGTTGATGGAAACTCGTCTTACACAAGGTCTTTTCTCCTCAGTGGACAATGTGCCAATATTTTAGTTTGTCAGAGAAATATTTTTCAGTTTCTGGACCTAGCTAATTTCAGCTAGAGTATTTAGCCTGTTTAACTATAAAGCCACACACAATGCATCTGCCATCTCAGCCACATCCTTAACAACACAACCCTGGCAACACGCTCACGTTCAGACACTCATGTTTTGGAGTGACAAGACCATTGACACAAACACTGAGATCTTGAACGGTTAACCAAGTACTCAAGTACCGAGCACATCCCTAGCTCTCACCTGAAGCGTGTTCTTTGTCCTGACCCACAGGTGGCACTGCAGGAGGCCCAGCTGGACCAGGAGCTCCATGAGCAGCTGCTGTCCCCTGCGCAGGTGTGGTTAGTGCAGAGAAGCAGTCCATCTGTGCAGCTACAGTTATTGCAGTCAACCTGGTGCTGGCTGCCTGCAGCCCAGCTCTGACCTGCAGCATCCACACAGTCACACTGCCACAGCTTCACACACACCCCATCCTGCAGCAGCTCTCCTATACACATTCACACATAAACACAGAAGTTACAGTTATGGCTTAAGTCTGCTTATGCACTGACCTATCCAATAAAACAGTACATCTAAAGATAGAACTAATCTAAGGGTCAAATCCATTTGTTCTCCCTCTTTCACCTCGAGGGCAGCGGCAGCCAGGCTGGCACTCAGTATTGGTCTGGCACTGAATGCCTTGCTGCAGGTCCGAGCATCGCTGAGGGCATTCGTTAGCACAGGGCACAAACTCCTGACCCGGTGGGCACCCACGCTCATCTAGGATTTACACACAGATTAAACAGCACATTCCAGTGTATAAAACTTTAAAAGATATACTTATTAAGCATTTTTCTCTACATACATACAGAAGTTGAACACCTCAATAAATAAATGCAAATGTTTTGGTCAGTCGTACCACATGGTTTGGTGTTGCAAGGTTTGACTTGGTTCTTCTCTCCAACACATTTCCGCCCCCCATTTTTAGGGGGAGGGCTGGAGCAGGAGCGTGTCCGGATCGAGCGGCCGCCCCCACACGCCTTATCACAGCGTGACCACGGACTCCAGCGAGACCAACTCCCATCCACTGAAAAAGGAACAGAGTTTTAAGTCTTTCATTTAGAAAAAGCAGTCTAGCTGAATTCTGCCTATCCCTGTCTTTTTATGCTGCACACCTTTTTTTTATATTTGCTTGAAGAGGTCTGATGCACTTAGTGCATGTAAGTCCTGTGTATATAACTCTTTTTAAAACTTCAGTAAAGTTAAAAGTAAAGTTGTATAGTTTATTACCATAGCTCTCAACCTTTATGGAAAAATGTACACCATTTTACAAAAAGTGAGAAAAAACTGCATCTGGTTGTACATGTACAATTAAATCTTTTATACAGAAGGGGAAAGGGCTACTTAAGCTATTTGATTTCCTTCTCTTATTAAAGCAAAGGTTTGCCATAAATTATATTTACACAATCAGCTAAGATGCTTTTTTTTATTCTTCTTTAGTTTTGCACTGGAGCTACAAGAGTATTATAATAGAAGTGTTTATAATAATGGATTTTGGGTCACATAGATATCCATTATTTTTCAGCTAGATTAGACTTGTAGCTCCAGTGCAAATTAAAGAAGCAAAATTTGGACCCTAAACATGTCCTGGCTGGTTGTCTACACATGAGAAAAGGAAAAAAAAATTAATTGTGAATCTGATTCTTCTGTAAACTATTCAGTAACACTTTACTGGAATAACCTACTGTAGAACCCAATCTAAACCCTAACCCTATCCTTCGCCCCAAAACAGTTGAGAATCAACTTTCACAAGATTTCACAAATGAAAATTCAAAGTTAAAAAAAAATGAATTTTGTCATGGACTATTCATAAACCAAATGCAAAAGCTTCAAGCTTCAGTCACCTTTTTGTTACCCTGACTGAATAAGTGCTTCCAACAACTAAAATCTAAAAATCTAAGCTGTTTATGTCTTAAATGTACACCTGCACTTGTTCAGGAACTGCTGCACTGCATCCAACAACAGATGCTTGGCAGAGTCTAAGACAGTACTGTGATGTTTCAGCTCCGGCAGTAAAACTGCTACTTCTTTTTTGACACATTTGATTCATTACTTTAACCAACCTAATACCTTTGGTGAAAACTAAAAACTTTGTCTTAAAGTGTAGATGTTAAAGTGTAGAAGTTATGCACCACTTATTGGCTCTAAATTTTGCTTTTTACCTGTCCATTTACTGAATCAGAAATGAACAATGCACAGTACATGGCAAAACTATCGCAACATATGTGCAAAACATCAAAGCACAGCAGTATAAAGCGATCCCCTTTCTCACCACGGCATGCGCGGATGTTGCAGAAGCGGTTCTCCACATTGCCCCTGAGGATGTCTGGACACCAGGTTCCGTTAACGCCCGGGGCAAGGAAGCTCCTGAAGCGCTGTTGCTGGCCCACCCCACAGGAGCGTGAACACGCACTCCACTCACTCCACTGTGTCCACGAGCAGTTCCTGTGGGCACACACTTCACCCACGCACACCCCACCATCTACCAAACAACAGCACAGCCAGCTGAGTTTATATGCTAAGCAGAAATATACTTAAGAGTTTATTACAGAATGACAACTGGAACTTGTAAGATTAAATGAGCAGTACTTCCAACAAGGAAGACTCTAATGCTAATGTTATACAGCATGTCCCAAAAAAATTGACATCATTTCGTAGTCTAATAACATAGCCAATTCTCCCTGAAATGATCTCAAATTGTAACAAAATGTGTAAAAACTAACCAAGTTCAATTTATAATGTTTTTTTTTCAGGTTGAAGAATGGCGTTCACTAGAAATTAAAACGCATTTTGTGTATTAGAATATGCTCAAACACAGTCAAACAAGAGTGTGCAGGTGCATTTTCAAGACAATTCAATAAAAATGCACCAACTGGAAAGCAGATTTGGACATGGCACAAAAAATTCAAAGAGGAAGGCTGTCTGTGCAGGGCAAAGGGATCTGGACGACCACCAGTATTGGAAGATATTACATTGGTGAAGCTTTGTGAAATCGGTTATAAAATTTACATCCCTCTGAATTTCTTGTTCAAATTTTGATAAATAAATCTTGTATTGTGCAACATGAAGTCTATTTAGGACATACACTTACTCAGATATTCACATCTCAAATGATGTCAATTTTTTGGGACACCCTGTTCATAAAGCTGGCCTAATAGGATGTTGGACTTCTTGGCTGTACTACCAACTTTAAAAAAGTGCAGACAGCACCACACTCTATAGAAAAGATGGGTTGAACAGCACAACCAAGTTTACAGGCATCAGCACAAATATAGATCTACATAAGAGCTCAATACAAGTTAAAATATCTGTGCACTAAGTCACTGAATTAGGAAGACTAAGGGGTAGATTTACTAATAGAGGCACTAATAACAGACAGTCCACTGACACTTCGTGCTAAGGGGGGTGGCCAGTCTTGCAGCCCAGATAGCAAGCATATATCGGTCTGCTGGCTTGATAAGGTCAGCACCCCACTGACTCTTTGCCACTGCTGGTCCACCCTTGGACCACTCAGATTACTGTTCCTGCATATAAGGTCTAACTAGTTTTTAATCTCCTCAAACAGAGTTTAAATTCACAAACAGTAGTCCACTGCTCTCTTGCTATCAGGGAAGTTATCTACTTCCCTACAAATGAACATAGGCCAAATTCGCAGTTAACATATGACAAGCACACTATAACCATGTGTTTAGCTTACGTACTTTTTGTATGAAAGCCTGTTTCTACCAGATGCGAGAAAAAAGTTGTTGTAGGTTAAAACTTCGACTCATTGGGTCAAAATAAATATGTATTTTCTCAAAAGTTTCTGAAAAGTAAGAGTTTTCTCAGGCGTTAAATAACATACAGACTAGAGATGAAAGGATTGGTCGGCTATGTATTGGTATCGACCAATTTTCAGCCCAAATATGTGATCAGTTGACATTTCTCCAACTTGGCCAAACATGAGAGCTGATCAGTGATGTAAAACATATCAGCCATATTTCGTCTGAGGTGCCAAATTATAACTGCTGCATCATTTAAGGTGGAAAGGTCTGTTAACACTGTCTGTTGTTAAACTTTGAGGGTTGATTTCTGTTAGCACATTAGCATCCAGGTGCTAATCTTAGCTTAGCTTACATTGCACTAGCTTACTGACCTACAGCTTTGGCTGGGACTGAAAATAAAAAGAACTACAAAAGTGATCGTATGTCAGCCCTTTTTATCACATATTTAAAACCTCATCCATGAAGCAGGAGGACTATTTTGTCCTGTTTGATCATCTGTGCTGGTTGCATAGGCTCTGGTTATTTCAACTGTTGTGCGAGGCACCAAATATTACTGCTGCAACATTTAAGGTGAAATAGGAAAATCCTGACAAAAAGCTGGCAAAAAAGAAGCTAACTACAGCTTTACTGAGAGTTGAAAGGCATGAAAAGAGATGAGTGGGCTGCTTGGTTTCTGCTTGACAGGTGGGTAGCATCAGCTTATTTTTTGCTCTTCACAGAACCAATAGGTCAGTATTATTTTGCTAGTATTTATGTTTGTGATAGCAACTGGTGAGCTTTGCAGCAACAACTGTAGTGACAGTTTGCTAACCCACAGCCAAGTTAACATCAGTTGCATTACTTGCTGTGTCGTTTGTTTACTCTAACGTTGTCTCATTGCATTTGTCTGTTCAACGTTTGCAAGGGGTTTTTCTGCCATGAAGATCTAAAAAAGTTTTGTTTGCCTTTACAATGCGTGTCTATGAATTTGGGGGCAGAGCTTGTTAAGGAGAGGTGAAAGGAGGGGTGTGTTTGTTTTGCTGTTGAGTTCAAATATCAACAATTGTTCTCCAGAATCGTTTACCGTGCCTTTAAATTTGGTCTTCAGCCCCACCCTTGATTGGTATTGGCTATTGGTCGATTGTGCTGGAAGCTCATCAGTGATCACTACTGGCTCTAAAAACACTGACTGGTTCATCTCTAGTATTTATTATCAGTCTTAGTAAATGAAAGTAGGTGATCCATTATAATCTCCTCCCAGTATTTGTTTGCTTTGAGTGGGAAACTCCTATAAATAAAACTCCCATATAAACATGAAATGAGGCAAAAGTGCAAAACGGAGGCAATAGGCCTTTGATCTTTTTATAGGCACTACTTAGTAAATTACAAAATTGATTAATTCCAAAAAAGTAGACTGTGATGGTGTAAAACATTACCAAATCTACCCATAAATGAATATGCAGTGTTCAACTATTATGGCTTTTTGACTGTCATAGTGCTTCCAAAGATAAGCAAGACTGTATGAGCTTATACACCTCTGGACAGGGTGGGCAATATGACAGTATTTTATCAGATCGTGATATATTATGTAACAATATGGTTGTCACATGATGCTTTTCTGATATATATTGCGGATACTGTCAATACTTAAGAAACATGCATGTTTACTACAAAGAGAACATGGTAGAGAACACATTGCTTCATAGTAGGTTTAGTAATAGGTTTGGAAGATATGATTGTGTAAATGAAATCAGGAGCAGAAGAAGGCATTACCAGGACACTGCGGGAGGTTGCAGATTCTCTCTTGGCTGTTCTGTCCTGAGCAGGGTGCACTGATGCACTCTCTCTTACGAGACTTCACTGCAGGAGCACCTGCATCACTACAGGTTTTAGAACATGTACTCCAAGCTGACCACTGAGAGAACCCTATGTCTTCATCTGCATTGAGAGAGAGAGAAAGAAAGAGAGAGATAAGCAAATAAAAACTCTGTGATACAATAAGGTAATGACAAGAGATAAGAAGTTAACCATTACAAACCTAGTGTGCTAGTGTGAAAATTAAACAGCTGTATGATTGATTACCTGATAGAGGAGGTTCCTCTGTAGGAAGTACATTCACTGCAATCAGCATAATTATCATTAGTCACACATTAGACAGAAAAAGCTATTTCCCAAAAGCTATTTAGGATTATCTTTACTATTAGAAGTCAGAGCTATTACCAGTGAGTGTGTTTACATGCACTCAATAATCCAATCATTATCAGATTTCGGCAATTATCTGATTATTCAAGTGGTCATGTAAACAGCATACTCCGATTTCTTAAATTGGATTAAGGCCTTGAAATCTGATTAAGATATTTGATAAAGAGAGCTAGATTTTAGCTTTGTAATCAAGTTTTTCAGTGCATGTACACCTTTAACTCAAATTTCGTTCATTTTTTTCAGTCTGTTCATGCGTGAAATAGACCGCTGTCCTGGAAATAGCAGGCAGTGTTTAACACCGCCCACAAGATGGCCACAAAACATCTTAGGAGTGACGCTGAAACCAACTACATGCTTGACGAAATGAAGGATTTGAATATTCTTCATCTTCTAGATGATTATTCGCATTTTCATCTTCACATTCATATTTTGAGCCATGTTTACAAAAAAAGCTGCAGCTTAATGTCTGAGATTATGTTTATGTCACATCTGTGAGTTTACTGGCTGGTTGCAAATCAGAAATCCTATTATTGACTGACTCGTGTTTTCCCATTATCTGATTACCCAAGTGCATGTAACCATGTTGAACTAATTACTGACAAAATCGGATTTTCTGCAGTTATCAGATTATTAAGTGCATGCAAACGCACTCAACGACAACAAAAGCATGGTGCAATTTGATATTAATTATTTGTCACTTACAACTCCCTAAAATAAGCACTGAGAAATTCTGTCAGATGCACAGATTCATAAACTTTCAAACAATACTGCATTTGTAGTAAAATAAAATAAATATCTTGACTTCTAAAAGCTCAGAGTGAGAGAGAACATTCAGAGGGATTCTCATCCCCTTTATCATGTTATTCGTGATTTATCACTTGTGCTAAATATTCTAATGAAAAAAGAGAGATTAACAGTAATATGAAGTATAGAGGGGTTTTTGTCTGACCTGGGCAGTCTGGAGTTTGGCAGTACGCATTCTCCTGTAGGGCTCCCACACAGTCTCGACCCCCATGGGCGGGGCTGGGCTGAGTGCAGCTTCTGCTGCGGACTTTTTGCCCTAGACCCCCACAGCTGAGCGAGCAGGACCCCCAGGGGCCCCACGAGGTCAGACCCCCATCACGAGGACAGGGCACCAGAGAACAGTTCCACAGGCCATGCTGACACAAACTGAGGGGGACAAGGAAGATAAACCAGACCACACATTACTGCCCACCAACTCCATCATCATGCTCCAATAAATGCTGCTCATTTAATTTTATTATTATTATTATTATTATTATTATTTGTATTCAGTAAATACACTATATGAATAAAATATATGAATGACGTCTCTGAAATGAGCATGCTTTTTCTGCATTTGCAGGAAACAGCCATGACATCTTTATGAACTGCTGCTACCTCTGGATTGTTAGATAGCTCAACACTCTCTTAGACTCCCAGATACAGACGGCTACAGATGAGTCATTGCCTAGGATTAATCTCATGATCTCCTGACAATAAGGTCAACATTAGACTAGAGTTCTTAAAATCTAGGCTATGAACCAGCTTCTAGTCCTGTATTCCGTTATTAATGATAGTTAGTTGCTGCTGCTGATGTACTGCTGATGTAACTGATAGGCCATCCAGTGTCATACCTACTAGTGACTGCAAAATTCAGAACCTGAAAAACAGATTCAAGGTCCAGATTTGAACATCTCTGGCTTAGACAGATGCACAAGCCAGGAGCCCCATCAATTTTATTTTTGATGCTATAAAGCTCTCACTCATTACAGGCCCAACTACAACTCTGTTATTCATTTCTGACACATGTAAAATTTTTATTTTTTTTCCAGCTTTCTATTTTTTTTTTACCATTTATTTAAACCTGTTAAGTTGCTCAGGACTGGTACGTTGAAAATTAACTTCATACCTTAGCGCAGAAGCATCATTAGTTACACAGATGAGATATGAAAAGTTTCAGTACAAACAGCAACAGAAAAGAGTCAGTTCTTGCTTTTGAACGAGGCACTTCTGCCTACATTTCTCTGGGCTGCTGCCACAAAAGGCCTGAGCGAAAGCAGAAATCCTCCAGAACATCAGACACCGATGACCCCAAGATATGAAGGTTTACAAAAGAAACTCTTCTTACCAGGAGCTACACTCATGCATCAGCTCCTCTCCAGACCTGAGCTCTGTTCCCATGGTAATGTTCTGCAGGTCTGGGGTTAACTCTGGGGTCACAGACACTCTCTGAAGTGAGGTCAAGAGCTCTCTGTCCACGAGGCACGGACACTCCTACAGATGTGATAAAGCACAACTTTCCCAAACAGTGCAAAGCCAGTACATTATACACACAATCGAAATCTTTCTACCTCATCTTGACAGAGAAGCCTATAAACATAAACAAAAAATTTGGTCACATTTTGATGGTTGATTGTGGCTTATCTATAATTGCCCAAATTCTTGTCAATCTGGGGCAAGTGATCAACAGTATCAGTTTTAGGGTTAAGATTTGGACTACAGTACAGGTTCTGGGTTTAGAGGTTACGGTTTGGTTTAGAGGTTAGGGAAACATTGAGCAGAATATATAGTTCAATTTAGGTTAATGACAAGGTGAACATCTACAAAGCATTTACAGACCATCAATAACTGTTGTATAGCTGTATAGCCTGAATACAGTCTTCAAAACACAGAGGAATCTGCAAACTATCCCACTTACTGACAAATACACTGTATACTCCATAGACACCTTTGTACTAAACACTAGTGTGTTATTCATCTGACCTGCAGGCAGGTTCCGTTGTGCTGGTAGGTGTTGAATGGGCAGTGGCAGCCCTCCTCACATCCCTCTGAGTAGCAGCCTTCAAGGCCGCTGAGTTGAGCACAGCTGAAAGGACAACCCTCACCTCTCTCACACTCCCGGTACAGGCGGCCTGGGGGGCAGCCCACCTCTGACACACACAGAGAGAGAAAGAACCCATACTGCTATAACACTGAACTCCATTTGACATGTTGTTTTTGGGTTGGTCGAGAAGCCTCTAAGTTTCTCTATCAGGAAGCTCCAAGGCATTTTTTATTTCTATTTAGCTTAAAAACACTCTTAAATAGTCTGATGTCTTTTAGGCCTATAATCAGCAGACATTACTACAAAGCAGTACTTTTAAGTAGCTAAAGTTGTGATGGTTTCAGTTCACAATTCTTTAGAGAGTCTCTGTCCATTCTTGGGTAACGGAATCATGTGCATTCATTTCAGAAGAGTGTACCTATGTTGCCAAGGTCCTATGGTCAGCTCTTTATATGTTATATCTAGGGGTGATATAATGCATTGGTTTACCTGGGCTCATGCCCAGGCGCCCTGGATAATTATTTTCATTAAATATCTATTTTTATATTAACATGTATTTATTGTTCCATTTGAATAGTTCTATAGTGTTTTAGTCAGGAAAAAGGGATTATTTGGCCCTTGTGAAACAAACCTCAGTTGTTTTGGTGACGTTGATGGTTTTGCCTAATAGACTCTACCGCACACCACCACAGCATCTTGTAGCCAATCAGACACAGCGCAGATACAACACATATAGCTCAAGTTCATCTCAAGTTCAGGATGAGTTTACATTTCATATTCTAACTTACTATACTCATAGTTTTAATGGAATGGAATTTTTTAATATCAATTTTGATAAATATATAAATGTATCATGTTTGATATCAGTTAACTCTTCAGAAACTCCCCATTTTCCTGCTAAATGATACAAGATCAATTCTGACTAGGCTAGTAACGTTAGCTGAGGTGAAAAAGACAATTAGCACTTTAGATTGATCGACTTCTTCAAACCTTGAGAGTTTATGACTTCTAGTGGTCTGGTTATGGGTTTACATTAATGGAGTAACAGAGAGATGATGAATAGCAGTGTTGGAAGCTGTCAGCTGGCTGACTGGTGGCGGCAATGAGAATACCTTCAATAAAAACAAAGGTTTTGAGCTTTTGGTGTGCAGATTGGTGTGTGGTAACATTAGGCTCTGGTTCTGCTGGCTGTTGACTCTCTCTTTCCATGCTTACTAAAGCCTGTGTAATTCATCCACATCAGTCACAGGGGAACTGACTTGTGCTGTGTTGAGCTGTACTGATTTAAAAGATTTTAACTACACCCACAGGGCACAGACACCTGTAGCCCCAAGGCATACAAGCAGATTAAACCCCAATTACATCATACAGCAATATGATACATGAACCTATGAAAGGGTTTCTAAGGTCATCATTACAGTTATGAGCCAGAAAAGGACATGCATTGTAAAAAGAGAGCAGGAATGCACTTGCCCTTGGGTAGGTTAGTCACAGTGAGCTAATTTGCTAGCTAAGAAAATTGTAATGCGATTTCATTTTTAAGTCAGAGTGGTAGCATAAAATAACTTTTCGAACAACTGCTTTGCTTTCTTGTTTACAGAGAGAACCATAGTGTACTGTTCTTTTTTTGCTGCTATCAAAGTAGAGTAAATGCATAGTTCACCACATAAAGCCCAGTTTATATAGCAAATCAAACGTTAGTTTTAAAATAATAAGCATGGGATGAAATGGACATTATGTAAAAACGCAATGATTTTTGGGCAGGTTCTGCTCCTGAAGTCTACATTGATGCTGAATTTACCCCTTGCTGCTCCAAAGGGGTCACTTAAGCTAATACCCTGGGAACACAAAGCCCTGATAAAACAGGCCATGGGAACAGAGGGGTGACCCCCATTACAGTTTACTAGAGAGAATCTGTTAGCTGCCATTGCTACTACAAAGAGTATGGGTACAAGAGCCTCTGCTGTAAACTATGACAGACTACAGAAAATATGAAAGCTGCCACTTGTTCCTCCATTAGACCTTGTCCCAAAACTATTCCTAAAACAGATGTCTTGTGTAGGAGGATCTAGCTACCTGTCCTTCCTGTGAATGTCAAGCCTTACCAGAACCAGAAAATGAGCAGCTTATTTCGCAGCAGGTCGCCAGAAATAGCTCGTCTGAATTCACAAAGGAACGAGGAGAGACAGACGACCGCAGAGTGGAGTGATTTCACTTTTAAATGAGTATGTCGCTTAGCCAGGCATTTCAGCAGGCTAACCTCGACTAGCGCTATAGGAGGCCTTCACACATACTGGATGATTAGCAAAATCTCACAGCCCAGGCAGTGCTGCTCCATCAGGAGGGTTTAATTGCAATGGCAAACACACCTCAGTGTGTTGGAGCAATCTCCATTCCGAGTAGAGCTACTTACTAACAGAGCCCCATAAGATATTGCAGGCTGTCCCCAAAGCTCAGGATCATAAATTTGAAATTAAGGTTTTGCTTGGAGAAGTCTGTTCGGCATGGGACATAAAAAAAAACTTCAAGGTGAATCACTTCTTAGAAAGTGGCTCTAAGCACCACTTTAGCACATTCCTCTAACTCAGAGAGCACACAGTAACTCTCCAACCATGCTGAAGGACATTCAAAAACTGCTTTTAAACCAATCCCAGTCAATAACAGCTGGCTAAACATACTCTATTCACTTATTATTAACATTGTTACAAGCTTGGGTTGGAAAAAAGCTAGGACGCTATTGCTTCTAGGGCTGGGAATCGTCTAATATATCAGCATATAATAACATACTTATGAAAGCCAATCACCAGTCTGGATTAGTGGTGGTCAGTACGATGATAGTTTACCGTTATTGTGATAAATTTTGTTATTGAAATTAACAGATGAGATAAAAAAGACGCTGAGCATATTTTGGATATCATCAGCACTTGTCAGAAGACTGACAAACAGCATGTTTTATTACAAAGACAACATGAATAGCTCTGTTTAGTTGGATCTGATGTAATGCAGTATGTGAAACACTGAATAAAATCACTGTATTCATCGTTTTTGATGGCTTTTTTCAAATGTGCCACTACTAGTGCATTGTGTTTCGGTGTTTAAATATTGTAACATACATCATGTACTGTGAAACTGTCTTGAAATATCATGATATGATATTTTGTCATATCACCCATCCTGTCTAGATTTTGGAACAAGGATGATTACTGGCTCACTGATTGACTACTTAGGTACTGAAATTTGGTGTTAAAAGTACTGAATTTTGTCCTGTTGGTAGCTTCATATTTGGTCAAAAGAATAAAGCTCCATGCATGGCTCCTGCTGGTATCTCACTTTATGTAACTGTAAATCAGGTTTGGTGAATTTCTCAAAATCATGGGTAGCTGTGGGTAAAACAAATGCTGACTTATGCATAAATGATGCCTTCTCACAGTTACCATTCACTACTGAAGTGTAAACATATAAAATGGTAACTAAGGTAATAACATGTGTTACTCACCTAGGCACACCTGTGTGTTGCAGGTTTTGCTCTGGCGTGTCATGCCAGTGCAGGGGGGAGTGCGGCAGCGACGGCTACGTTTCTGTTCCCCTCCTCCACAGGTCACAGAGCACACAGACCATGCTGACCAGTCATACCACGGGCCAGTGTCTGTGGAACACACAGAGGGACTTCTTCAACAGTTATATAGAAGAGTACTATTCACACACCTGAACCGAACAGGGACGCGTTTATCCAAAAGTTTGAAATGCACAGCAGTGTTAACTTTATCTTAAGAATATTGGTTATTTAGTGAGTGTTTCCTGAAACCCTTTCTACTAAAGTACCCTGTAAACTCGCTCATAAATTAACGACTAACATAACTTATTTGTTACTTACAAAGTGCTTCTTTATTTGAATTTTGCCTGCATTCTGCATTAAAAAGTTAGAGGCTGCAGATTTGAGTACAGTAGAGTACAGTCATATGCAAAAATGAACATTCTTGGTCATTAGACATGTTTTGTTGATTTTCTATTTAATAATAAACAGTAACATACTCTACAGGGAAATGTAAATATGGGGTTTGCCAATTTTAGTGCACAATTTCTACAGTTTAACACAGAAGGAAAAAAAGCATTAAATATAAAATATGTCATAACTTTTGCACAAGCCACATCTTATGTTTTATTTTTTCCCCAATATGTTAAATTCAGCAAATAAACAGTAATTATGCATTAAAATATGAAGTATATAATAATAATAATAATAATGATAATGAATTTGCTTATCACTTTGTATTGTATTAACATCATCGTAGACATTCGAATCCAACATTTGTCTTTTGTCATAACTCAGTGAAGTGCAATCAAAGTGAAGTGCAATGATTAAAATAAATTGACCTTAATTTAATTTAAATATGTAATACTTTCCAATATTGCACTTTGATTGATAACGCATTTTTTTAAAACGTAAAGAATTTGACACACACACACACACATATATATATATATATATACATATATATATATATATATATATATATATATATATACAGTGTACATATAGTGTAAAACTTTTACTAGGTTTTTTTGTCGGAGGCTATAAAACAAAATCGGACACTGCAAGGGCTTCATTCCCCCCAGTTATATTTAAATGTTTGTAGACAAGTAAAATCATTGGATACAATTTTTGACAGCCCATCCTTTACCCTGCATTGGTTCAGGAGAAGAGTCAATAAAGTTCTTTACACTCATTCATTAAGTTTCGAATTTAAAAGCCCTTTGGCAAACAAAGGGCAGAATCGACTTGTTTGTTATTTGCTAAGATTAATCGTTTTCAGGAAAATCACCGCAGGACAGTACAGTGCTGATTTGCATAGAATACAAAACACTGACAGAGCTAAACAAAAACAACCAGAGACAGCTGAATCAGGGCAAAACATGATTTAATTTAACCAAACTAAACTAACTTAACCAAATATATTAAAAGTGCTCAAATGTTAACAGCAGGCTTTGACCATGATCACACACCTGCGCAGGAATGACTATTACACTCCTGCTGCTGGTCACCAGCTCCACTGCACTCTCTCCCACCTCCCTGAGGGGCAGGGTTATTACACTGACGAAGCCGCAGCTTGACTCCACCCCCACACGGGACTGAACACTCTGACCAGGGTCCCCATTGGCTCCATCCACCATCGACATGGCAACCAGGAACTGAGTCGCAGTTCAGGACACCTGCATCACAGGTGCTGATGACAAACAAAAGCAGAGCAAATAAGCAGATTATATCATCTTTGTGGACAGTATTATTTCAACTCAATTTCAAGCTGTCATAACTTCAGAGTTAATATGTAGATATGTTGAGTCCTTCTCTGCTTTATTCTGTGACAGCAAAATGATAAATGATATTCATAAAGACTTAAACATTAGGGTTAATTGTTTTGGTGTAATAGTTGAGGTGAAGTCTCAGCTGAGGTTACCAGTTGCTGCAGTCTCTGATGATGCTCTCTCCTGAATTTGCATACTGCCAATCCATCCTGCCTGGCCACTCCCACGAAGTATTGCTGATACTGAAACCCCCTAAATAACAGGAGAAAGGAAAAAAGCAAAGTAGCACATTTCCATCTGTAGGAATTTACAGCTTTTATAAGGAGTAGCTGGAGGTGTTAGAGGTGCTTATTAAGTGCTTTTAGATCAAACTTTTAAAGCTTCTTTACTATTTCAAAGTTTCACTGCTATTGATAAATAAATGTAAGATTGTTTTTAGTTTCAAAATTTAAAATAGTGCTCAAACCAAGGCCCCTTTAGGTTTCTTTGTCATAGAGGTGCGTATGAAAGTGTTATAGATCAAATATTTAATGCTATGTCAGAGTGCCACTAATGAAGATACACTCTTTAAAGCATATCAAATTCAGCCAATGAATGTAAGATTTTCTTTGGTTTTGTGAGTGCTGAAAATACCCTGCAAGGTGCGCTTTTCTCACCAGTGGTGCTGTTGTGGAATTTACAGCGGCACTCCTCTCTCTCTACACACACTCCATCCTGCAGAACCATGTCTCCAGGGCAACCGCAGCTCTGACTGCACCCGGGTGTGTCCAGGCACTCTGTGTCACCATGGAGATCTTCACAGGAGCGAGGGCATGGCTTCCCACAAGGCCACTCCTCCTGACCCCCTTCGCAGTCTGAGTTAAGAAAGAGAGAGAAAATGACAAAACAAATAACACTGAAACAGTTTTTAAGCCTCTAAGTCAGAATCAGACCTTATAACATGTTTATAACTACTTTACATACATTGTTATTATACACTTTATATATTAGGTTCACAGTAGTTAATAAATAATTTATAACAGTTATTAAATACTAACCTTTAAGATAATAACTGAACAATAAGCTTGTATAAGGTAATATATAACATATATAATATAATAATAAGGTTAAACACTGAGCACACCCTTGGAGCCTGTTTGGACCCCTGAATGCTGAGGGAAAGCCAACCTGAGCAGATGGTTTGGTTGTCATGGCAGCCCCGGCTCTGGATGTGCTCTCCGTGGCATGGTAGACCCCCAAACCGGGCAGGGGGGCTGTTACACTCCCGTTTTCTCACAGACACACCCGCACATGCATCACACTCTGACCATGCACTCCACAAGCCCCACGAACCATGAACTACAAAGACAGAGAGAGACCTGCAGTCGATATAATCCTCTCATTAAGAAAGGCTTATTTAAAAAGAAAAGGATGCAGAATATAACAGTGGGCAAAACACTGACCACAGATAAATGGGAATTTTTTCTTATTATTATTATTATTGTTATTATTTATTCAAAATGGTCCTGTTTTCACAGTGTGGTTTACATATATAGACTGTATGGATTAGGAAGGGAATAGAACAATTTGACACTTTAATAATGATTATATCAAACTTTCATTTCGAAAAAGCAAGGAAAGTTTATTTTTCCATGCACCGGCCCTCATGCATGAGGCTTAGTAGTGTGTAACCTGGACAGAAGGTGATGGATGGGCATTGCTGTCTTTGGATCTGCACCCCAAGGCCACCATGCTCTTCTTGTTGGTCTGGGCACGCTGCCCCTCCAGCCTTGGGCTCTGGACAAGCACAGCTCCTATAGCGAGAGACCCACTCAGCACCACATGTCTTAGAGCATGGAGTCCAGCTGGACCATTCACACCAGCCCCCATCCACTGAAGGACAGAGAGAGATGAAAAAGAGAGGGAGAGAGAGTAAAAAGACAGACAGACACATGCAATTTCATTTGACAAGCAACTTCTATTAAAATATTATAAACCTGCTAAATTTGCTCATTAAAGAAAACACTCTTTTAAATTGAAAGTTTAGTGAAAAAAATCAAGTTTACACAGTTTTCCTCTAATTCCTAACATAATCCATCCGCACATCTAGTATCCAGTGTTTGCTTCTTAATTTTACACTGGAGCTATGTGGCTAATGTCAGTATAAATGGAAGCTCATCGCCCACCAGCTAGCCCTGTTCAAGCTGAACACTTGCCTCAAGCAATGCTGAGTTGTTCATGAATCTCAAACAGACTTGCTTTTGTGCTTTCTATGTGTTATCTATAAAACGGACAGATGTCTGGGCAAAAATTCATCTTAAAGGTGGCTGCTTCGGTTCTTGGCTACGCAATTTTCTTCTGTCCATTTTTATAGATAACAGCATGTCAAACAGTATCACAAACCACATAAGCAAGTCCATTAGCAACAGCAGTAGGGATAAAACAGTACAAATTAACACATAACAGTAATGCTATTGCTTTGTACTTTTGGAAAAAGTAGTGTAATGCATTACAACCAGAATCGCTCTAATAACAATTACTTTACTTTCATTATATATAAATGCCCGAGACAGCAATACTAATTATGTGTAATGTTTTTAAAGCAAATTTTCTCTATGTATTAAGTGTGCCTGTCCTTGCCAGGATCAGCTGTTTATAACTATCAGTGTGTACTCTTACACTGTTCAAGGATTCAACTTTCAAATTTTGCATTAATCTCTCAAAATTTCATTTTCAAAAGCAAGTTTGTGAGAATGTGTATAAGACAAGGTTCAAACAAGAGTGAAGTTGTTGCCAAACCTGGACATGGGTTGTTGCTACAGTTGAGCTGTCCTCCAGTACAGGTACTAAACAAAGAAAACATAAAACACATCACCTTACAGGCGTTAAAACTGCTGTAATGATCTAACCTCCCTCTATCCCCCTCACCAGTTGTTGCAGCCGTCTGGAGAGAGGACTGTGTCTTCAGGGTCAACGCGCTGGCCAGTGTTAAGGTCGAGACATGGACACTGCTCTTTCTCTACACAAGCGGTGTTGTTAACGCTCAACACTTTCCCATCAGTGCAGTAACAGCCAGCTTCGCAACGCCACTCACAGTGCTGTGGGATCATCGGCATCATCAGTATCATAACTATTATTATCATCATTAACATTTGCATTATTGCATTACTGCATTGCATTATTTGTCACAGTCATGTGAGAAATGAGTTGGGTTCAGATCTAAATATGAATTTTGAACATTTCTGTTGACAGACTCAGACAAGTGACGTGGGTAGTTACATTGAAAGTGAAATTTTCAGCCACATATACGTGATGAACACCATGAAACTAATGAGTTGAGCACTGACCAATTAGACTGTAGATATCAGGTGGGAAGCTGCTTGTGTCATGCTTACAGTCAGGCTACACACGCACAACTAGTTATATGTTTGTTGAACACTTTAAACAATATTAAGTAGCTTCAGGGCACAGAACTAGTCTACAACTTCTGCTGGTGTTTCAACACTGTGTCCTAAAGCATATGATGGGAGCAAGTGTCGACGACAAAATCAAAACACTTCCAATATAATCAATGAAGCTGTCTACACCAGCTGCAAGTGGCAGAGCACAATGTGGTGTGATGCAATCTGCCATTTTTGACAGACGTTTCCGTTTTCGACATTCGACATCGTTTTTCCATTCCACCTCAAACTGGAAAAGAAGAAACTCATCCGTGGAGTGGAGAAAAGGAGGGATCTCCACAATCCTTTCAGTAAACATCTTAGAGAGAATTTACCAGAGCACAGGACATCAGTGGTAAATACCTTATGTTTTGTGTTAGCTAAGTGTTGTATGTGTTGTGGTTAGCTAAGCAAATGAAGTATACATAAATGTTAGCATACACAACCAAGCTGCCCACCGCTAGAGCAGAATAACACTATTTTAATAATGTTATTTAGACTATGGACATCCTAAATTTGGGAATAATACATAACTCGTTAAACTAAATTAAATACATGCCCCAAACCATAGCTTGATAGCTCCATCAGCAAAGCAGCTATTTTTTGACAGGTCTGTGCTTTGTTTACATTTTGACTTGACACGCGCATTTGATGTTTCCAGTATGGACATCCTGAAGGTTTTGTGACGTGGTTATGGACATGTGGATGCTGTCTTGCTGTTGTGACATGGTTAGCGGCATGCCCCTAAGGTGACAAGTTACAAGCCCAAAGTGGCCCCCAGCCAACAAGCGAAGGGAATCACTTACTCTAAAATGCAGCGTTAACTTTTTGATTTGAATATATATAAATTAAAAAGACTAAAAACACAAAAATACACTGACCTACAAAAAGCACATAAAGGTCTTTGCAAAGCTCAAAATATTTTAAAGTTGTGCTTTTTTTTCCTGTTCTTGTTTTTAGCAGTTGCAGTAAAACAATCCTAAGATCTGGGGGAGCTGCAGTAACCTTCAGCACATCTTCTTCCCTCATCCCTGACTAAGACTCCAAAGTGGCACCAGAGAGTGATCCATTTTAGGCAAAGGCTGTGTAAGTAAATGACATGACAAAGTAGATTTGAGCTGAATTTGTACTCACAGCCAAATCATCGCAAGTGCGGGGACACGAGGGTCCACAGCTACTGAACACAGAGCCTGGCACAGCGGAGCATGGACTCACTGAAAACACAACACACAATTAAAGGCTTAAAACACACACCAAGCAATAGCATATGTACAGACACATAGACATGAGTATATATTATTAATTACAGTAATTATCAAACCAAAATAAAATAAACTGATTCAAATAACGTGTGATTCAAATTTGTGATTTTATGATTGTTTTATGGCTTCTTAAAGAATCACGTCATTATTAACTCACAGACTTACACACCCACTATCAATCAACAGGGAGGACATTAAAGCACAGTTTGTACCTGGGCAAGGGTCCGTATTGCAAGCAATAAGTTCAGTTTTCAGCCCCTCACAGAAGTCTCCCTCTCTCTCAGTGGCTGGCCTGTCACACTCACGCCGACGGCTCCTCACACCTCCACCACATGACTTAGTACAGTCTGTCCAGGAAGTCCACTCACTCCATCCTCCATCGCCTTTCAAAGCAAACATTTATTGGCATTTTACAGGAAAATTATTTACTTTTTCTTTTGAAATAGCCTCCTTCTGCCAGGTCTTGCGCGTGTGGGGTTACTCACGGCTACATGGTGAGAGGACACACACTTGGTCCTGACGGTCCGGCCCCAGGCAGGGCAGTCCGTTGCCGGCACGCTCAGGACTGGAACAGAACCGGTAGCGTGACTGCAATCCAGCACCACACGACACCGAACACACACTCCATGGAGTCCAGTCTGACCACCCTCCATCCACTAAAAACACAATATACATGTAAAAAAAAAAAAAAGAAAATATAATAATATAATTTGTATGTAAATATATATATATATATATACATATATATATATATATATATGTCTGTTGATTACATCCTCTACAACCAAACCTAAACATGGCATTTTCAGCAAATTCAAGTGCATAATTTATTTGCTGACTAATATCTTGGAAAAAATAAAACATGAAATATATAATATTATATTTTTTTTTCCACAGGACACAGTTTATGTTTTATTTCTTTCCCCCAAAATGTTTATTTCAGCAAATAAACAGTAATTATGCATTAAGATGCGTACTTCTCTGTAGAGGAAACTTCTTTTCACTTAGAAAATCAACAAAATATGTAATTTGCCCAAACTTTTGCATCAGGCTGTATACAGTTTGCCATAAGGGCATACTAACACCAAATGGACCTTACCGTTACACTCAAAATGTGTGCAATTCACCAGCTTTCCTGATTCACAAGTGCTGTAAGGCAAAGAGAATGAGAATAGATTACCTCTACTCAAACTCTTCAAGGAAAAGTTAAAGGAAAAGAACTTTCAGTATTAGACTGAAATTAGTAATTAGTAAATGCATTACTAATTAATTATATAAAACCATAGTAAGAGATTAGAAGATCTGAGTGTTTAGAATAAGATGACAAATTCTTAATGTCCAGAAGTAGAGCTGCAAAGTAATGCTTAAAATGATAATCACAATTATTTTGCTAATTAGTGTAATCATTGTTATTGATCACATTTATTCAGCCAATTCAGGAACAAAAACGCTTTATTTGCACTTTTTTGGTATTTTAAATTTATATTCCTTCAAAAGTGTACGTCTATGAATCAAAATAAGGCTGGTCCTTAGGCACATATATCATCAGTAATCAATTTATCTTTTAAATACTAAATATACACAAAATTAGACTTAAAATAAAAAGCCAGCATTTAAAGCCAGTTACATTATTCTCACAGGGTGTTTTTAGCCAGAAACAAGTGTCTGTCAACACATTAATAATGTTTTGACCAGCAAGACCAACTGGACATTAGGATCAGTACTAATGAGTCCTTATTTCACTGGAAATGTTAGTCCAAGTCAGTCTTGCCGCAGTGAATGCAGTTGCAGCCTGCTAAAATGTCTGCTAAAAGAGTCTAACTCATCTATTACCAGTTGTTGCAGCCTTTAGGGACCACCGCTCCAGGCTCATACTGTTCACCATCTACATCACAGCGGCACAGAGACAGAGGCACACAGCTACCATCCTGTAGGACACACAGCACGATTACACACCAGCAACAAGACTAACACAGAGTATAAAATGCATTTATGTGAATGGGCTGATCCAAATATGTGAAACGTTGCATGAAATTTACAATTAATTATATAGTGTTCAATAAAGTATGCACTCGGTTGGTAGCCAAAATAAAATTCATCAGCTATATTTTAAGCATTAAAAAAAGGTTGGTGAATACATGTTTTTATCCATGTGAAAATACTTACACAAAGGCTACTGTATAAATACTTCCATTTCCTATTTGCATGTTCAGCGTATTTTTAAACATAATTTGAAATCATACTGAAACACTGAATCACTTCCTACAGAATTGAGATTCATACCTGTAGGGCAGAGCCCTGTGGGCACTGGCATCCTGAGAAACATGTGGAGTTCATTGCAATCTCTGACCCCAAATCTGAGCAGAGCAGCACTTCTCTCACACAGTCTGTCCACTCCTGACCCACAGCACAACCACTCCCATCACCTACATACAAGAAAAGAAGAGTCAATGGAACTCTACAACCCCCTTTCCAAAAAAGTTGGGACACTGTGCAAAATGTAAATAAAAACTATACAATGATGTGCAAATCTTTTAAACCCTATATTCAATCAAAAATAGTACAACAATAACAACAACAACAACAACATATCAAATGTTGAGACTGAGAAAATATGCCCATTTTGAATTTGATGCCAGCAACACATTTCAAAAAAGTTGGGACTGGGGCAACAAAAAAAAACCTGGTGGAACATCTCACAACTAATTAAGTTAACTGGCAACAGGTCAGTAAAAAGAGCATCCTAGAGAGGCTGAGTCTTTCAGAAATAAAGATGGGGAGTTCACCACTCTGTGAAAGACTTTGTAGGCAAATAACATTTCTCAACATAAAATAGCAAAGAACTTGGGGATTTCATCATCTACGGTACATAATATCATTAAAGGATTCAGAGAATCTGGAGAAATCTCTGTATGCAAGCGACAAGGCCGAAAATCAATGCTGGCTGGGCGTGATCTTTGGTCCCTCATGTGTATTAAAAACAGACATGATTCTGCAGTGGAAATCACTGCATGGGCTCAAGAACACTTCTGGAAACCACTGTCTGCGAAAACAGTTCATCACTGCCTCCACAAATGCAAGTTAAAACTCTACCATGCAAAGGAGAAACCATATATATACAGAAACCAGAAACGCTGATGCCTTCTCTGGGCTGGGGCTTATTTGATATGGACTGACAAGGTCCAATGAATCAATATTTGAAATTTTTTTTGGACGCCATGGATGCCGCGTCCTCCAGGCTAAAGAGGAGAGGCCTGTTACCAGTGCACAGTTCAAAAGCCAGCATCCGTGATGGTATAGGGGTGCATTACTGCACATGGCATGGATGATATGCACATCTGTGAAAGCACCATTGATGCTGAATGATATACACAGGTTTTGCAGCAACATGTGCTGCCATCCACACAATGTCTTTTTCAGAGAAGGCCTTGTTTATTTCAGCAAGAAAATGCCAAAGCTCATTCTGTATGTATTACAACAGCACGGCCCTGTATTAAAAGAGCCTGGGTGCCAAACTGGCCCACCTGCAGTCCAGACCTGCCACCCATTGAACACATTTGGCATGTTATAAAACAAAAAAACAAAGGAAGCCCTGAACTGTTGAGGAGCTGAAATCCTATATCAAACAAGAAGGGGAAAACATTTAACTTTCAAAACTACAGCGATAGGTCTCCTCAGTTCAGAGTGTCTTTTTTTTGAAACGTGTTGCTTGCATCAAATTCAAAATGGGCATATATTTTATAAAACAACATAATTTCTCAGTTTCAACATTTGATATGTTGTCTGTACTATTTTCAATTAAATATAGTGTTTAAATGAGAGTTGGAGATGGAAATGGAGTACTAAAATGAGAGTTGGAAATGGAGTTGTACTGAGTGCTAGAAAATTAGAAAATGTGTGCTCATCAAAAAGTGCTTATTCTTTTCTATTAAGCAAGCGGGTTTTTTTTGCACCAAAACCAGTCAGAACTAAAGTTTACATAACTATTTTCCAACCTTCCTTTATCCGTTATAATGGACGATGGCTGTCACACTGGTATTTGTAAATGATGTCTGTTCTCACTGTCTGACTCCTTCACAGATACTCTTGTTTAAAAAGCAGTGTGTGCTGAAATTTGGAACAAACTGTGCACACTGAAAAGCTCAGGAAAGTGAAAAAAAGTTATGTCTTCTTTTTCTTTCAAACGTCTGGATCCTTTGGCTATGCAATGACACATTTCTTTCTCAATAGGCAGGAATGACAATGTTTCTTCACCCATTTTTTCTCTCTGATAACTCTGACAACCACAAACCATCTGCAGTAACAACGCTCCTTATTACTTCAACATGAACAGTCAGGATAAACAGTTTTAGGCTAATGACGGTCATATATAAGGGTTTTCATGGCATCGCTGTGACACCCTGAGGAATTTAAACTGAACAAAACATTCCTGAACAATAACATGTTCACTGTACTCACCACAAGGCTGTAGGTTGCAGGCACTAAACTGCTGCGGCGTGCCATGGGTTCTGATTGGACCACGTGTTCTGTTCCTGTATCCACCACCACACGGCACTGAGCATTCAGACCATGCACTCCACGGCCCCTTAACAGCTGCAAAAAACAAATATATGTGTATGTGTGTTTGCACAGCACAAACCAGACAAAAACTTCACTGCAGGGACAGAAAAATGTATAACAATGTTAATCCTCTTTATTTATGTAGGACTTTTCATTTTAGCTCCATAGTGTAAAAGTGCTTTGCACAAGAAGATCAGCAAAACACTGGAAATATGTTATGGTCTCTTTTTGTGCAGATGCAAGCACAGCCAGGATTTTCCCTCATTTTATTCAAGTTGATGTTTTGGTGGCCTGAAATGACAGTGCCTGTGCCAGTATGGGTGGTGTGGAATTCATGTAATAATCTTTGACTAAAATGTTGCTTGACAGCTGTAGCCTACTGTCAATGAACTATAGTACTTGTCCAAATAATTAAGAATTTATTGATTGCATTATATCTACTCTTATGCTCTGTGAAGTTAACTGGAGTTGTGGAGATTTTTAATTCTCTTAAAGAGAATGAGAGGAGTTGCTTTCATCGGAATAGCACCCCTAACCCCATCTACTGGCAATGTATTCATTCTAACACAACCTCATTTAACAACTGTGTTGCTCTCAATCACGTCAGCGTCTCTGTGCCAGGTCAGCCAGGTTATGGTCACAAAAATAGGGCCCTAAGGTTTAAATGAAATAGCAGCATAATTACAAACTACGAAAAGAAAAAAGGAGGAAAATACATAAAAAATAAATTAGGTTTTTACTAATAGGCTACCTGACTCTTACCATACTCTGTCCAGACACTGTCACGTCACACAACTACCTGTTTTCTGTGTTAGGACAGTCTTTAGCATTCGGTAAATCTACTACATAAACAATATGTATATCCACTGGGATGGACCAATGCTAGTCTGATCAAGCGTGGTACTGGACAATACACTTGCCAGTGAACATCCTTATGGTACACAGGATAAACTGTTATGAGAATTCTTTAAATGTTCCATAAGTCTGTGCCTGTAGGTGAACAGTCAAATCAGTGGATTCTGTAATTCACATAAAGTCTTACCACTACAAGGGTAGATGCTACATGTGTCCAGCCCAATACGGTCGCCCTTACAAGGACGTCCCCCAAATGCTGGCAGCGGATTAGTCCCTGAGCGGTACCGCCTCCTGATGCCCACATCACATGTCCTGCTGCATGTGCTCCAGGATGTCCATTCACTCCAGCCACAGTCAACTGAGATAAAAGAAGGATGAACAGATGCATGTAAGCATTAAGGAAAATATTAAATGTGGTTTTGTGTTAACAAGCAGCAAAAAGTTTTACAACGAAAAGCCATCTCACCAGGACAGGGTGCTGTACCACACTGCATCTCTCCATTAATGCACGTGCTGGTGGGTGCAAGCACAAAAACACATGACCGTTGACATATATTCCTATGCAATCTGATTGCCTATGACTGACAACGTCAATAAAACTAGCTGTAATGGTGACTGTAGTGACAAGACATACCAGTTGTTGCATGCATCATGTGGCACAGTGGCACCATGTGTGTAGAGCACTCCCTGGTGGTAGCAGGGGCAGTGGCTGAGAGGCACACAGGTATTGTTGAACAGGTAGAAGCCTGGAGAACAGTAGCAGCCATCATAACACTCTGTAGCACACTGAACCGAGGCTGTGGCATCAAGACACACACGCGGACATGCACCACCCTGAGCCTGGCACTGCTCCGTAGTCAAGAAACTCATACCAGTGGGACACACACCTGCAAACCAAAAGGCAAACATACACACAAACACATACACAGTCACACAGTCGCACAAGTGAGTAATACTGAGTTTGTAAGCCAAAAACTTGTGCAGTTTAAAAGGTATACACTGTTATATTACTTGTTATAAAAATAATCATTATTATTTTATTCAATAACAACTTCTAAAGTTGTTTGCAATAATAACTTGTAGAGCGGGGTGCTCAGTCCAGCTCCTGGAGATCTACCCTCCCACCCTAACCTAACACACCTGATCCAGGTACAGGAGGTGTTCAGGGGCATCTGAATATTAGAGCGGGTGTGTTGGATCTGAACTCTTCAGGGTGGTAGATCTCCAGGATGAGGATTGAACATTGCGGCTGTAGAGTTTAGATTGAAATATAATCTATACACCAGTGGTGAACCATGATTACTAGAGCTAGGCCTTCAATTTGGGCCATAAATGTCAAAACTGGGACCAAAAGGAGGAAAAACATCTCTGTGACAGTGATCATTTCACCGAGCGCCTCATCGGATTCTAACAATCTGTTAGCAGTAAGCGAACGGCTATGCACATAAACTTTTCATTCTACAGTAAACATGGACTTATATAGGCAGTTTTACACCGACTCCTGCAGTAAAGAGCTCCGCCATAGAGCTGCTGTTGCTGTTTTCCATTTTGAACATCTGACTGAAATGTGTTTGTTAGGCTTCCATTCGTATTAGCACTCAGTGATGTATCAAGAACTTCTAGGAGGCCTAGAGTGATGCTTTATCTCACAAAATTGGTCTCATTCAGTGGAAAACAAAAAGTGATTGGTTGATTCCACTATTAAAGTGCTACATGCTAAATAATATAGTGTAATTTTCTATCTATGTACTCTGAAATACATTTTACACATGCATCAGCAAAACGTGTTCTATAGTATTGAAAACAATGTTTCCAAACTTCGTGCAGCAGCACCTGAGCAGGGCTGGGAGTTGCAGTCTCGAGTCTGTATGTGAGGACCCAGGCAGCTGCTGCCTCCGTACAGAGGAGTAGGGAAACTACAGAAACGCTCTCGAGTCTGAGTTCCAGAATCACACTCTGATGAGCACTCGGACCACGGAGACCATTCAGACCAACCACCATTCACTGCAGAGACAGATACAGAGAGGGAAAATCAGGCACTTTTCATAAATATTATTCCACAATCAGGTGCAGCAGCTATTCATCATAGATATTATTTCACAATCAGGTGCAGCAGCTATTCATCATAGATATTATTTCACAAACAGGTGCACAAAGAGTGATTGTTTGTGTATGTGCACCTGGGCAGTGTAGTGTGTTGCAGGGCTCCTGTTCTTCCCCCTCCCCAACACAAGGGGGGTTCGAGTCAGTATGGTTACAGTTCCTAAAGCGCCGTCTCATTCCCACAGCATCCACATGATGGAAACACGTCTTACTGCACTCAGACCACATCGTCCACTCACTCCATGGAGCTCCTTCTGAACCTAAAGGATTTATATACCCACCAGAAATGGCATTGTTTATTATGGTAATGAGGGAATACAAGCCTATAAACATTCCACAGTGCATCTTTTAAAGTGACAGTTAAAAATCCAATTCCCTCAGAATGTAGCTGATCAGCCAAGACATGTTTGCTTCTTTAGTTTTGTATAAGAGCTACAAGCCTAATGTGGCAAACGAGTAACAAACAAGGAAGCTAAGAGTTTCAATAGAGATTTAGTGGTAAAAAGGGTGTCCCCCCCGCTGAAGCTGGGTTAGAAATTAGATCACCTGGGATTTAGTTAGGTTGTCAATTTTGGATAGTGTTGGGTAACAGCCTTCGATCCTTTTTAGTATCCGGGAGCATGTTGGTTGTCCCTTGTCTGAACTAAATTACGGAACTCATTCTTTATTCTGACTGCACATTTTGATTCTCTTAGTTTCAAAGTGCATGATTTTTACAGATCCTGGTAGAGCACTACCTGCAAAGTGAACAGTCTGAAAAAAACACTGTGGCAGTATTTTGTGCATGGTGCCTGGAACAAGCAGAAAAAGACTCATACAGTGTGCAGCCAGTATAAAGATTTTGAGATGGCTTCTTTGGAGGAGTTAGTGGAATGTCCAACATTAGCCCACATATGAGTGATATGCTGTGGTCTCTCTGGCTCTTTTCTCATTTGGTGAATGGAACTGGGAGGTGAAGGTGGAAGAGATGACAGCGGACCAGAAAAATTTAAACAGAGTGGAACTGTCTGCAACAAGGCATGTTAATGGAATATTATACTGTGTTTCATATCATTATTATGACGTCCATCAGCTTTATCAAACATCTCATTTTATACCTATATTGTGCAGCCGTAATGGAAACGAAAAAATCAATTGGTTGATTCCACAATAAAAGTTATTAAAGGCTAATTAACAAAGCATAAAAATAGAGATGACCAGGAAAATGGTTAAACAGAATAGAACTGTCTACAAAAAGGTATGTAAGTGCGGTGTATAGTGTCAGAATTCAGAAAAGCCTATTAGATTATTCAGCAACATGAATTAGACATGTAGCCTGCATGATACTAATTTGTAGGTTTAAGTTTCCATTAATCTTTAAGTTATACTAGGTTTGTAGCAGTGCAAAACTAAAGAAGCAAAGTCTTGGCTTGGTAAGAAGCAAACAATGTAATTTGGCTGAACCAACAGACGTGTCAAGCATGTCTATATGTGCTAAATTGTTGCTGAGTTGAGTAATGTTCTCTGTATGATGTTCTCTGTTCTCAGCATCTTGAACAGGTGGGATCTGACCTGGCTGGCAGGGTGAGTAACACCGCCGTGCTTCTGCGGAGTCTCCTTCGCATGGTTCTACATGCATCACTCCAGAATGAGTCAGGGCAGACCTGTGAGAGCACATAATGAAAATGAATCAAAAGTCTATTGATTGTTTATAAATGAGTAAGAACTAAATACAAGTAGATCAGCCTACCTAAATCGCTGCTGTATGCCAATGCCACAGCTGCTGTCACAAGAGGTCCATGAGGACCAGGCTGACCAATCACATTTGGAGATACAGCTGGAGGTGTCACAGGAAACACTGCCCTCTTGACACACACTGTAAGATTAAACACAGACAGAGGTCAGACAGCAGGCAGAGAAACAAACAAAATTAGAGAGAATATATGACAAAACTCTTTTTCTCCAATTCTCAACTTTAAAAACATAAGAGAGTGGTCAGGAGAGCCTCTGTAATCAAAGAGCTTTTAGAGGTTATGAGGAGTATTTAACCTCACTGACCATACAGTGCAGTTGTCCATGATGACCTCCTCTCCTGGCTGCAGCTCTGACCCTTCCAATAAGCACACACACTTGCTGGCATTGACACAGTGGCCATCTTGAAAAAACAGACCTGCTGGACAGCGGCATCCTGGAAAAACAAAATATATCATTGACAATGACAGGAAAAGAGCACACATCCTACTCAAATGAAATATTGTCTTACTATGAGACTTATTACTATGAGAAATCATATAAAGGCAGGTCTTATTATTTGGGCTCTGAATATGTGACTGTGATCTACCTGTTAGGCAGTGGGTGGAGCAGTTGCTCTCAGAGTGAAGGTCAGAGCAGGTCAGAGGGCACGGCTCCACTCTCCCCTCTGCACAGTCCAACTCTGTCACCAGCACCAGGCCATTAGTGCAGCCTATAGAAGATAAAAAGCCCTCAGTTAATGCTAGTTATATCAACAAAGAACATGCAGAATGGTAAATACATGAATACACAGCCAGTCAAAATGTTGGACACACCTGATTGAACTCATCTTTTTCAGAATCTTAAAGACATTTAGATCTAAAAACTTATGCTTAAGTTTTGATCTAAGTGAGACATAAATAGTGAAGTTAATGCCTATGTATGAATTTACTAAACAAAGATTTAAAATAAATAAGTAATTAACAATTGTTCAGAATTAAAATGCCAAAAATCACTGCTTTCAATACTATAAAAATAAACTATTGCACCTAAATGTGTGAAATAACTAACTAATTAGTGGGAAGCTGTAAAAAAAGAAAGCAATGTTAGATGTAGCCAAAACAAACAGAGCTGCAGATGATTCCATACTGAATTGAAATTGAGAATAAAATGAACATCCAGAATGCCTCGTATTTGAAAAGTGGCGTCAAAACTTCATGTAGATAATGAATTAAGAAATTACTATAAATAAATAATTACAGGGTATTAGTTATTATTTTAAAGGCCTGTATCAGGGAAGACCAAATTTTCCTCCAGTTTTTGATATGGAAGATTAGATATAGAAGTTTTTGGACATCAATTATGCCTAATTTTGAAATAAATTTCAGTGTCAATTGAGAATTACCATTGTAAAGCCTTTTCAGTCTGGGGTTACTCTTAACTTTGGGTCTGAAACCTGGCCAATTAATAAAGGTTGCTGTTTGATTGATTTCTCTAATTATACTGTTATAACTTGACTCATCACAACATGCCATCTCTCATTCACTGATGAAAACTCTAGCAATCATAGCACATAAACAACTTTTTTTTGCTGACTTTTCAGTCAGCAGCTGGTACACTGACCTGTCTTAGAGTGTGTGTCGGGTCCGCACGGCTGTGTGTTGCAGCTCTGAGTCTGCATGGTCATCCCCTCACATTCCTTCCCACCGTTTTTTGCTGGAGGGTTTGAGCAGAGTCTGCTTCTCATCCTAAGACCACCACTGCATGTTGCATCGCACTCTGACCACTCACTCCACTCTGCCCATTGCCCATCCACTGACAGAGAGCGAGAGAGCAAGAGAGAGCATATATAGGGGTAAGGAGAGAAAAAACAGTCAGAGCCAAAGGGAGACAGGGAGAAAAGTGGCAAAAGGGACAGAAAAGTGAACATAAATTCACTTTGACATTCTACTTCTTATTTCAGATTGCCTGTTAAATGTGGATAATAATATGAAAGCAAATGAGCAGAAAAAAACAGCCTACAGGTCAGCAGAAAGTAGGAGTTTGATGTTGTTTAATGAAGAAATATGCAGCTAACATCACCAAGGTAATTAAGGTAACTGCTTTTCCTATTTAGTCAACTTGACAACTCATAGATGATCAAATTAGCTCGTCAGCATTTATCATTACCAGTGTGGCTGCTGTAGTGAGCTTTTTCGGTTTGCACCTATTTCTAATAATTAACATTGAGCACACTAAGACCAGATACTGTCATGCTCTTAAAGCTTACTTGAGCTGAGTTAGTCCAGAGGAGGTCTGGTAGTGGAACTTTTAAGGGGTTCGACTGACTGATTTGTATGGGATAAAGTATCTGTGCAGTTTCCCCAAATGACCTCGGATAGGTTGGCTATTTAGACGGATTAGACTCATCCAAACAAATAACAGAAATGAACTTCCAGTTAATACTAGATACAATTGCATTAGGCTAGCAAAGTGGGCTTAACAAATTTAACTTAACATTTAATTTAACAAACGTCACCCAAAAGGACAGAAAAAAACATCTCTTCTTTTGAAGAACATTAAATGCTTGTTACGATTCATCCTCAATATAACTTCTCAAAATTTTGAATCCCTAGTGCTTTGTGGTGCGCTTTTACCTGGACAGGCCTGGAGAAAGCAGGCTCTGCTGTCAAACTGAGCCCCACCACAGGAGCCTCCTGCCCGTGCATCTCTTAGGATCTCTCGCTTGCGAAACAGAGAACCCAGGCCACACGATGCACTGCACTGACTCCATGCTGTCCACGCAGACATCACACAGTCCACTGGAGGAGACAGTAAAAACAAAGCCACTCAATCACACACTGATTTAGTACACATAACTGCATTAGTCTGACATATGTAGACCTTCACTGTAAAGTCAGCTTAGAAAAGCACAGATGGATCATAGATCATTAACAAATAGGAGGCGTTATGAATTTGCTACATGTAGGATATACAGTTGTATGTAAAAGTTTGGGAGCTCCTGGTCAAACTACATGTTGTATTGATTCTCTAAATATAAATTAATGAGGATAACATTCTCCACAGGGAACATACTTCCTGGCCTGTGCAAAAGCTATAGCATGTTTTATATTTACGTGATTTATATGTTTTTTTTCAATATGTTAAACTTGGCAAATAAACAGACATTGTGCACTAAAATGTGGAGGACAAATGCCATTTTTAAGTTTGTTCCCTGTAGAGGATAACTTATTTTCACTTGGAAAATCAACAAAATATGTCATTTGACCAGGAATGTTTAAACTTTTGCAAACAACTGTATACTTCCCTCCTTAAATGCTCACTTGAGCCTTCACCAGCCTCTAAATTGATCTAAAATCTGTATTAGTGAACCTACCACAGTCTCTCTCATCTGAGCCATCAGCACAGTCTTTGTGGAGGTCACACTTCTTGTCCAGACGAACACACTCTCCACTGGTACAGGTGAACTGCTTGGCAGAGCACAGGGCTGGGCACCACTGGACGGCGTGTAGGCGTTGGTGGAGGTAGTGTGGACAAACCTAAGAGATGAGGGTGAGAGATACTAAATGAACTAAAAAAATACTTTCACTTGGACAAACAGGCATTTTTGTGAATGTTAATAAGGTACCACAGCGATCTTCATCTGAGCCGTCAGGGCAATCCTCACGTCCATCACACACAAGCTCTGCGTCCACACAGCCAACACTCCTGCAAGTGAATTGACCCTCCACACATAACACCCTGGGTAAACCACCATCATGAGGCGTTGTCGTGTCCTTTAATCCTGCACACATGTTTTTGATATGTTACAAAATGATTAACTAATCATATTGGTTACCAAATTAAAGGGCTTATAATCTGCATTTTTCTAGTATTTTATTTTTTTTCTCTAAAGTCCACTTAAATTATGTCTGTTATAAATGTTTGTTTGTAACAAAAACAGGCATGTTTTACTACTCCTAGTAGTTTTGTATAGCTGAGTAAACCTGGTTTTCCTGTTGGTCCCTGAGGGCCCACACCGGGTGCACCTGTCACAATAGGAGAAACAGTGGCCACACCAGGACGACCATCTTGTGGACTCTTGGTGTGCACACCAGGTGGGCCAGGTGTGTAGTCCTGATAGCCAGGACTTCCTGTTGATGCAGTGCGATTCTGTAACCCCGGTAGCCCTGGAGTGGGAACTGTGCCTAACGATGAGGAAAGATTTAAGTTTTACAGAGCAAGAAATCAAGAAAATATTTTTAAAAATAAACAGGCAAAATGAAATAAAAATAAATTTATCTTTTATCAGAATCTTTATCTATCTATATCTATATCTAATCTATATCTTTTATAAAAACATCATGAGAAATCACCATCACATAAGACATATGAAATATAAAATAATCAAAACACTAGCACACCTACCATGCGCTCAATAAACAACCTCAGAAACAGTGAAGATGACTACACAGACATAAATATTGCCCAAAGATGAGTAGGACAGTGTCCCCAAGACAAAGCTGTTATATGAACACTTTCTCTTTACTTACTTAGAAATAGCCTAGAAAAAAAAAAACTAAACTGTGGTCCAGTCAGCCAAACTTACTCAAGACAGACCAGCAGTTAATGTACAAAATTAGTGCAGTAAATGTGTATTACAATAGATAAATATCGGACTCACCACAGCCCAGCTCATCTGAGTGGTCTGTACAGTCCAGTCTGCCATTACAGAGGGCTGTGACAGGTACACAGTCCCCACTCAGACAGGCAAACTGACCCGGCTCACAACGTCTCACAGTGACTACTCTAACACCAGGGGGCACTGTGGATACTTTGGAGCTGCTGGGAGTGACCAGCTCTTCTGAAAGGAGAAAACAAGCATGTTTTCATGCTATCGTAAAAAAAAAAAAACTTTCCTTCAGCTCACACCTGACATTAACACTCACAGTGCTGTTGCTTTAATGCAACAGTTTTACAAAGTGACGAAAAAAAGTACAGCAAAGAAGCCCAGAACACTATTTCAAATACAATACATGGCCAAAAGTATGTAAACACCATTTCTCTTTAGTGGGTTTGGCTTTTCCCGTAACACCCATTGATAACAGATGCATAAATTCAAGCATGCAGCAAAGTGACCTCCATAAACACCAACAGAGCTCACCTTAATTTAACAAAGCACTGTCACAGGTTGCCATCTCAATAAGTCAGTTTGTCAAATGTCTGCCCAGCTAGAGCACCTGTCAACTGGAAGTGCTGCTATTGTGAAGTGGAAAAGTTCAGGAGCAACAACAGCTCAGCTGTGGCCCAAACAAAGGAGGTCTGGTAGTGTAACTTGTAAAGGATTATCTGGCTGATTTGTATGGGACAAAGTATCTGTGCAGTTTGTCATATCCTGGACATTCACTTCAGCATTAAGATTAGACGGATCCAAACAAACAACACAAATGAACTAACAGCTAATACTAGTTAAAATAGCATTAGGCCAGTAAAGTGGGCTCATCTAATCCAAACCAGTGTCACACGGTGTCACATAACCACTGGGCAGCAGTGAACAAGTTCCAAATTGTCTCTGGAAGTAACGTCAACCCAATAACTGTTTGGCAGAAGTTTCATGGACTGGGTTCCTGTGACCCAGCAATCACAATACATAATGCCAAATGTCGGCTAGAGCAGCATTAAGTATACTGTTATTGGACTATATAGCTGTGGAAATGAGTTCCCTAGAGTGACCATCAGGGTTTGGCAGATACCAGGAGAACACTTCTTGCCTGAACACACAGAGTCAGTTGCAAAGTTTGGTGGAGGAATGATGCTCTGATTTGGGCCCCTCAGCAGTGAAGGGAAGGAAATCTTAATGCTAAATTATTATGCTCCTGTGGCTGAATGGAAGTAAATCCCCACAGGCATGTTTCAAAATTCAATGGCAGGTGTTCCCAGAAGAGAAGCGGCATTTATAACAGCAAGGTGGGTCTCCATATTAATGCCCAAGGTTTTGGCATGAGACAACAGCTCAACAAACAGACAGGGATGTGATGTTTGGATGTCCACATACTTTTGATTATGTGCTCTTTTTAAAATGGGTCATTTCTTCCATAAAATAGTTCAAAGATCTTGGATGTGGATAAAACTGAAAGCAACAAGGGTAGGGTAAGGGCAGGGGTAGAGGGTCTGTGTTTCTCAGTGAAAGTATAAGATAAGGTCTACCTCCTCTGCAGCCCAGGATCTCCACTCGAAGGTAGAAAGTGTGGCGGTACTGCACCGGTATGATACGCAGGTAGCGAGCCCTCACCAGCCTGTCCAGCCAGCGTGTGACTGGAGTCCTGCCCACCATCCGTACCTCAAAGATCTGCCAGGCAAGCAGAGAGCAAACTCATCACACATAAAGCATATCACTTACACTGTGTAAAACTGACCAGAAAAATATGTAGCCTAACACTCATCCTGCCTCATGAAATCTTGACATTACAAACATAATGTCTTCACCAGGGATTGGTGGTTCAGTACTGAAGCACTGAAGCCAATTATCCTTACAACTGAAACATTTCCCTTTTGAGAACCAATTCTTACACATTAATCCATTAGAAAAATATTAATATCAAGTATTACCTTTAACAGGTATTTTTAATTTACTTGTTTAAATAAACCTCAACTTGTAAATGTGTGCTGAAAATGTGTGTGTAAGATAACAGCAGCACAACTGTTAGTGCTGGAGAAGCACAACATTACAATAAAAAGAAAGTCTGACCAACATACAGTCAGCCCCACAAATATTGGCACTTTTGGTACAGATGGGAAAAATGAAGTCATGAAAAAAAATCAATAAAATTCAACACAACTATATGTCTCAACAAATGGCATGCCTAAAAATTCTTATGAACAAAATGTAACTGAAGCATGTTCCCATTTATATTTTCAAGGGCATGTTTGAGAGATCTTAAGTGTTTTTTCATGACTTTCTGTTTAACTGAGGAACAAATATGAGGTTGCACAGAGGCCAAATTCTCTTTATCATTAATAAGGGGAAGATCAAAGAATACACAAATGAAATCATTCACAAATCAGACAGTTAGAGATACTTATACTTTCCAATATATTTTTACTGATGTGTGTATTACAAATTTAGATTAAAATTAAATTAAATGTATATGTACTGGTACTGGAAGGCTAATGGTATAACAACATCAATAAAATATTTCTTTATTAAAGTGAAAAGAAAACCAAGGTATTGCCCATTCTTAGTCTTCATCTCTGATTTGAGAAACACACAGACAGAAACATAACTAGATACAGTGAAGTGAAGTGCTTTTTTTTTCCTCCCATACCTTCGGGGCTGAACCCCTGACCCCAGTCTCTGTGAAGTCAGTGAAGTGGTTCTCAGCCAGGGCAAAAGCCAAACGGTACTTGGTGAGGTAGCCCCACATGCGCTCACTGCCCTGGGTGATTACCCCTGAAATCCAGGTGGGCTCCAGGAAATCCACCTGTAAGTAGGGATGCGGGTCTCCTGGCAATGGGCTCCAGCCAGGCTCCATCACTAAACTATAATATGAAGGGATGTTATTAATTATCAGTGATGAGTTAAGATAGTTGGATAGTAGTTAGACTCAACATGTAATTGCTCACAGGTCTATACGGAGCCAGAGCTTACACAATTAAGATCCTATATAAACTATCAATAAAATGTTTCTTCATGTTTGGTAGCTCCAGAATGACTCGGTAAGTGATTCCAAAATGACTGCTTAAGGTATATAGTTTTGAAAAAGTTATAATCAGATGAACAACCAGAATGCATTCTATTTCAATAGCAGTGGTTGAATTGGAAATGTTGAGAAAGATGAGAATTATTACAGTTATAATTCACATTAAACAATCTACTGCTTAAAATATGTCTAGCTACATTATGTTTTTATATATAGACAATTATTTTGTAATTGTATATAGGAAAAACATTGTATATAGACAAATATATATATATAAAAATTATTAATGACAAGTGATATTATCCAAACTTTTGAACAGCAGAGTATGACTACACAAATAACATCAAACAAGCGAACACAGGTCACATTGGATTAATTTGCTGTTTCTAATCAGACTTGCTCCCCTGGTCCAGAAAGAAATATCATAAAACCTCATCATAAAACGTCCACTGCACCGCCTCAGACACTCACACATTAGGCACGACGTTGAGGCGGCCTGCGTCAGCTGGGTTATTCTCTCTGGATGACGAAGAGGTCAGCTGACCATAGTGAACTCGACCGTCCTCAAGGCCCAGAGGAGAGGAGCATATACCTGGAACAAAGACAATATCACACTGAGCAATCACATTCAAATCCGTTTCTGAACAGAATTGATGGAGCATCTGTGACAGTTTCTAAGAGAGAGTGCACGCATTAAGAAAGTATCAAAAGTTTAAAGCCCGTTCCAATTTATATATTTGTTTGCTAAAACAAAATAAAAATCTACACATTTCCAGCTTTGTCAGATTGTGTTATTTACATATCAAAGTGAATGTGCAACAGCATTGAGAAATCAAGTTATTAACTTTAAAAAGTAGATTAAACCTCAGAAATACACATTTCTAGCTCAGGATTAAAAGGTAACCATTTTCAAAACCCCTTGGTCAAATATGAGACCATAAAGTCTGATAATCACAGGTACTCTAACCTGTTTTATTTCTTTGGCTGCCCTTTAAATAACAATGTTCCTCCACATTTTTGTGCCTCATAAAACAATTTGGAGGAATGTAATTTCTGACATAAGAGATTAACTGTAGTACCTACTCATTTCTGCCTTATATCTGAATATGAGGTGTCAAAACAAATGAAAAGCTGTTAGTAACTACCTCTGTATGCAGGGCCTCCACCCTATAAGAGAAAAAAAGGAAGAGAAGAAACATTTTTTTCATTTGTAGCAAGCTGTGACTTATAATTCTCAATGGGTCAACAGAAAATGTGTAAATTGATGCTGTAGAGCATAATTTAAAGTCTGTTATCTTACTGTACAGTTATAACAGACTTTAAATTAAGCTCTACAGAGTCAATATTAGTTCTAACAACAGGGATTATTCTGACACTGGTCATTTTTACTGTGTAAAGTTATGTCTTACATGTGTAGTGGTAGCTGGTGTGCTTGCTGCCGCAACGGCCGCCATGCTGGGAGTTCTGAGTGGAACGGGGGTGGGGGTCACATGGGTGATGTTTGTGTAGGGGACACAACCTCTCTCATCTGCTCCATCTGGACACTGAGGGACACCATCACAGCGTGCTGCTGACTCAATACAGCCCCCTGGAGGTGGGCAAGAGAATTGACCCTTGGAGCACCCTCTGGGGCTCTGGGTAGAGGATGGACGTGTGCCTAAATAAAAAATAACACATTTCAGAGCAAAAAGACACCAAAAATGGTGAAAGACACCAACGAAGGTTAATGTTTAAATTAATGTCATTGAATGTAATTAACTCCATACATGGACCCAACAGTGGGTACAGGTACATATTTCCCACTCTCAAAACTACATATTATATACTGAATAACTCATAGTAGTTACTGGACATTCTTCTTTTTTATTAAATATTCTTCTGATGTCCAGCTGTGACTTTTTGTGGTTTTGTGACCCAAAAACAGTTACAATTACTTTTCTTTTAATGATCATTTTCCAACCTTCCTTTATAAACAGACTGTTTAATTCTAACTGTTGGTCTCTGTTCTGATTGGCTTTCCTGTATTGTGTATTGTTCAAAATGCAGTCTGGGTTGAACCACTGTTCATAAATTCAATATGGAGCTGACAGTATGTTGATCTGATTCTCTGAAGTCTGTATGTGTCTACTGCTCGACCAATTGCTGTAATGTTGTGCTCCTCCAGAAATAAGTGTGCTCCTAACCACGTCTGTTGTCCACGATATGGGTCCTAAAAATAATTAGCTGAATAATATGCCTAGAGTTTAAGGGCTTAAAAAGAAAATAGTTCATGAAATATTTATTTTGAGCATGATGTGTTGTTTGAGAACTGAATAATAATTCAGTACATTAGAGATACTCTGTGTCTTTCAACATTTTGAACAGTATGAGTGATTGTCCACTCCATATCCATAAAGTAAAACGTTACAGTTACAGTGAGTTAAAGTGTGAAAAGCAGGAAAAGCACTAAAATATGCAGAGTAGTGGGCCTCTAGGACCAGAGTTGAAAAAATATGCACTAGCAATACTCCACCTATCTCCATGTACCCACCACAGTTGAGTTCATCCGAACCATCTCCACAGTCGTTGACCCCATCACAGAGGACTCCTTGCGGCCCAGCAGACACACAGCGGCCATTTCCGCACTGGAACTCTCTCTCCCCGCAGGGCCTGAGTGAGGGAGGTATGGACACTGAGGGGGCACGAGTGGACAACCATTCATACTCTGAGAAAAAGAGAAAGAGGTAAGGAGGGAGGGAAGGAGAGTAAAGTAGAGAAGCAGGGAAAGAGTCCAAGTCAGTTAATGATTCTGAAAGAACAGCTAACAGGGTGAGTACTTTATCATGTCACTCATATAAGAAGTGAGAGTTGAACAGTTGAAAAGTACACTAGCATTCAAAAGTTTTAAATCATTGTTCAAAAGTTTGAAATCAATGTTTTCAACAATGCAATACCAGTTTTGTTGCAGTTTAAGAACAAGTTCAAGATGAGTAGAGAACTGGAATATCAGAAAGCAATAACATACTAGGATAAGAACAAACTAGGGGCAAGAGTAAAAACAAGCTGACAAAGCGGCAGAGCTACCATGAGAACAAGATTATTTGACATAAAATTACTGATTTGAGAAGTGACTGGAAATGCTTGAATGAGATTGAGTAGCTTAATAGTAGTTAATTGAGCCCCTCCAATGAAAAAACATTAACTATTCCAGCCATTTTTTGGATTATTGGTTATTTTGTTTTTCTATTTTATTTTGAGCAACCTTTTACATTAAAAAGTCAAATTATGTTTTATTTACATTTTAGTGACCCCTTTATTTTACATACAGAGCATTAAACAATGCCATACACTGCTTATATAATTTTTACAAACAATGTCACACACACACACTGGTTTTCATTGCCAGGGCTCAAAATTGTGAGATAGAGGTGAAATAATAAAATTAGATAAAATTAGAGATAGAGGAAATAAGAAAATTAAACATCAGAACTTAAAACTTTAGAACTTTTAACCTTTTGTAATGCATCACCTCACAAATAGAAATGGCTGAAAATAAAGTGAACTTCACACACCGCCTCCACAGCCCATGAGCTCCACTCGGAGATAAATGCCATTCTGGAAGTCATGAGGCATCACTCGCACAAACCGAGCCAACACCATCCTGTCCAGCTTGATCTGGGCCACACCTCGGTCATCGTGGTTACCCAGAAATACCTGAAGAGAGGCCCCACATCCACAGAGACCACGTGATGAGCCAGGGAAAGATGGAATATGGAATAATTACAGCAACTTTAATGATTTTAACAGGCTATTTGTTTACGTTGATGCTTTTAATCTAGTATTTATTTAGTGTATAGAGCGCCTTGCAAAAGTATTCAACCCTCTTAATAGTCATCAGGTTTGCTCATGCTGTTTGCAGAAGTATTCAACACCTGCAATGTAGACGCTCTTCATTTACACAAATGAGAAATACTGCTTTAATGAGTACACAATTGGCCATTTTTGATCATTGATCAGACTGTGAATCTGGGTGAATCTGATGGAAAGCTGTGAAAACGAAGACCAAAGAGCATTCTAAAGCAATCAGAATTACAAGTCATAGACATGCAAAAGCTAAGAAGAGGCTACATCATAATATCCAAGTGTTTAGACATCCCAATGAGCACTGCTGGAACAAATGTCAGGACATGGAAGTAGCAAGACAAGGTCATCCCTCAAAGCTCAGCATCAGAGAAGTGGGACTTGTAAGGGAAGCCTCAGAGACGCCAGCAAATTACTTTGAATGAGCTACAGAGTTCAGCGGCTAAGACTGGAGTGAAGGCGCTGCAGACAACAATATCAAGATCTCCGCATATAACTGGCCTGTATTGGAGGGTGGCTAGAAAGAAGCAATCTCTATAGAAAAACATCTGGAGTTTGCCAGAAAACATCAGAGTAACACAGTTAAAATGTGGGAAAGGTGTTGTGGTCAGATGGGACCAAAATTCAGCTTTTTGGCCAAAATTCAAAACGTGTGGTGCAAACCTAATACTGCCCATTCCTCAACAAACGTCATCCCAACAGTGAATTATGATATGATACCATCATGTCATAGGGATGCTTTTCCACAGCAGGGACTGGGCATCTTGTTAAAATTGAAAAATGGATGGATGGTGCAAAATAAAGGAAGATACTGCAAGAGAACCTGCTTTGGTCTACTAAAAAACTACAGCCTGAAAGAAAATTCACCTGTCAGCAGGAGAATGATTACAAGCTCAAGTCCAAAGCGACACAGGAGCGGCTGAACAACAAAAAGGTGAATGTTCTACAATGGAACGAGAATCTATGGCACTGTTTGAAAACTGTGGTGCATGAGGGTCATCCAACTAACCTGAACAATCAAAGAAGAGTGGGTGAAAATCTCCCCCCAGTGTGCAAAGCTGGTAGAGATTTTCTCCAACAGACTTAAAGCTGTTATTGCAGCAAAAAGGTGGTTCTACTAAGTACGAGTCTGAAGGGGCTGAATACTTATGCAAGCAGCATTTTTCAATTTTTTTTTTATTAGTTGACAAACAATGAATTTTGTCTTTGAAACTGCAGTTTTGGTTTGCAATAAAAAAATACTGTCTGGAGCACTCTACGCGTCATTTGTAATCCAATTTTGACTTTTACGGGCTGAATACTTGCATGGTACTGTAGTTGAGTGTAGCAGACGGAGGGTGTTGAATCACTACTAACTAGCCATAAACTGTAGCTTTATATGCTGTATTCTATATTATAACTTCAGTCAACTCAGTTTCAAAAATACACTGACTTTGGCTTTAGGACGGGCGTCTGTGATGAGTTCTTTGTAGGTGTACCACTGGCTACCGTCACTGCTGAACTGTAGGTAGAAACTGGACACAAAGGTATCAAACAGTCCTCCACCCTGGGTAAGCAGCCCTGAAACCCACAGCACAGATACAAATGCATTCATGTCATGACTTGATTCAGTCATGACTTTTAACCCCAAGAAGTTGATATTACAATGTACTGTTTAAGGACACATTCCACCAATATAGTACTATTTATTATACACTCCAGTTACACCCCAAATATCTCCAACCTTTTTCACTGCTAAAGAAAGAGGAAAAATAATGTCAGATGATAAACAGGAAATCATCAAGATTTTCTAGCGCAATGTTTCTAACAGTAAGCAAGTCCCTGCATGGTATCATTAATTAACTGACCGACCGAAATTTTACTTGAAACTTATTGTATGGATGGACATTTACACTTTAAACATATAAGTAACTATACTAATTGTACTGCCAAGTGTCTGAGAGGCACCTGTGATGTTGTATGGTCTGAGCAGGTCTATCTGTAGGTAAGGGGCCTGGTTGTTGTGCATGTAGCTGAGGAGGGTGGACGCTGAGAGCTCTCTGTACTGCTCTGGCTCAGGGCTCCAGCCCTGCAGGTCACTCTGGGAGTCAAATGCATGGAGGCGTCCGGCAGAGGCTGGGTGACCCGGCTGCTGGGAGGAGGCACTAAAGCTTGTGGCAGGAAGAGACTGGACTCCGAGAGGAGACCAACACTCATCTAATGGAAGATGTGAATACACAGTGGATGAGATTCAGATTATCATGTAAAATCAGCAGGATGATGCTTGATTTATGTTGAATAAAACAAATAAACAGAACTGATTGTCATTAATTTTCTCCTTTCAATTAGTTTCAATTCCTTTCAAAAACAGACCACAAGTGATAAAAGTTTCTCCTTATTTTTGAGATCCATCCATTTGCAGTGCCACACCACCATCACCGGCAAGTTTCAGGATGGACCCAAGGATATCATTTTATATTTATTATTTTAGCTGCAACTCCAGTATATTTTTGAGAGTAAAAACATGCCAAAAATATGATGTGAAAGTAGCAAGCATTGAAATTGGCTGAGTGAAACAAGGCTGAAAATCACATATCCTAAAATAAATTGGTCCTACAGTTTTAGTAAAATCATGGTGGTGTGAAATTGTTCTTTTTCTACTGACCTCCGGGTGGAAGAGGAAATGTCGGCACAAATGGTGCATCCTTTGGTGCTGTGGAGGACTCAATGGTAATTGGTAGAGCTGCTGGGGTGGTTGGGACAATGACGCTGCCATTGCCAGCTAAACATTAAACAATCAAGAAATGTTCATATGGTTGACATTCACATCAATAGTTCATCATTTGTCTCTGGTGAGTTGGTCCGTTACCTTTGTCTTTACAATAGCAACACTTGTCTCCTTCTCCCAGTATCAGAGTCTGACCCTGCATTAACAAAACACATTGCTCTCTGAATACAGAGCCACAGAAAATGACAACAACAGACATGAAAGGGAACGATGGAGGTGTTATTCTGAAAACGTGAACAGTACAAATTAATAAATGAGTCTTATAAACATACAAGACGAACCAGCTGCCATTCTTTACCACATGTAAGTTTAAACCACAGGACCACAGGAGAAACAGATAATCACTTCAGCACACACACACCTGAGGGCATCCAGTGAATGGGCAGAAAGGGGCACACTGTACTGTGAGGTTGGGTAAACAGTGACAAAGCTGGCACTGCCCCACTTTCCAGCGATCGCTCACTGCATGTGTGCGACCCTGATACTCACACTCCTCACAAGGTTCTGTCTGACAGCTGGAAAACACACACACACACACACACACACACACACACAATGACAGGAATGTTAGAAAAATTGCAATCAAGCAGTCACACACAACTATTCCTCTAAATATAAGAAAAAAAGGAAAATTCTTACCGTCTAGCTTTCCGGTAAATCCCACGGCACTGCCTGCCTTTGCCGTGTTTGGAGGGGTTGTTTGGGCTGCGAAAAGACCACTGGACGCTCTGCACTCCACATGGACCCAAACACTCCCCCCATGGGGACCATGATGACCAACCACAATGTACTGAGACACCATACACAACAAATGCACACACATACAGAGACAGAGAGAGAAGGAGCAAGACAGAGAGAGAGAGAGAGAGAGAGAGAGAGAGAGAGAGAGAGATACAAAGAGAGACAGAAAGAGAGAAGGGAAAAAAAGATAGAGAGAATAAGTAATCGACAAGCAATGAACCTCAGGTCTATATCAAAGCACTGAGAGCATAACCCACAAGGGGTTTAACAAGAGGTTAGCAGTGAAGCAATGATTGCAGATTTAAGAGAAAGCAGCATATTGTATTATATTGTTTCACATAGTTATATCGTGACTAGCATGTTAGCCTGGGGCTAACACATTAGCCTGTGTCTAGAGTGTTGAAGAGGACACAACAAAGCATCATGTTTTAAAATATTTGCTTCAATTATTGTTACTCTAAATGCTCTAAAAACCTACTAATTAGCATTTAATGAATGGCACATTTTACTCCTTAATTAAAAATGTATTGAATCAAGACGCCACTGTATGAAATCCAATAACAATTCTTTTAAAATTGCTACATGTCAATAGGTAGATAGACAGATAAATAGATAGATAGATAGATAGATAGATAGATAGATAGATAGAAGAGTGCAAAAGAGAGAGGGGTGGAAGAGAGAGAGAGAACAATCTGGGCACTCTGTACCTGAGCACTCAGGGTTGGCCTGGCAGTGCTGGGGTCTGCCTCTCTCACACCTACAAATCTCACAGCCCATCTTCACCTGCTGCCCTGGCCAGTACCGGACACCTGACACTTCACATATACATTCCTCTGGCAACACACACTGCTGCAGATGGTCCATGACCTTCCCCTCTGGACACCAGCAACCTTGGCAGAGAGAAAGAGAGAGATCTCCTTAGAAAAGCATTTCCAATAGAAAAGGACACTCTGGAGCAGCTGCACATGATTGGCTCAAGCATTGGCCTGAGAGGTATCCATAGAATACTTTTGTGATAAGCTGCAGTGAAGTTTGTGATTCAGAACTGATCATCCAACATGAGTATCTGACCTCACTAATGCTCTTGTGGACGAACGCAATCAAATCCTCACAGCAGTGTTCCAAAATATAATGTAAAGCCTTCCCAGAAGAGACTATCACTGCAGTAAAGGGGGACTAAAATCCTTATTAAAACCATTGATTTCAGAAGAAACATTAGATAGCAGGTGTCTAGTAGCATCGTGCCCACCCCCACCGGCTTACTGTTTACCTGTGAAGCATGGTGCGCTGGGGTCACAGGAGGTGCCACTGGATATGTGAGCACAAGTCTTAGGGCAAGGGGCACAACTGTGAGTCACCAGACCAGCCGGACAGGAGACATTAGCGCAGGCATCCTGAGGACATGGATCTACAAGAGTAGAGAGAAGGACAGAAAATGACGGCTTTCACTGAAACTACAAACACTTCAATCTTTTCTTGCAGGGCAACTGTGGATACACAACATATATTTAATATCACATTATAATCACACAAAATGAGCACGTTTATGAACTTACTGATCTCTGTGGTCAGAGCTGTTTCTCCTGGAAGCTCTGTGCAGGCTCTGCCTCCATTCTGTGGTGGAACACAAACTCTTTGACGGAGCTCCACTCCCCCACAACCTTTACTGCAGTTAGACCAAGTTGTCCACGCCGACCAGTGTCCATCAACTGCTCAACAAACACAGATACATATCCATACACATAAACACAGGCCAAAACATGCTACTGCTAAGAAAATACCAATACATTTTAAATAGGCTTCCTTCCATACGACAAATCAAGTAATCCATTCTCTCCACTGTATTAATGGTTTGAAGACAGTTGCCACACTTGTACTAATTAAATCATCATGCCTTCCTAATTTGAATGCTTATAGGACAGTACTGCAGAACAGACGGCTCTCACCAGGACAGGCAGTGGAGTAGCACTGCTGTCTTTGCGTATCTTCACCCCTGCAATGTCCCAGTGCGTCCCCCAGGGGGCAGTGTCTGCGCCTGCTCATAGTGCCAGCCCCACAGGTGTGGCTGCAGGGGCTCCAGGACCCCCACTGGCCCCAGTTTCGACAACCCTGCTCATCCGAGGGGCCCTCAGCCACAAGCAATGAAGCATCAGGACAGTCTGCTACTCCGTTGCAAACCTAAAACAGCACATGAATTGATGTGGGGGTTCATGCAAGATGTTTTGTAATTACAACAAATCTAGGCAGAAAGCCACATGACTACACCTTATTACACTAAATTCAAGTATTATATATTACAGTATAATGTCTTTGTGAACAACAATACAATGCCCTAATATAATCGACCTGCCTTCACCTGGTAGTAGGTGTCTATTGTTGGTAGTGACAGTTTTAGCTAATCTGAGCAGAACATAAACATTATGCCAGTACATGACTAGCTAGCAAACACAGTTTTGTACTGTTAGACACAAAACATCACAATATTTTTCATTAAAACACACACAAAAAAAGTTTTCTTAACTGCAGAAAATGTGTTTTGTTGGTGAGAATTCATAAGGTTACACACTGATTTTCAGACTCTGGGATACATTTATTTAAAACAATGGGATCTAATTGAACACCATCCTGCCATATTAATACCATCTTTTAACAAGCTCTCTTCCACTTGGACTCATTATTTCTCCTCAGTGGAATCCGCAGCGTCATTTTAAGGGCTGTCCCAATACTTTAAGAGCTGAAGTAAACAGAGTTAAATGAGCCCTCGGAGAGAAGAAGGAACAAGCGAACACCAATGTCGACTTTAGCAGCAGAATTTGACCAGAAATCATTGTGACCATTGCGTCATTTCCCTTTTAAAGCCCAGAACTAATGGCAGACAAAGCTGTTTATAAGCCACAGCAATATACTACTTTAAAACGCTTAACAACTCAAAACTATAACACTCAATTTGCTGGGTTTTAAGTTACAAACTACTCCATCTGTTATATCTGTGACTGCTGATACAACCTCACCACTTTCCGCTGTTAGCTGGCTCATTAGCATGCTAAAGGCTACATGGCTAACACGAACAAAAAGAAAGGAATTTTACTACAGTTTTACACCAAGTTTATAGCCAGACAAAGCAATTACACACACAAATAATGTATGTAATGCTCAAATTTCTTAAAAAATGTTAGAGTTTGGGTCAGCCACCTCCCTATAAAAAGTACAGTATAAACGATGAATTTATGTATATTTAGCTTATTACTATATCAATTAATGCCATGAATTTAAATAGACCATAGTGTATTACTGAATAGCTTTTTATAGAGTTTTACTGTGGAAGCGCAGTTTGAAATAATTCAGTAGAATGGTCCATATAATCTCTATCTCTCATGTCTTACTGATTTGAAAGGGACACAGGATCCATCCATGCAGGTGAACTCAGGACAGGTGTAAGTAGTGTTCCAGCCACCAGGAGGAGCAGGTGAGGAGCTGGGCTTTTCTAGATATAGAAAAGGAGGATTTGTAAGTATCCACATTATTATTAGTATTATTCAAAATCATCCAAAAGTATTCCTTCAAGAAAAAGATGTATATTTTATACTGTATTTTGTCCTTTGTATTGTACAATGCAGGCAGATCTTTGAAAGCATGCTTTTTTATTTCTATCAGGGCAACAACATTCAAAAATAAAATAAAGGTTGTGTCAGAGAAAATCTGATGCTGTGAGCGCTCACCACACAACAGCTCATCCTCTCCGCTTGGACAGTCAGGAACGCCATTACACACACGGGATGTGTTCACACAAGTTCTGTTATCACACAAGAAGCTGCCGGGACATGGTGGGATCCGTGTGGAGCCTGGAAAAGAATTTGACAGCGGATATAACAGACACATATGAGGCGATCATGATGGATGAGTGTTTTGTGGATAGGCCAATTGTCACGTTCATGTGAGACACAAACATATGGAATGTGCTCTGCAAGGGCAGGACTACTAGCCAAAACAGCCATTAGGAACCTGTTATCCATTTTTCAGAATCAAAAAAAGGAAAGTACATACTTAACAGAAACATTTAAGCCTCGACAACAAAACATTTTTTTTTTCAGTTTTTAGTGTGTCCACGCTTTGCCTTTTTTATAGCTTCCATTCTTTTCAGGAGACTTGCTTTCGGTTTTTTAAAGAAATCTCCAGGGATGTTTTTCCATACCTCCAAAGTTCAGTCTTGGAAGTCGGTTGCATTTTCTGCTTCTGATGATCCAAGTAATCCCAAACATATTTAGTGATGTTGAGGTCTGGACTCTGGGGTGGTCAGCTCAATGCTCTGAGAAACCAGCTGCTTCTTTGTTTGATTTGTAATTTTTTTTTAAACTTTTTTTGTTTATTTACTTTACCCAGCTTCTCGGTAGCTACACATCCTTATAGACAAACAGTGTGGAGTTGTCTTCTCAAAGTGAAAGGATAGACAGAAAAACTTGGATTTTGCAGATACGAAGCAAGAGTGGAGCTTTAAAAACTAAATAAATACTGTTTATCTTATGGTGACAGGTTTGGTGGTCTACCAGGTCTTGCACGGTTGTCAGGAGTCCCATTTTCTTTGTATCTTTTAATAATTTTTTGAACTCCAGTTTTTTCCCCACTTATTTTCCCTTTGACTTTACTCTTCCTTATGTAAGTGAATTGTCCTAAATCCAATTAACTTGTACTTTATTTAAGGAAATTAAATAAACAAAGGGTGGTTTTCTGACTTTTGCACAGTACTGTACCTCGCTCTCACAACAATGTAAGCTATGTATTAATTTTCTTGTATTTAACAAACAATTACTGAAGTAACTGAGTAGTTACTGAAAAATATGTGTGGAATTTCAGGGGTAAACATACAGCAAGAAAGCAAATTATATTTGTGTCAGCAACATTCTTCATTTGTGTCAACCAACAGGTTAATGATCAAATCAGAAATCCCAAGTGCTAAAGTGCCACGGCTCACCGCAATTGTCCACACTCTCGTCAGAGGCGTCTCTGCAGTGTGGTGTACCATCACACAGATGCATGTGCTGGACACACTGGTCTCCACTCAGACAGAGGACTTGGTCAGGTCCACAAGTACGGTCACACTGCTGCTCATCACTTCCATCCAGACAGTCTGTTTCTCCATCGCACCGCCAGCCCAGCGGCACACACTGACCACTCGCACAGCCAAACTCATGCTGACTACAACCTGAAAGACAGGAGAGGGACTTCATACTGACACAGCCTAAAGCAGAGCACCTTCACAATACAAGACTCTACTTCTCACCCTTATCCCTCTTACTGCTGTTAAGTGTTACTTAATACCTTAATATCAGACATCTTCTCCACATCGATCTGCAGTTCTCAGCAACTCCAAGAACTGTTCAATTTCTCAGCACAACACAGCACGTGACTCAGCATTTTACCAGAACTACATTAAATAAAAGCCATACTGAGACCACAGAAAGCCATGTGGCTTGAAATTTTGTGTGGTGGCCTTTAAGGTTGCGATTTTGGGGGGTGATTTTATAGGAGGACTGGTGCAACTGACAGTGAAAAAGTTTGAGAAACCTTTTTTGTCGCTGAACCAAACCGATCTGTGTAGTATATGTAACTAGAGCTCTGTAGAATCAAGACATAACGTATCGAAAAATGAATCAAATCATTACCTCAGAATCTAAAGTAGTACCAAGCCTAAAAATATGAGCATTGTTAATCCTCTAATGATTGGATATGCGTGTTTTGTTTTTTTTTACCTTTAACAGGACAGATAACTTCATCAATCCCGGATGGACAGTCCTTATGGCCGTCACACACACTCTTTGCAGGTATACATTGATCTCCAGGGCACTGGAACTCTCCAGGAGTGCACACACACCCCCGCTCGTCACTGAAGTCACCACAGTCATCATGACCATCACAGCGATGGAGATAAAGAATGCAGCGGCCAGAGGAGCAGCGGAACTCATCTTCAGAGCACACCACTCCACAGTCTGTTTCAAGGAGAATGATGAATAAAAGAGTGCATTTCAGTTAACTTTAACAAACCTGTCTCTGTGTCAATACATTCAGAGACGTTGGTGATCGGATCTTAAACGTTAAATCTGCTGCCAGAATAGGAATGACACATGCATGTCCATGTTCAGCATAGCAAAAGGTATCAACATGTGGAACCGGGGCTTTCTGTGTAATGGGCGTGTGGGGGGGGGTTGAGCCAGTTCCTAGTAAAGGCCTTCTTACTGGCTATGAGAAATGTTCCGACCAAGTATCTGTCTTCCTTTGATACAACTTCTAAAATACTGCCCACATACATCATGGTACTCCTCTTTGGAACTGTGTATCCCAACACCACATTCAGAGTGAAATGGATCCTTTCTCAAGCCTGATCTAATTAAACTCTAGAAAATACATCCATGATTAGCATCAAAGATTCCATATTGTCTCTAAAACATTTGCTGTACCGACAAATATTTATTTAGGGTCAATAAAGAACCTAATTAAGTTTTTCTAATACTTCATTTAACATAATCCTTCATGTTAGAGGAAAGCCTGCATCAGTGGTCACCAACCCTGGTCCTGGAGCTCTACCTTCATCTACCTTTAGTTCCAACTTCGATCTACCACACCTGCTCCAGCTAATTAACTTCTTCAGAAGTCCATGATAGGCTGTATCAGAGGCATTAGTGTGGGGGGGTGCAGTGTGTTGGATGAAGACTAGAACTCAACTGGGCAAAAAAGGTGATCTCCAGAGGGAGGGTTCGTGATGACAGGGCTGAATGGAGTACCATTTACCTTTTTCATCTGAGTCATCAGCAAACCCACAGTCCAGTCTTCCGTCACACATTTTAGCTGCAGACAGGCAGCGTCCATTAGCGCACTGAAACTCCCCAGCTGCACACCCCGGCACTGCTGTGACAGGGGCACAGAACTCCTCATCTGACTGGTCAGCACAGTCAGGATGGCCATTGCAGCGAAGCTCCACAGGTAAACAGGCACCGCCAGAGCAACGGAACTGCCCAGGAGGGCAGGTGGAAGGGCAAATCTCATCAGAGCCGTCCCCACAATCATCCTCATTATCACACAGCCAAAGAGAGGGGATACAGCGGCGGGACCCGCCAGAGCACTGGAACTCAGACTCCAGACAGGGTGCAGGGGAAGGGCATGCTGACCCAATGCAACGCCACGTCCCATTAGAACAAGAGCTGAAACATATATCGTAGGCAATAAATACTACTAATACGCATTTATTATAACTGATTACCCCTGTTGAACGTATAAAGCCTGAAATACACTACATAGACAATAGTATTGGGACACACCTCCTAATTACTGAGTTGAGTTGTTTCAGCAACACCCACTGATAAAAGGTGGATAAAATTAAGCACATAGCCGTGCAGTCTCGATAGACAAACACTGGCAGTAGAAGGGGTCGTACTGATGAGCTCAGTGACTTTAAACATGGCACCATCATAGGATGCCACAAATCAGGCCCTCTCGCTCACAAATCAGTGTCTGACCTCACAAATGCTCTTCTGGATGAATGGGCAGAAATTCCCACAGAAATTCCCACAGACAAACTCCAAAATCTTGTAGAAAGCTTCCCAGAAGAGTGGAAGCAGGGGACCAACGCTATATAAATGCTTATGGATTCAGAATGGAATGTAATAAAAAGCTCCTGTAGGTGTAATATGTAGGTGTCCCAATACTTTTGTCCATATAGTGTATCAGCATCATTAAAATATTTCTAGACTGACCAGTTCTGGCAGTGTTGATTTACAGCTGCTCCAGGAGGAAACAGGGAGCCTTCCCATTCACACGGACACTCAGCTGGAGCGACACAGCTGTCACCTTCAGTGGAAAAAAGACCAGAAAAACAAAAACATAAATCTGATCAGCTGCTTCAGAGGTTCTGGGGATCAAGCACTTTGGAACTACGGTATACAAATGTTGTACACTAACCATACACATACATACCAATAAAAAAAATATCGAGAAATACCAGAGCATCTAATTATTTACATTACTAAGCTATCAGCATTACCAACAATGGAATTTTGTACATTAAGATCAGGCAGATTTAGATCAAGTACAGATCATACAACATGTGCACACACACACACACACACACACACACACACACACACACACACACACACACACACATACACACACAAAGAGTATTCTGACCATTGCGGATGGTGCCATTAGGGCAAAAGCAGCCTTCCACACAGGAGAGGGCGCTGCAGTGAGAATTGAGACTGGGAGTGCTGCCAGGACAAACATCAGAGCAAGCAGGACCACATGCTTCATACACCAAACCATCTTCACACTGCAGTGCTGCAAAGAGAGAGAAACAGAGAGGTAACATATCTGAAACAGAATCAGAATAACCTTGAAAAAAGGTAGGACTCAGCCTGACAGTGAACATGAAAATGAAATGGGTTTCATATAATTACTAGTTACTAGAAAGCTATCATAAAATAAAAAAAAGGTTTTGTCCTGAATGATGAACGAAGCTGTACATGACTCTATGATGATTGAGAAAGCTGTATAACACTGAGAATGGTGTATTAACAAAAATAACATCTGCAATGTCTCAGAATTAAGAAGTAGCAATTAAATCTCAAGGCTGATGACAAGAAATTTCTATAAACCAGATAATTCCAGTACCTTTATGTTTCCAAACTATTGAATAAAACACCTAGAAACACCTTCCCACATCTGATTAAAATAATATATGGAAACTGTACAGTTTTTATAAATTATTATAAAGAGTTTTTTCATGGCAGGGAGGACTAGTCTTACGGCAGAGCTCCTGAGACCTCCAGCGGATATAGACTCCTCTGCGGTTACATTCTTCAGCATAGGCAGCGATGGCTGTGCACAGACATTCACAGTCTCCTCCGGAATCACAGCTACAGTACAGAGACAAAAGTAAACCATGTTGAGCTTGGTTCAATGACCTGTAGGGGATTAACCCACTGCTCAGAGCAGAATTACAGTTATGTGTTCAAATCTACGTGTTATTATTTTCCCAGTCCTGCCCTTTCTACTCACCCCAGAGACTCCATGAACTGCATATGCTTGTATTTTTCCTTCACATGCAAGTGTGATTTAAATCCCAGAGGACTTGGCATTCAGCCCAAAAAGTGAGCAGGGGCTCCAGAATTTGGACTGAATGGCTCTACTCTAAACTACTCATTATGTTCAGATGGGGACTGAGGGCCAGATGTACTATAAGCTAGTTTCAGGCTCAAAGGGGAGGCATTCTGTGTACAAAAGTGTACACAACTGTTGTACAAGCAATTTATGCAGCATGTAGGAAAAATACAAATGCACTTCGGCATACAATGCAAAGGTGGAAGGACCATGCAAAACATGAGAGGAGGTGCCACTGATGACATTTTACAATTGATTTTTGATATGGTTGTTTAGAAACCATTGTTTCATTGTGTGCATTTTATTTCTTTTATGTAATTTATTTATTTATTGCTTTCCTTCTCTTTTGTCCTGATCTGACAATTTAAAAAAACACCTAATTATTGGGGTAGGGTGGGGTGGGGGGTTCTGTGCAGTTTGCATGATTAATACAGGCTCAGTAATATGAACACTCATTTAAGACACACTGCGAGCGCACATTCCCTTTGTCTCTGTTATAAGTGATCTGATGCTCAAATGAATTGCCCCTTAGCTACATAACAGTACATGAACACACTATCAAGATGTTTGTCTCTTACCCGCAGGCATCAAAGACACACCAATCGTAGTATTGTTGGTATGGAACTTCAGCATGACAGACTGAAAACAGATCCTGCGTAATCACTGCACATTTCTTCTTTGCCCAGGTGACTCTGTGAGGGTTAATCTAGAAATATTTAAAGGAATGTTTCAGTGAAAAATCAAATTTTACAATTTTCAGCAACACTTCAGTATGGGGCCATTATAATGCCCTTAAAATGCCCTTTTTAAGCCTTATCAAGCCAGTAGCTGGAAAGTAAGTGGGTCTTAACCAGAGGAAACCTATGCAAACATAGAGAACGTGCAAACTCCACACAGAAGAGACCCTATTCGCCCGGCCGGGGAATCGAACCCAGGCCCTTCATGCTGTGAGGCGATGTTTTGCAAAAGACCAAGAGTGCCCTGGAAAGTGCTTAACTCACCCTTGTTATTGAACAATAAAGTGGCAATGAGCAAATTACAGTTAATTATCAGCTACTGATGTAATAAGGCTTCAGAAAATTACAATGGCATTATATTGTTCCCTATACTGAAGTACTCCATTGTTCCCAGGTTTTCTCTTACACCAAAATGTAGACAATTAGTCAAAAGACATCAAGAAATGTGTACATTTGATCATTGGTCAAATAATGTAATGTTTAAAATGGAGCTGAAGTAGCAAAAAGGCACAGAGAGTAAAGGTCACTCACAGCACAGGGGTCACGCAGGTCCTGCTCGTTGACATCAGGGCAGGACGGGCTAACCTTCCAGGAGTTCCCAAACAGCTCTGGAGTGGACTCCACTATGCCTTGCCTCGTGGTGAAGTCATTCTCCACGTCTCCATCAAAGTTTCCGCATAAACCCCCAACTCGACCTTGCAAGTGTGGCTCCAGCCGCACATACACACGCATGCCTTTCCACAGAGCATCATTCAACAACACAAACAGCACACAACATGCTCTATTAACCTTTCTACGCCAACACAGCATGCACAGTGTACAAATCTGTTACCAGTATCTCAGAATTGTGAGCTGTTGTCCACTCTTTCGAGAAGATCAAGCAACATGACATAATAAATCAAACCCCATCAGCACTACATGGCCTCTTAGTGGCTGTACCTCCATCCCAGAGAAGAGTGACTCCAAGACGGGACGAAAGAGACACAAACAGTCCAATCCTCTCCAGGACCAAACCACTGCCAGAGTAAGACTTAGGAAGAGCCACCGGCATGCCATTCACTGTCACTGCTTTGCCTGGGGAAAGCAAACATGCAACGGTCACAGTACTGTACAACATTATGGAAATTGGGTAAGAACTTTTTTTTTTTTTACATCCCTGGTGTAAAAATCAGGCCACTTCTGATATGAACATATTATGATTATTTTAGTAAGCTAAAAAGTCAGATAACTGATAACACTGGCTAACATAATTTGATATTAAAATGTCAATTTTGTACTCCAATAGTTTTTGTTGAACAGTGCAATATCGATTATTATTATTATTATATTATTATGTTTCACTAGTTCTCTTTATACAGAAAGATTTTTTTACATCCTATTATTCTAACGCAAAATGTTAGGCTCAGGAAGATGCTTTTGTTATACAAATCATGATGTTTTGTGTTTAAATTCACCAGTTCAGCCTCAATTGCTATAATATATTTAAAAAGAGTTTTCTAAGGTTGCCTTATCATCCATCATGATAATGCCAGTTTGAATCTCAGAAATACTGTGACAAAAAAGTCACAGTGTAATTGACAGTGTGTTACTGCAGATATTTTGCTGATACTGAGAAAAATGTGTGTGTTTGGGGGTGGGGTTTAATATCAGCCAATAATCAACTGATCAACCAATCAGTTGGTCCCTGAAAAAAAATGCATGATGCATCAGTCTGAAGGTGTTAATTCAACTGCATCAATTTTTAAATGACTCACTCAATTTTACCTCTATTTGATTTTATTCTTATTTATTTTATTATTTATCTTCATTTTTTCCACTACTCTAAAAAGCTGTATACTGTGAGCTCCTGTAGCCAAATTGTATGTGCCTTGTATGTGTAAGCATACCTGGCCAATAAAGCTTGATTCTGATTCTGAATGTATTTTTAAAAGTAATTCTGGATCATAACAAAATAATCCAATCTAATTATGATAAAATCTGAGATTGAAATCAATCATATCATTCATTCACCAACATCTTCTTAAGTTTTTCTTAAATTCTTTTTTGAGAAACGTCCCAAGAAAAAGTTTTGATTCATGACTTGTTCTTAAACTGCAGAACTGTTTGCATCCTTGTGCTCTTGAGTGTGTGTAGATTCTGTTCTTACCTAAGAACAAATCTCAAATAAGAAAATACTGGTGAATGTCAGAATCTGCGTAAGTGGGTTTTAAGAAGAAAGTTCTTCTAAAGAACGGTTGGTGAATGAGGCACATTGTGAGATCTATACCCTCATAAATTGCCATTATAATTATGCCAATGCCAGATTTAGAGGAGGAACTTTGTAGCCTAAACATCATTCTTTAGTAACAAATGACTTTAATTCAACTTGAGCATGTCTTCTTTGCAGACTGACCCCTTAGCAGGTGAATAGCAGTGTTGCCAACGGTGAGTGTGACAGACTTGGTGCAGGTGACTCCAGTGCTGCCGCAGGGCACGTTCTCAGCACTGACGCTGAACAGTCCACTCATCTCCTGGACCAGGATGTACTCACAGTCCCCCAGAAAGGAGAAACAGCGCCCGTCAAAGGTCACATAGTGCGGGTCACCCGTAGCCACACATGTGCCAGCACATAACAACTGGGTGCAGTGCCAGCGACGATGTTTACATACACTGTAAGAGACAGGGTTAAGGGCAGATAACACAGTGCACAGTATTTCACTGCTGTCATTAGGAAACCTAGAAATCTTATTAGACTAACAGATCTTAAAAATTAAGATAATTTGGTCCTTTTCCTATAAAACTGTTTTAGAGCTAGTACATTTTCTTACAATGACAACAATCTGCAAATTAAACTTGAACAGAACTACTCATGTCTGATGAAAAATGATTCTGGCAAATCAAAAAATAGAAATTAATTAACTACATGTTGTCAATTCAGATCTAACAACACATGTAATCTGTGTATTCTGTGGTCTAAATGAAACATCGGCCCCTCTTTAGGGGAGTGATTCAGTTTCCTGCTTTGCTCGTCTAAACTGACGTTTTGCCCTTGGATTGTTTGTAATGAATCCAAGGGTACTGCATGCTCACCATGTGTTGCAGTCTTTAGAGATGGTGTCATTGGTGAAGAAAAGTCTGCCATTGTGGTGACATGGACACTCATCAGGAGACACACACTGATCTTCCTACAAAGAAGGAACCACCAAAGAACAAAAATATGCATGTGAGATCAAATGCAATGACACGGATGAAGCACCACTATTATTGTTTTATGAATCATATAGGTCATATAGGTCAGCATGAATTAATCCATTAATTACAACAACCCTGTGTCACAGTGCTCAGATTTATCCCACCTTTAAATGTGCTCAGCAGATGTAGCAGGGGTGCACAACTCTGGCAGGCAAGTGTTTGCACAGGAAAATCAAACCCCTTATCAGGTGAATAGCAGTGTTGCCAATGGAGAGCATGATGGACCAGGCGCAGGTGACTTCAGTGATGCTGAAGGCATGTACTCAGCACTGACACTAGCCTCCTGGGCCAGCGCTCGTCAAAGGTCACATGGTGTGGGTCAGTGCCAGTGTATATGCATTGAAATCACTGAACAATGCCTGATCTCAGACCTCAAGGACCAGAGTTGTGCCCTATATAATATTGCAGGGCCACTGAATGGTTGTCACAAAAAAGTACACAGGCCTATATTTTTAGCTATACCACATGCCTACTTAGCGGCAAGTGTTTACAACAGAAGTGTGACAGCAGAACACTGTAGACTGCAGGGGTCCAGTGCTATGAAATCCACATCCCTTGCACAAAGCAGTGTCGAGAGGCAGCAGGACGCCAACATCAACCTATGTTTTTGGAGGTTTATGGGTCACAAAGGTTGAGAACCAGTGATCTAGTAGAATGTGGATGAGGAAAATTTAAAAAGGCTGTCTACAATGTGATGTGATGACGGAGACTTACCAAGAGCACAGTTCCCTCAGGACAGACACAGCCATAGATGGGCTCAGTGCAGGGAGCCTGAGGGCTATCCAGACTGGAGCAGGTCTTTAAGCATGAGCGAGGGGAGAAGACCAAAGAGCCTGGACACACTCTGACCTCAGGGCAAGGGTCATCAGTACAGTTCCACACACCATATTCACACACACTTCAGAGAGAAAGAGAGAGAGAGAGAGAGAGCAAGAGAGAGTGAACAAGGGACCATCTGAGTGACCATCTGAGTGACCATTACTGCAGCGTACTCAATGCTACTAAAGCAACGACTCTGCCAAAATTGCCCGCTCAACCAAACATACACAATCAGCCAGATTACGTTTGGAGTGCAAAGTTTGCATCTTCAGTTTTGCACTGGAGCTACAAGGCTAAAGTAGCTAATAAATAATGGAAGCTTATAAGTACCTGATAGCACTGCACAAACTGCATGTAAAAATCAAACACCTGCCTCAAACCGCAACAAGTTGTTAAGGATTCTGAAATACAGATGTGATTATGTAATTTCTTAATTCCTAATCACTTCTGGGTCTATAAATGTAGTGTATTTTTCAATATTGTTTACAGACTTGTTTTCTGGAGGTGGATTAAGCAAAGTCTTGGGCTAAATCACATGAGGTTTACATTTATATGGATATGGATTTACAGATCATTTAAAAGAATGTCATTATTGGAGACATCTGACACACATACACTCGCACTGAAGTAAAGAATAGACAGTTCACCATTGATGAGACTAAGGCTACATTCACATTACAGGCCTCATTGCTCAATTTTTTTGATCTTTCTAACTTGATGGTTCACATCCATGTAAGTGACTGTCATTAATGTAAACAAATCTGCACCCTGAAACAAACTGCATGCACACATCCTAATCTAGAACGGCACGTGAATGAACCACATGCATCAAGAACAACAAACTACCCAGCAAAACAAGCCTTCACTGTGAAGCTCCAAACAGCTCTCAGTTGTTCACAATTAAAGAAAGACAAAGGCAAAAAACAGTTAGATGCATTGCTTTTGCTTTTACTGGCCCTATTTTCAGGTCAGGCACTGCTGTCACATTAATGACGACGATGATGATGCATGCCCAGTAAAAGAAAAACACATTAATTCCAATCTGAGTGTTCTCATTCAGGTTGCATGGCTACGAATCAGATATGTGTTCAATCCAGGACCACATGAAAGTGGCTCAGATCTGATTTGAAGAGAACAGAATTGCATGCCCACACAGCTCTGAAAACAACAGATCTGATTACAGATCGGATTAGTGCCGCTTCAGCCTGGTAATGTGAACACAGCCTAATTAGACCACAGGATGTTAACTGGCATTAATATAAATATATTGTATCATGTATGCTTTTACTGGTACCTTAAGTTGTCATGAGGTAAAAGAAATGCAATGAAATCAACCTATCCCGATGAGGAAGACAGCGGGTCATAGAATGACTTCATCAGAGCTCTCCTACCTCAGGAACTCTCAGCAGACAAGAGTTTTTAGCACTTTAACAAACCTCTTTACTGCCATATTTCAAAGCCAACATTAGATTATGTACAAAACTTTACTATGCTCATAATATCAATGCACAATATTGGCTGTGGTGTCCAAAATCCATCCACAATGTTCCGTACTATAGGTCGTACACAAGCAATGTACCATAGTGGACATAGTCATTTGGTTTGAACTGATCCATGTGCAGTTTCTCTGTGTAAAACGTTAGTGTACAAAATTATTTACTTGAATTACAAATTATTTTCCCTTTAATAGCAATTTATGTGGTGCTCCAAATGTTCAACATTGGGCAGAGTGAATAGTAAGAGACCATTTCAAAAAAGCACTTTTGTTCTATTTTACAACAACAGGTGATATGGGTTTGTTGTCATATTTTAGAACCTCCAATTTCCTTAAATGTATAATGATACGGCCAATCCAGTCAGATAAAAGTTTACTGGAGTTCACTACAGCCTTTCAATCATTACCCAGATAAGACACAAAAAGATGCCCGACTAATTTTACAAGGGTATGAGCATGTGTTCAAGTTGTCTGCACATGCAAAACCAATGACACAACCAATTATTGGGGATTAGCCAGAACCTAGACCAGTTACCGGATGTTAATGGATTTGCATTAGCTGAAATGTCCATCTCCTTATGTCAGAACAGATTCCAAAAGCTTTCATCTATCCAATATGTTAATAAGAGGATGACTCAATTAGACAATTTGGCAAGAGATCCAAGCTAGATGAAGAAACTGTCTTATCTCTTGACACATAATATGGTGCTGGTGTTTCACAAACACGATGAAAGGACATTTTCTGCTGAACCACTGAGTTTGTTATCAGGGATGGGTGATAAAAAAGCACCTTTAGATGCCATGATGGTCATAAAAGCAACCATAAAATGTTTATTGCAGAGAAATCGCTACTGCCTCCTTTTCTTTTTCTTCTTCTTCTCTCTGTCTCTATCTCTCTGCAATGGTACGATATGCTGTAACTGGGGTTTGGCTGTTGGCTAAACCCCAACAATCATGCACTCGATTGTGTGCAATCGTGAAGTGATTGTGTAGCAAAGATGGATATGATGCAATGGTACACAGTACAGCTTGTACTGCACCAGTTTTGCAGCATCTCTCTGTACTCTGTGTGTGTGTGTGTGTGTGTGCACGCATGCAGGGTTGTGGTATACAGACCATGAATCAGCAGAAAACTTGCTGCTTTTTCTCTGCTTGACCACTTATTAGTCAGTCATAGTCTTATTCTTATTAATCATATTATTCAGGAACTACTATTCATTATTCAGTACCTACTGTGAATCTACTGTGCAAGTTAAACCACAATTCCAAAAAAGTATGTGAAATGCAACTAAAAACAGAAAGCATCGATCAGCAAATTAAGTTTGACCTATATTAAACTGAAAACCCATTAATTTGTGCTTCATAATGTGAATGTTTTCAATCTGAGACTGTTCTGGACTGCAGGCAGGCCAGTCTAGCACCCGCACTCTCTGATTATGCAGCAATGCTGTTGTAACAGAATGAGGCTTGGTTTTGTCATGTTGAAATACACATGGACATCCCTGAAAAAGACATGACGTAGAAGGCAGCATATGTTGCTCCAAAATGTGTATATATCCATATATCTTTCAACATTAATAGTGTTACCACAGAGGTGCAGGTTACCCATGGCATGAGGACTAATACATCACCACACCATGGCAGACCCTGGCTTTTAAACTTTACACCAGTAACAGTCTGGATGATCCTTTTCTTCTTTGGCCCAGAGAACATAATGTCCATTGTTTTCATTAAAATCTGAAAGTGAATGAATGTGGTTCTTGTCAGCAGTTTGTGAAAGTATTCCCAAGCCCACATGGTGATATCTATTACAGAAGCATGCCATTTTTTTAATGCAGTGCCATAAGAGGAATCGAAGGTCATGGGATTTTTCGCTGACACATTTTTTTTTGGCAACGTGGCAAGCCTCAAACTACCCTTTCTCATAAAGGACTAGGCCTTTCCTGTATGCAATTTAATACCCATATATGATTGCATCACCTGAATGTTTTTAAAATGTTCTCAAGGTTCCTAGTCTTAAACTGCCCCATTCCAACATTTTTAGAATGTGTTGCAGGTATCAGTTTCAGAATGAGTGTATATTTATAAAAGGTGAGAAGGTGATACATTAAAATGTCTTGGCATGCCATTTAAATGCAAACTTTGTGTGTTATTTGCATTTCACATACTGCTCCATTTTTTTTTAGAAGTGAGGTTTGCAGGTATAAGACTGGAAAGCTACAGTGTGGGCTCACATACAGGCCTTTCTAGTCATTTCCCATACCAGTTATTGCAACTGATCTGCACAGAGCTTCCAGGTGGATGGGCCACCCCTTCATGCACACATGGGCACATGCTGACTGGGACACACTGGCCTTGGTCATCCTGCACCAGACCCTCTGGACACTGGCAGCCCGGCACACATGTCTGGCTGCCTGAGTTCTCCTCACAGCTCCAACCTTGCTTCAGGTCAGCACAGGAGCCTCCACATACCCGGCCACACTCCTGATACACTTGCCCCCCAGAGCACTTCACGGCTGCACAGAGAGAGCATAAAAAGGGCAGATACATTAAAAATGAAAGCTTGAATGAATGATGATATTTCTGAAGTAATGATACTACTATATATTATTTATCATTCAATAACCTTTTCCCCAAAAATGTGAAATATTGTACACAATCTAAAAATACAGTGTAGTTTGTAGCATTATTACTGTACATGTTAGTATTAAATAAAACAACAATTAGGAATATGATATTAATGGCAGTGTATTTAAATTTTAGACTTTTATTTTCCATTTAGTTACAAGAAACTCCTGCAAATCTGACTGATTGCTTTAATGCATAATGCAGTTGAAATATTACATCTTAGCTGTGTGACCATTGTGTAGACTCTTACGGCAAAAGGTGCGGTTTCTCCAGGTCACAAGGACCCCCTCCTGGGCACAGTGTTGAGCATAGGCAGTGAGGACAGCACAGTGGCATAGCTGGTGGGGGGTGCAACTACACACCTCAGTCAAGCACATGCGCACGTAGGGCTCCTGCTCCACCACATCATGACAGGCCTGCAGAGAGTGGCGCACAGCGGTATTGCATTTTAGACAGTGAGATTCTGCAGAGCAGGTAATTTGACCAATCACCATGTGTTATTTATACTTAGCTCAACTGTGTCTCCTAAAGTGGTCTAAGAGATTGGATAGCAACGCATCTCCAATGCAACTATTGTTGATATTCAAATAACCGTGAGAGTTAATGAATGGATATCCGGTTAATAGCGGGTAAGGGAAAAAAGAGTACTTTGGCTGAAATTAATGTATGGCTGAAGGTTTACTTTCTTGACATAGAATGGTACAAAATAAATCAACATTGCTCTCATATTTTTAGGCATCCAAAAGGAATTATTGAAGACTCGCAAGGCACTCTCTAGCATTTTGCAGTACATTTTTGATAGAATGGAAAGCGACCAGGCTGCAAAACGGATAGAAGAATGTATTCCATTAAAAAATCAAGAAAACTCACTGATCTGCTTTGGTCTTTGTACAAAGCAAGTTTTGGGCAATAGGATGCTAGCATTACTGCTACTAAATGTTAATTGGCTGGTGAGCTGATTGGCGAGCGAAGCGATTCACATTCACCGACATCATGGACGTATATGAGGCACTAGGGGTAGGAATCTCTAGGCACCTCACGATTCGATTTGATTACGATTCAGAGGGCTGCGATGCGATTATAAAATGATTAATGATGCATCTCGATGCATCTTTTTTTTCTATACATGATTTCTATTTTCTCACTGTGTGAGGACTTGGTAGTTTTAAAACAAAGTATTTGTAATGATCCATAATGAATTTACTTCCAATATCTTTTATTAATAAAACAAATGGGAGTGATGTGGTAAGTGAACTGGAAGGCTCTCATTCAGTGCTCTTGTTTGGAGCACGAGAAGCTGCTGCCACTCTTCTGTGATAAAATGCGCAGTTACGGTGAAATAAGATCCAGTGGTTATGGATGTCCACGCAGCACATTATATATTCCTTAGTGATTTCAGCGCCTCAGTCAGAATTTAAGGTGGAATGGGAAAGTTCAGCAAGAAGCTGGCGAGTGAGAAGCAACTTCAGCCTCGTAAAACAGCAGAACGCTGAGAGACATTTTCTCAACTAATCTACTTCTGAGGAAAAGTTTTCTGGCGGAGATGGAAGAAAAGCAGCTAAAGCTTAAAGCAGAGCAGAATAAGTCTGCGTTTTTGTTTATATTTTTTAGCCTAAACTAGGACATTAACACATACTGAGACACACTGTGTTTTTGTTATGGGCCGCCACAGACTGTCCGGGCGCCGCACTTACCCACTTCCAAGTTCCGCCCTTTGCGTTCTGTCAACATTACGTTATAAATTAAATATTTAGAAAATCAATTTTTGACATTTGTGAATCGATTCAGAATCGTCCACATCTGCATCGCGATGCATCTATGAATCGTTTTTTTTTCCCGCACCCCTATGAGGCACTATTAGAAAGTCCTATAATTTGAATTAAAAAGTGCTGGGACAATATAACAGCAGTGTTAAAATAGTATACAAACTATGAATTTGCACAAAAGCTCCATTGGACCACATTAATTTTGGACTCGCACGTGAGCACCGTCTAGCGTTCAACAAATCCGGTTTAAACGTTACTGTGTGGCAATTCTCCTCAGAACACATTGTCTGGCACTACATCAACCTTCTCAATTATGTCCTTTGCAACACAATTATGTCTAGGCACTGGTGTTTAGGAGTGGCATAGTGTAATATACATACTTACTCACAAATGCAAGGAAAACCATAACATTTTACTGTCCTGTTAAAACATGTTGTTTCATTGAATTGTTAGTCTCTATATTTTATCTAACTTCCTGTGCAGAACAAATACCCAAACAGTGATTTCAGTATTTGAATACTGCACCTCCAACGGTTAACCAAGTACTCAAGTACCCATGCACATCTCTAATTGGTTGCATTTACATTTAGACCTTTCACAATCAGTTACATTTTCAATCTACTCAGTGTGCATGAAGTGGGTACATGTGAATAGGATCAGTAAGAGTAGGTAAACTGGAGTCATCAGCTAACCTGAAACACAGCACTGTGGATAACAGCACAGACAGTCTCTGCATACTGTTTGCGTTGTGTGTAGGTGCTACAAGGGTCAGTAGTAACTGCTGAGGGCAAAGGGCATGACGCGTAGCTGAACTTTGCTGCGAAGGTCGACACGCTGTTCTCAACATCCCCCTCTGGTGTGGTGAAGTCATCATGCTGATTCCAGGTTAGGGTTCCACACAGCCCCCTCACCTGCCACAGTGCACAAACATACACAAAACAACCACACAACTAAGGAAGAGTGCAAATTATTCTACAAATCAGTTTCCAAAAAAGTTGGGACGCTGTGCAAAATGCAAATAAAAACAGAACGCAGTGACGTGCAAATTATTTATAGCCTATATTTAATTGAAAGTAATACAAAGAGAACATATGAAATGTTGAAACTGAGAAATTTTCTTATTTCTTGAAAAAAGAATTGCCCATTTTGAATTTGATGCCAGCAACAAAAGACTGGTAAGGTTGTATAATGCTAAAAAAACACCTGCTGAGTATTTCAGAAGTAAAGATGAGGAGGGGTTCACCACTCTGTGAAAGACTTTGGGGATTTCATAATCTACAATACATATCACTAAAAGACTCAGAGAACTCACTTCTATGCATTTTGTACAATTACTGTTTATTTGTTAAATTTAACATTTTAGGGGGAAAAATTTACATAAAATGTGGCCACTGTAGAAGTAATTTTATGTTAAATGTTTTAAAAATTTTGTTTTAGAAAATAGAAACCATGCATGAAAACTTGCTGAAACTGCCATATTTAAGTTTGTTCCCTGGAGAGAATGAGTTAACTTATATTTTGTTGATTTTCTAGATACAAATGCCATTTGACCAGGGGTGTTAAAACTTTTGCATATGATTGCACTGAGAACTGTACTGAGAGAATTCTCCACATTCACTTTGAAACTTTAAAAGTAGACTTGGATGTTTATCGAGTACACAGGGAAGTCACCATGACTTTTTCTTTCTCTGATTGGTGAAGCCTGATTCAGGTGTTGCACTGAAACTGCTAACAAAGTGACTCAAATTTTGTAATTAATAACATAAAGGCTTAAAATAAGGACAGTCAGTATTAGTATAAGTATTAGTATAAGTTTCATTGTGGTGTGCAAATATCAGTTACAGTATGCTATAAGCATTGAAGAACAAATGTATAATGAAAATAAAGTTGTTTTAACAGGTTGTTTTCAAGTTTATGACTAATAAATGAGGCCCATGGTATTTGTAAAGACCTTATGAGCAAAGCCCGGCTGCAGAGTGATGAGGATCAGAGGGCCATCCGTGTGCCACAGCAGCTGAGCCCCAAATGCCTGGATCAGCAGGAAGCTGGAGGAGGGTCTCCTCACCGCCAGATCAGCTGTTAACACTGGCAAAGCCACTCGTTGCCCATTCAGCATCACTGAGCCTAAGAAGGCAGGCAAGTGGCAGAGAGAGAGAGATGAACAGAGAGAGCAACACAAATTGGTTATTTGGGTTCTGACATTGTATGACATACCAGCATCTATAAAAATGGGTAAAAGAACAAAAATTAGTTTTTGCATGTGTTTTTTTCGGGCAATGATGATGTGTATGGAATTCTGTGTGCATAGATGTGTAGACGAAAGTATGAATGACATAACAGGTTAAGCAGCAGGCTGAAGTACAGGTGGGAAGACAAGCTGCTCACCTGTGTTAGTGATAGTTACTGTGGTATGGTGCGCAGTGACTGACATCTCCTGTGGGCAGCCTGCGCTGCCTCCTGTTACACACTCTCCTACTTTGATGGTCACTGCAAGCTTCTTATCTACAAAATCCTACATGAACACATAGCGGTACAGGTGTTCAGCAGGAGCCACATAAACCAAAAGGTTATGTTTCAGGCTGTTTTTTGTTTTGAAAACTTGCCTCTACATTTTTTTTTAAATGAATAAACATATAGTACACATTTAATTAATGCATACTGTATGTATATTACATGTATAAATGAATCACCATACTGTATACATTTAATTAAAAGATTGTTGTATTATCAAATAATGTGTCTTACCTCAATAGCTGTGAACTGACAGTGACCAGCTTGGAGGTTATACCTCTTCTTATCGAATGTGGAGATGTGCATCGCTCCAGTAATACTGCACTGAGCTGCACACTTTTCTACAGAACACTGCCACTGGCCTCCCTGACACACACTATGGAAAAGAGAGGCCGAGGGAAAGAACAGAGTTGACAGAATAGCTGAAAAACGGTTTGACAAATAGGCGGACCAATTCCATTACCCTCTAGAACTGATGATGTTAATTGTGTTGCAACTGTGTGGACATTAAGCAGCCAGCGTTGGGTGTGCCAGTAGCCTAGTGGTAGGGGAGGTGAGGCAGCAACCAGAAATATACGGGTATGTATCCCTGGACCGGCTGGGTGTTCCTGCCGGTACCTCAGGCAAAGTACTTAAACCCCCACTGGCCCAAGTATCGCTGCTCTGCTGGCAACACCCTGCTGCTACCAGACTGGACATACTTACGCAGCAAAATGACTAATTTCACTTGTAGGATCAATAAAGTATAACATGTTATTCATGTGCAACCATCAGCTACATTTCAATAATGTAAATTCAATGCACCTTTTAAGTGCCTGCATCTAATATGGTCTTTGCTCTATCTTTGCTGTAAGTGAACTGTTCTTGAACACTTAACTGATCAATCTAGACGCAGTAAATCTGCAACATGTCAGCATGTATATTACTGCCCTCTGCACTCACCAGGTGTTACATTTCTGTTTTATAGTGTCTCCCTCCTGGTATGCGCGTCGCCTGTGGAAGCAGGGGCAGTCATCCTTCTGCAAGCATTTGCCCCCATGCAGATAAAGCCCAGGGGGGCACTCACAACCCCCCACACACTCCTCTCGGCACTGCCCTGAGGCAGGGGGGGGAGCGGAGGTACAGCTGGGGGGACAAGAGGACACACAGTCCGAGAAGCGCTGACCTCCAGGACACACTCGCTCTATAGAGAGAGAGAGAGAGAGAGAGAGAGAGAGAGAGAGAGAGAGAGAGAGTGGGGGGTGGGGGGGAGAAAGAAAGAAAGAAAGAAAGAAAGAAAGAAAGAAAGAAAGAAAGAAGGAATGAAAGGCAGAGCATATAAGAGGTAATCTTACAATGAAAATATCTGTTGTTAAATCAATCTATAAACTCAAACTGCATGTTTGTTCTGGATGTCTGACCAACTCATAGGAGATCCCAATAGCAAACATGGCATGGGCTCAAAGGCAATGAGAAAAGGAAATGCACAAAAAGACAATTTGTAAATCAAACAAAGAAGCTGCTGGTGTTACCATAACAATGGACTGGTCAGCCAAGAGTCCAGACCTCAACATCATTGAAAGCATTTTGGATTACTTTGATTTTCAGAATCAGAAAATGAAACCAGCATCCAAGACAAAACTCTGAAGGTATGGAAAATGTCCCTGCAGATTTCCTTAGATTGAACACACTAAATACTGTAAAAAACCTGTGATAAATGTTTTCTGCTATTTTTCCAGATTCTGATCTCTGATCTTTTATTTTTTCATTCACAACAACTGAGCTGAAAGGATTAAGAACAACAATTGTTGAGCTGAGAACTCCTGTTGTTCTCATGAAATACATATTCACATCCAAAACCTACCACATTTCACGCACGTGAGGTCTTCTGTAGACACTGATTCACTAGAAGAGGTGTGATGGATTAGATTTTCAAGGGAAGTGTTGGTGACCATTACTTTAAAAGAAATGACGTACCACACAGATCAGGACGCCTCCAACTGAAAATGACGTGTTGCTGGGCACACTCGCGAGCGTAGCTAGCTAGTGTGTCACACACAGCCCCTTCTCTCTCACTATCTCCAAGACTGCAGTACACATACAGGCAGGTATCAACATAGGGACCTGGATCCACCTGAACGCAGCAAAAAGGACTAACATTACTTTCAGGGTCCAGTTTAAAAGGGCAGATCTTTTTAACTGTAGTGTAAATTGCAGAGATTAAAAGTGAGAAATGTGAAGTTTGTCTGTGCAACACCTCCTGTTTGGTACAATGGTGTGTGTACATCTCACCCGATAATGGCAGTGTGAAAACGGGCTCTCCTTGAGTTGATGACATGTTGATTCTGCACCTCTACGCAGTCTCACATCTCCTGTGATGTCACAGCTGTGGCCCAACTCCGCAGCATCACTGCAACCCTGTCAAGACCAACAGAATGCAGGCCCTTGTCCATGATTGTAAACTGCCAGGACTGCTTTTCGAACGTGCCAAAATACGTGGTAGACAATCAGAACAGAGATGGTGGTGGTGTGTTAGTGTGTGTTGTGCTGGTACGAGTGGATCAGACACAGCAGTGCTACTGGAGTTCTTAAACACCTCAGTGTCATTGCTGGACTGAGAATAGTCCACCAACCAAAAATATCTAGCCACGTCAGTGTTACTGCCGTGCTGAGCATGATCCACCACCCAAATAGTACCTGCTCTGTGAGAGTCCATGGGGGTCCTGACCACTGAAGAACAGGGTATAAGGGGGCTAACAAAGTATGCAGAGAAACAGATGGACTACAGTCTGTAATTGTAGAACTACAAAGTGCACCTATATAGTAAGTGGAGCTCATAAAATGGACAATAAGCGTAGAAACAAGGATGTGGTCATAATGTTATGCCTGATCGGTGTATAAATAAATAAATAAATAAACGCACACACACACACACACACACACACACACACACATCATCATTCACGTTTATGCTTGTCTCCTTCTAAAAGCAGTGACTCACACTAAGTGAAGAGAAACGGCTCAGTTTGTACAATCTACCTCTGTCTGTTGATCTGGAACACGCCATGAGTTTCCAAAGCTGGCCGCGTACTGTGATATGCTTCCACTTCTACTAGTGAAGTCATCTGCATAGACACAGAAAAGAGGATAAAACTAAAAGAGCAATACTGAGAGGATGGATCATCATCAAAGGCACGTACACTGCAATGAAATGAAAATAAATGTTGTATTTTCCTGCAGTGCACCAATTATTTCCATAAAAGCTGCCAAACACACTGTGACAAATGTCTTGAAGCACTGATTGTCCAAGAGGGAGTTACCCCACTCCAACTAATATACAGATTTAATCTGTGTATTAGTCAACATATTAGTCAGACTGTTTGATTAAATAGAGCCTTTTGAACCCAGCTCCACCTCACTCCTCAGGACTAATTTCGAAAAACATTTTAGTGCTAATTGTAATCTTAATCAAGTATTGTGCTTAACATGATAATTTGTTTGCCATTTTAAAAATGACACTACAAGCTCTAATAAAAAGCTCTCAGGGATACAGAAAAGAGCTAGCAGAATACTTACTGCTAATACTGCTAGCAGAAGTAATTCATGTTTAAAATGGACAGCTGAATGAAGAGAAAATAGTGCAGTGATTTTACGTGAAGTTTCTTTTTTTGCTGGACAGGGGTGTGAATATGAGGCTCATCTGTATTTGAATGTTTCAGCTTTACATGTCATGATGTAGCAACTAATCCACAGATAATGAGAACTGATGGGAAATGAGAAACTCATATTTCACAAATATAGATGGATGAGAAATGCAAAAAGCAGAAGAGGAAGAAGAAGAAGAAGAAAAAGACAAAAAAAAGAAGACGAAGAAGAAGACAAACAACAAAAATAACTACAACAGGATCAACAAGAACAAACAGAAAGACAAAAAGACAGAAAAATAATGAAACAAATAAATCATGAATGCTTGATCTCTAAAGAAATCCCTTACCGTCTGCTTTGCTGTTGTATACTCCACAAAGCCCCCTCGTGGCAGCAAAGTGTTCTGCGGTAACCGTTAGATACACAGTGTTGCCCAAGTCAAACTTGATTCTGACTCCCAATCCGCTCTCCACAAAAACAAAATCTCCCAGCCAGTGAACACTCACTCCTATAGAAAAATGAAACGAGAAGTATAGCATATCACTCATTTATTATAGTTGAATAAATTCCACTCTGCAAGATATTAATTATATACAATTTATTCAAATCACTTGTGCAATAATCTCAGCAGCTTCACAGCATGGTTTGAGATGCTGTGACCTATTTCTGGGGTGAGAGAGAAAACAAACAGTTCTGTGAAAAACAGGAACAATCCAGCTGAGAAATCTATTAGAGAAAGCTCCACGGTTCACAGAAGTCAGAGCCATCTGCTTGTAAGCATTATTAATCCACATGGCTTGAATCCACTTTTTTGTGAAATCCAGTCTGAGCATCTTTAAAACAACAGCTTGATCTCTTATCTCTTATTAATAAATTATTTAGTTAAGGAAGAAAATCAAACAGTATCAACACAGGAACACATTATAGCCACAGTAAAGCCACAAAAAACAAATTGCCTATCCAAGACTCATGAAAAGACTGCGCACATCAGTGCAGGGTGCTCCTATAAATTTCAATTAGCAAACACTTTATGCACAAGATCCCAGGGAAGCTGGACGATCAAGATCGTCTGATCTCACAGACTCACTGATTACTGCTCTGTAATAGTTTTTAATATCTCGAATATTGATCACCATGCAATAAGCTGCAAAACAAAGTATACCATAGACTGCTGTGAAGTTGTCAGTGGTGCACAATACTCACTTTGATCCCTACCCCTTTAATTTACCTCTTTACCTGAAGCAACCTTAGTCTGTTTTAGGCAAAATTTCTATGTTCTCTACTTTATTCATTCATTTTATGAAACATCTTTTAAATATATGGAGGCAAGGGATCCATTAACATATGCAAGTTAGGCTCTGTCAGCTATAATGAATGTTTCTGGGAAAGTCCTTGTCACTGGGAAAATCTGGTCAAGTGACCCATTCACAGAGCTACCTTCACAAAGCAAAGGTAAAGGTGACGATGTGCTGGGCTAAACGTAGACACACATTTTATGACCTGTACTTATGAAGGGCCAGTCTTATCTGACAGCACTTAAGGCACAATAACTAGATAAGCAAGAATACCACCGGAACATTAGAACTGTGTTCAGAATGAAACACTGGAGACAGAAATGCATACCATTTTGAAAGAAAGGTTCACCCTGTGGTAAAATGAGGCCATTGAGAGACATGTTGCTCTTATGAATAGACACTAGGTCAAGTCCCAACATCATCCGCAGTGCCTAAAAATACATAAGAGAGCTTTATATAAACAACAGTTAATAAGATACAAAACAAAATGTCAAACATGAATACAAATATGCATTCAGACATGTACTGATACGAATCAAATCAAACTACTGTACATTGAGGGCTTATTACTGATGGTACACTGAGTAGTATTCCATTAGTAAGTAGCAGCCGTAGCGAGCAAATTTTAATCAATATAAGTAATGATAAGAAAAAAAGTGAAAAAGGTGGGATAGTATGTTCAATGCAAATAAAAACAGAAAGCAGTGATTTGTGAATTAAGTCTGACCTGTATTTGAACAAAAAATAGTACAAAGACCACATATGTAATGTTTTTACCTCATCAACGCCACTCATTCTGAAACTGATGCCTACAACACCTCCCAAAAAAGTGGTGACAAAAGCAATTTAAGAATAGGGACATTGTGAAAACTTCAGATGATGCAGTCACGCTTGGGCTTAAAATGATTATTAGGTGTTGTTAAAAGGAAAGGTGATGTAACATAGTGGGAAACATGCATTGGTCCCAACTTTTTTGAAACATGTTGCAGGCATCATATTTAAAATGAATGTATATTCACAAAAAAAAAATCTTGGCCTGGTACTGGTTCAATTGTGTGTGGCCCCGCAAGAAGGATGTCACTTCTAAATAACTGGAATATAATTTCTGATTTGCTACACAGTGTTTACAAAAATGAGCTTTGTAATAATGTAGTATATACTTTGGTAGTGTCTTTTTCATGGTTTCAGTTACTATATGACCATCTCAGGTGCTAAAAATGTGTACTGAGAACCAGTGCAGCCATAACTGGTAGCATGTGCGTGTGCTGTACCTTACTGCAGTGCCCTCTGCCATCACACACAGTGCTGATGTAGACAGCCCAGGTGCCGTCAGTGGAGGAGGCCAGCACGTAGGTGCAGCCGCCCTGGAAATGGAAGTGCTTCCTGTCGAAGGAGCGATAATGCGCTCCACCCCAGCTCATGCAGGTCGCAGAGGCCTTGGGGTCTCGAAGCCCACCAAGGAGACCCCGGCGAAGCAGGGGTGGGGACTGAGAGTCTGAGGACACAGAACAAATACAAGACAATCACTAGTCATATTTTATGTTATATTTTAGCAAAGACCTTAGTGCACTAGCTCAGTGGATCCCAACATGGTCCTCAAGGCCCCAAAACAGTCCACATTTTTGCTCCAACTCAACTTGCAACACACATGGATGAAGAAAATAAGTGCACCATTTGGAAAGCTGCACTCGCTCACAATAATGATGTGTGACAGTCTGTAAAACTTTAAGAAAAAAATGGTCGTTTATCCATGTTCTTTTAATCATCCTTATTAATAAAGGCAACAGCACTTCTTCAGTGAAGCCTGACAGAATAAAACAGAAACTAAATAGGTAGCAGAATTCTAAATGATCTCACTATAAAGACAGCACCTACTCTGATTTACCAAGACTGATAGTAAACACTGACCGTTTGTTATTCTTACCAATATTTCCTATGTTTTTTCTTAAATTTGTTCTTGAGAAAGGTTCTAAGAAAAAGTCTACATCAGATTCATGACGTGTTCTTAAACCTCAGAGTTGTTCACACCTTTGTGCTCTTGAGTGAGTGTATATTCTGTTCTTACCTAAGAGCAAATTCTAAATAAGAAAACATTAGTAAATGTCAAAATCTTTGTTAAAACTGCGTAAATGGGTTTAAAGAAGAATTTTTTTCTGAAGTACGGTTGGTGAATCAGGCCCAATGTTTTGGGCTTCTATTTCCTAATACTGCCTTGCCTAAATTATTTGACAGGGCTTTTTTTATTAAAACTATTGGCAATCACATTTTTAAAGTTTTTGGGAGTCAGTACTTTGTTATTTTTTGTTTTTCTCATGTCAAAATAACATCTTATTTTCTCAAAACAAATATTTATTAGGCAAAAATAATCACCTACTTTCTCCATAAGCAGCAACTTGTTTGTCCACTTAGTTATTATTCAGAGTCTAAGTCAAACTTTTCAGACATTATGTTATTATTTTGGCTTAATACGTCACAGTTTCACAGCTGGTCAAAATACTTTGAAAAAGTACTCACGACTGAATGCTGAATACACTGTCCTAAACATATTCAGTAATGTATTCCATTACAATACATAAAAAATAACATTTTCAGAATACATTTAAAAGTACATTTATAACACATCCTCGTAAGGTACAGTGGAAAATCTGTTTTCTGTTTTATTCCGTCACTATTCTTTGCTGTTACTCATTTAAATGAAGTTCTGAAAATTCTCAACTTTTTTCTTCTCTCATCGCCTGCTTCAGTCCACTGCTGCTCCCTCAGTGCACCGAGCACTAGTCCAGAACAACACAGATGCTAAACTTATCACTCACAAGCATTTCCACTACTAAGGAGACTGAGGAGGTTTGATCATCCTTCAAAAGAGCTCAGTAACACTGACATTAATAACTGACTTGTCACATTGGTTTATCAGTCTACTCAGGCTTTAGCAGGAATTTCAGTGTTTGTAAAGAAGCCGTCAATTGGGGTCTTCTTTAGAATTTGTCTGGTGAGCATGTTTGCATGATTCTAAAATAGTTAATAAATAAGCAGTGATGGTGTTTCTTTTGAAGATTGTATGTTTTTTTTTTTTTATTTAGTGGGTAAGTATTCTATAAGTATTCTCCTAAAAATGTAAAAGGTAAGTGTATTCTGAATACTGCCTTCACAAAATGTAACTTGGACTGAATACAGACACTTAATTTCTGTATTCTGAATTGTATTCCATTGCATTCTAACCCTGCATAGTTTGATCCTGAAACAAATGTATAAAACCATCTTCTTTTTTCCAACTTTGCAGAAACAGGCTTTCATATAAAAAAGCATGTGAGCCAAATAGGGGTTTATACTGCAACATATGTTAATTATGAAGCCCGTATTTATATACATCAAAGTATTTAGTAGCAAGCTGACTAAACTGGCCTCCCACATCGGCCCAAAGTGCCAGTAGCCTTTTGGTAATTTTTGTCATTCCTAGAACTTTTGCACAAAAATCTGCAGAAAAATGCCTTATTTACAATATTTGCTCCCTCAGAAAATCAGTAAGACGTCATTTGAACATGGTGTACAAACCTTTGCATATGACAGTAAATTCAAAACATATTTTTAGCATTTTTTAATTTGAGAGCAGAGAAAAAGCAGCTTAAAATGTGAAAAATGGCTTTCGAGAGCAAGACAGGCTGAAATAAACCACAGTGAAAACAGCCTTTATTTGTATTCATATCTAAACATCTGTTTTTCTCACAAACCCTGAATGCCCACGGAACACTGTAATGTCATAACAAGTTCTTACAGGTTAGAGTTTAGATGCTGTATTTCACATCTTGAGAACTGGATCACAATTATTTCCAAATGAGACGGTCAAAGGTGAGACAAATAGGTAAACATGTCATGGGAAAAAAAAAAAACGAAACTAAAACAGTAACATGATTCTACAACAATTTTACCTGAAAAAGATTCTTTAATGCCAAAAGCACCCACGCACCTGGCAAGAGTGTGTAGGAGCAAGACAGGCAAGTCTGATCAGAAGCATTTTGCCAACTTAGACCCCATACGCTACCACAGCACTGCTCAAGAGACATTAGCGAGGAGTTCTGAACACCAGGAAACTCCTCACAATTCCACGTCGAGAAACACAGACCCCGAAAACTCACTCCTAAAAGAGACATAGAGAAAAGTAACAACACAGCTGTATGAAAAAATTACATTACATACTTCTGCACATTTTAATATACAATTACTGTTTATTTTGGGGGGAATAAAAACAGAGTGCCAAGTTACTGTGAATCAAACAATTTGATTAAACAATTATGCTCGAACAGAGAAAATGTGATGAGCAGTCAAGCAAGTAAAGAAGAAATCAGCAACAAGGTGGAAATAAAGAGCAGAAAAAGAAAGAAAATAACTAGAAAAGAGTGGATTATGTTGTAGTAAAGGCAGAAAACTCCTAGAACTCTGCATGCATATACAGTCTTGCAAAAAAGTCTATTAATATTTCCAAGATTACAAATGACAATCACACATGCTCACCCAATCAATATGTTTATGGTGACCTCATATGCTCTAATGCTCAGTTTTCAAAGCCAACATGTGTTTTTAAAAAGTTTTGATAAATAGAAATGTTAGTTCATAACAAAGTACAAAAATGTTTCTGCATTTTAACCTAAAAAATATTTAATGTGTTAAACAGTTCAACTGGTTTTATTCAACTCAAATGCATACCTTAAATGAAACATTGCAAAGAAAAGTTGAATAGTTCAGATGAACAAAAAAAGCTAAATTTTACATCAGTTCAAAGCTCAAAAACTCTCTAAAACAACTTGTGTCCTGCTCCACCTTTTTATAGCATAAAACACTTGAAATATACGTCCATCTAAAATTTGCAACAAAGGAAATGTTGGCAACTCTCAAGGAGTTTTAAGACACTGAACAGCCAACATGAGAATTACCATTTTTACAGTATGATGACGTTTAGACTGTTAAACATGGTCTCTTACCCTGTGTGCAGCGAGAACCACCCCAGCCTTCGCAGCAGGCCTGTACTGTCCTATTCACTCGCTCAGTCACAACGTTTGCAGGCCTACAACATACACAATATCCAATATGTTAAACTCAGCAAAAATAGAGGATCTTCTGTAGAGGATGTGTTCATTTATTTTCACTTGGAAAATCAGCAACATTTTTATTAAGTCATGTGCAAATGTTTCAACAACTAGGGGTGTTCAAACTTTCGGACATGCCTTTCAAATGAGCAAAGAATGTCCAAAATGGTTTAAATGTGATCATTTTTCTCACTTGAACATATAGCAGGAAGCCTTGGGACCTTGTCTTTTGTAATACAGAGCAATGCCATCGTCACCGCCGTGTGTGTGGCGCATTCTGTCCACATCCAGCCTCCAGCCTTGTGTGTTGTACTGGTACACCTCAGAGCACTGCACTTCAAGCTGCAAGCGGGGGGTGATTATACTCTCCAGTTTGTCCTCCACTGAGTGTTCACACCAGTGACTAACATTCAAAAGAAGAAGTTAGTTTTTGCCAAAGGTAGAACCCTATCAGCACAGTGGAAAGTACAGTACATTGCAGCAGTTTTACAGTTGACTTTGGCATTTATTATGAGGGGGAGTCAAAGAAAAACACTTGGAAATATGAAGCATCTAAAAAGGAGAAGCTGATTTATCTACTTCCTTATCAACGCTTGTCTTGAAACAATTAGACCAACATCACTAAAATAGCACTTCAACTGATCAGTACTGATGCATTATTTCTGAATCTAATAGACTTCAGAGTGCTGAGATTTGTGTATTACAAATGTATTAGAGGTAGATTGTAAATGATTTATAACTTACAGAGCAATGTTGAAACCTACATTGTCACTGAGCTTTCTTTTTAATAATCTTAGTTATGAATCCAAAAAAAGTGGAAAAGTTTGCATGATTAGTGTGCCCCACACCGAATATATATTTTGCCACAACTTTTTACAAATCTATCCCCCCACACAACAGCACACTTGATTATGCAATATCAAGTGACACCTGCTCACATTTAAATCACAACCTGCAAAATTCACATACTGCATGTTCAGTCCTCTGTTGTACGTAAGAACCACTTACACAGTCATTATGACACCATTTAATGCTAATCTTTCTGGGCTTTAAGGAACAAAAGTCACAGTGAAACTAAACCTGGAAGTTCAGACACCTACATTATGTCACAAGGGCACCTTGCGATCAATGTTTTTCACTGGTCTAGGAATACTGTGGCCTCCACCTATCACAATTTTCTGGATGCAGCAGTGGCTCAGTTTCTCCTTCTGGCTGACCTCCTAACACTCTTCCTATTCCACACCCAAACAGAGCTTTATGAGCAATAAAAGCTGCACATTGAACGTGGACAACACACAGGAACACTGTGAAAATTACATATTGGCAAGTTAAATTTTCTTAAATATTATATTGACTAGATTTATCATTATGAGACTGTTGTGAGAATACAAGATCAAATCAACCTATTTCTACATTTTTATTTACTATTATTTATTTTTTACCAGTTTTAGATTTTTACTAGATTTATATCCAGTGAAATGGTCTTATTCAGATATTACTTCTCAAAGCAAGCACAACTATCTGCCAGTGGAGGACAATCATTTTGTTAGATAAAATTACTTACAGTTTTTTAGCACAAGTTTGTGCACCCTGCACTTCTGCACATTTTAATGCACAATTACTGTTAATTTGTTGAATTAAAATTAGAAAAAATAAACATAAAATGTGGCCTGTGTAAAAGTTATGGCACATTTTCTATTTCATGGTTATTTTCCTCTCAATATGTTGAATTCAGCAAATGAACAGAAACAGTGTGTTCACTGTAGAGGATGTGTCCACTTATTGTCACTTAGAAAGCCAAGAAGACATAAAATGTTCAAACTTTTGCTGTTTTACCGTAACACAAGGAAAAAATGTGAAGAAACAGATTAAATAACATTTAAATGTGCTTACAACTTTGTCATAATGAGAAATATTAGATATATTGACTAGTTTTAAGATGATTCACTTCTCCTGGCTTTCTACTTTTCTTTTTTAATATTTAAGACTGAGATCCTCTTTAAAAGCTTATGGTGTTAAACAAACATTCATATTCTTCAGTTTCTTAATTCTGGGAGAGTGAAATTAATGCTAAAACACAATGTGGAACAATTATTTTATTACTTCAAATATCCCAATTTACTCTATAAATTCAAAGTTACTCATATTGCCATTTATATAATTCAACAGTAGATAACATGCATACGTTTTGGGCATGTCCCATTGTGGAGGTATTTTGGTCCTATGTTCAAGACACACTGTATTTTTGGGGGGAAATCTGCACAAAGTTTTTTGGACTTTTACTTGAGGACTCAGAAAAAAACATTCTCTATTCATGTAAAAAGTATTTCGCTGGCCAGCCTTACAGCAGCCAAAAAGACAGTTTTGAAACTTCGGTTTGAACCCTCCGCTCCTGCTCACCTTATTAGGCTTGCTTATTTTTGTGACATTGTCCTCCTGAAATACACATTGGCTAGAATAAATGAGGCCAAAACAAGAATGAGCGTGTCCCGGTCGAACACTGGTAAAGAACAGTAGTAGTGGTAAAGAAGAGTGTTTGGAAACTCTTTAATATTTAAATGTGTGTTTTCTCCTCGTTTGCAACACTGAACATCACTACTATCATGATTAGTATTACTACGATTGGTATCCAATATTAACTAGTATCTCTATAGCACTACTATGGTGAATAATTGTGGAGACATCTTGGGCTTTGTGCGTATAGTTTTTATGACTTACTTGTCTATGAATTTTGCTAAAAAAAAAACAAAAAAAAACACTTTTTCAGAAGACTGTTTTTGCAGTGCAGGTACTTTAGGCTAAAAGACTGGTAGATGTTTACCCTATTCCCATGACGAGACGCAGCCCCAACAAAGACACAAGCAAAGCCTTCATAATGTCTCCAAGTGCCTTTGTTTCCTTGCTGAAGTGAAAGGGAAAGCTGAAAAACAAAATTTTGAGTCAAGTGAGGTACTCTTGGATGCAGATTGTTGTTGTTACTGTTGCTACATCATTGTATTTGCAAGAAAATGTGATGTGCCACAACAAGTTGTCAGCCCTCATTTTCAGCATTTTGGAACAGACACAAACTGACATAAATATTTGTGCAACAGCAATGATATTAACCCATCACTGCCCCACCCCCCCATGCAGCACAAGTACACATATCCAAATTCATTTATACCATTCAAAATACCTTTTTGAAATCTGTTCTACTGATGTGCCTTGAGTATGCACCATAAAGTTACAAGATATGGCTTATTTCTTTCATCATTCGAGTCATAAATTTAAGTCATTTACAACATGATGACACACCTCTGCCTTCCATGTGATGCAATGTACAGATTCAAAATCCAGTGCAAATTTCAGATGATGTTTTAAAAAAGGAATTAGGCAATCAAGCTTGAAATGAGTTACCTGGGTCTTCAAAAGATCTTTTCACTTAAGTTCCAACAGGATTCCGTCACTTTCCTCTAAGATTGTTTTGTTCAATTACCATTTTAAATCTCTGCACTTGGTCTTGCTTTTTCCAGTGTTGTGCATAGTTTCGGTTTCTCCTCGACTTGATGTTCTGTGCAGAACTTCAATGTCTATTCCTTTTTTCACTTTTGGTCACACATGCAGTGCAGTTCCTCTGTAAGAGTCATGGACCTGCTTGTAAGCCCGACCGGTGTCTTTTAAATGGCAGGGGATTCACAGACCTACAGCAGCATCTGAGAGGCATGCAATTGGAGGACAAGTCATGGAGCCACAGCTGCAAGGTCAGCCATTAGTTGTTCGTCTGCTGATGACAATACTCAGTGGTCAGTCAGAGGAGGGAGGTAGGAGGGTTAGACCCAGAGCCTTTTGCTAAAGAGTTGTTTGTGCAGGTCTAATCCTATAAAGAAATGCTTTAGTGGAGGTATTTCAGCAGCGTTTATTTAATAAAGTGTGTCAATAGGGAAGAGCCAGGGGGCATGCAGCCTGACCAGTATCACTAGCCTGGAGCTTTGACTGTGGGGGAAGGCACAAACCCTGCTGCTTTCATACCCAGCACTTCCTGTAGTGTGATTTCTCATCACTCTGTACCCTGCCAGACACAACAGCTTAAGGCAACCAAAATATTACACACAAATGATTCAAATTACTTTTTCAAAATATCAAAAATACAGCCATGTAGAGCAATGACTCAAACTAAGCATTTTGCTGACGCTCCATTCTGAGAATCTGGTGACGACTCCTTAAACGCATATAAATCTGCCGCCAGAGGAGTTACAGCCCGTGCATGTTCACACTGGTCAGAGTGAAATGTATCAGTGTGTAGAATCTGAGTTTTCTGTGTGCTACCATATTTCCCATCACTGTATAAAAGATGCACAAGGCTCTTTTATTATTGGATTGCTCATTCAGAGCAATTTGGTTTAGAAGGTGCTTATAAAAAACTATTGATTTGTTTATTAAGACTAATAATAAAATGTGACTGAAAATGTGAATGAATGAAGTATATGCCTTATAAGTAAAGTGTTTACTTGCTCAAAAATATAATTTGTGAGGCAAATCTATGCATTTTTGGTTTTGTTAGATCATCTTCTTTACAGATCAAATAAATACAATAACAGCATTCAGAAATGACTTTATTAAATGAGAAGAGCAGATAAAGCAGCATAAATAGGCACACTAATATTTGGCCTCACAGGCTTAAATATTTACTGAACTACTGAATTTGCTCTGATTAGAAGTTGGTGCTGTGAGACTTGGGGTTCTTGCAGTTGCTTCAGTTTTTCTGCTTTCCCCTGAATATTTACTGTAACATTCACACTTTGTTTAATGTCTATTGATATTAAATTCACGACAGTCTTTTGACACGAGGCGCACACATTTGCTGTAAAAGTATTCAAACTTCCAACTCGCCAGAATCGCCGGTTCTCAATATTAAGTTTGTGTTTCATGGCTGTAGTCTTGAGTAAATTTAATTTAGTAAATTAAGCTGCGGGTCTTAAACTTGTGAGTGCATTATACTGTAAATTTGCAGTACTACTGCCACCATCAAATGAAAGGAAAACCTGCAATGTATTGGCTACTGGGCTACTTATAACACACTCTAAAACAGAAGACATGGGCCAATTAAAATCTGTCATTAGGCCGCATTTGGCCCTGGAGCCACACTTTGGCAATCCCTGGCTTAAGGAAAGGTAAGACAGCAAAACAGTCCTCATAGCAAGTGTAGGTCAATGTTTATGGAATCAAAACAGGTAATTTCAGAAACATGACTAGTATTTCATGGAAAATAAGAAAAACAAGAAGTAAAAAATTTTACATAAGCATATATACACTGGAGCAAACTGACACAATTGTCTCTAAATTTTCCTTCCTCCATCAAGCAAAGGAAATCTTCGACAGACCTCCTCAAAACAAACCAGCAGCGAGAACGGCAGTGGAAGTAAATCACAAGTTGGAGGGAAAACATTACCTGCTCGAAAGCACAGAGCCAACTGTGAGATTCGGCAGTGGAGAAATAATGGTCAGGGGCTGTTTTTCATGGTTTGAACTGAACCCCAGTGAATAGAAATCCTAATGCTACAGCATACAATAAACAAATTCTAGAGACCTGTGTGCTTAAAAACTTTGTGGCAAAAGTAAGGGGAAGACCCAATGCACCCATGCACAAAGGAAAGTTCATAAAGAAACGCTCTGCTGAGTGTGAAGTGGAAGAACTTGAGTTGCCTGCACCTCAACACCAACAGTCCCTTGGCGTCAATTGGAACAGGACGGGGGAGACAGGCCTTATCACCCAGTGCCGGTGTCCAACCTCTGGTGCTCTTGTGGCTGGATGGAAGTGAATCTAGCAGCCATGTTCCAAAATCTAGTGGAAAGCCTCTCCAGAAGAGGCTGTTATGGCAGTAAAGGTGGAACAGACTCTATATTAATGTCTATAGTTTTGTAATAAGATGTTCAACTAACACGTGTCCACATGCTTTTGTAATGAATTTATGACCACCTGACTATCTGTATTTGTTTGATAATTAAGGGAAAAATAGAACAAAATCATGAGCTGGAGAGCTGTGACCAGCGCCATCCAAAAGTACTGAGGTCAGACCTTTTATTGCAGTGAAGGTGAACGGCTTCAAGTTCCAGTTGAGTAAAACAGTAGCTTCTACAAATTTGTGACTCAAGAAGGAGAGGAAGCAGCTAAATTGAGTCTCACATACAACATCTAAGATTATTATATGCACCCTCCCTTCTCCACCATCAATACATTTTATTATCCATCTCCTATCCAGCTAATGGTTTTTAAAGCCTCCTTCCTTAATGACAAGGGTTTTTATAGTTAACTAAAACTAATTATTAAAACAAAAACTAGCAACTGTTATCTAATAAAAATAAAATAAAAATGCCACTTTTCAAAAACACAAAAGCTAAATCAAAACTATGTCTACTACAAACTAAAACATAATGGAATTACTGAGACAAAACGTTTCGCCGTCTTTAAGGAAAGCTGGAGCTGAGCAGAGTTCAGTCTACTGTTGTCTTAGTTTTATTCTGGCTACTATCACAGCTTTCATCATAACACTAAAAACTAAAACTGAAACGGAATAAAAACTAAACTAATACTATTACTTTGTAGAAAATAAAAACACAACTAAACCCAATAATGTGCCCTAAAGGCTAAATAGGCTAAACTGAAATCAAAAACCAAACTTAAAAACTAAATAAAAAAGAAAAAGTAATGAAAATCTAAAAACTATAATAATCCTGTTTCAGAGGACATCTTAATCTGTTTAAATAAAAGTAGACTGATAATTGTAAATATTTGTGATATTCGTGATTTTTTTTCCCACACAACGTCAGGACATACAAAACAGGGAGTTTATGAATTGCTGTAATTTGCATTTGTAAGATACACCGTTTTCCTTCTGTGTTATGTTATCTATTAAATTGGTTTAGTTTTGAAATGCGCTGAAACAAATTCCTTTTAACTCTGTTGACACAGCAAACAGTAATACTACTATACATTTCTGACACTATCATAGAGCAAATACCTCTCTTAATGTATACATTAGCCATGTATATATCTATATTGTTTATCTTACTCATGAATAAATATTTGTCTTCTAGAAAAAAAAGACACTGTGTCATCCAGCATGGTAGTTTTGAAGACGTTTTAAATGTTTATGTTTCACAGAAATATTTTCCAACCAAAGGCAAACCTGTAATCATCTGCATCCAACTTTTGTTTTGACAGTTTTATGATCTGTCATTGGCCAATCGGTTGCAAGTCTTGAGATGTGGGTGGCTGATAAAAGCAGCAACGCCAGAAGAGAAGAGTTCATTTCATATATTGCTTTCCTTCTGCTAGGACTGTAGAGGAAAGGCTACATCTGCTTGGACTGGACCGAGTAAACAGATTTCAGCTGCAGAACTGACACACTCAGAACAGAGCAACCCTCAAGAGTTGGGTACAGGCATAATAGGGTAAGTCCATTCAGCGTTTTTTCCTTTTAAAAACTGCATTGTTCTTGTCAAGCTTTTCTATTTCAAATGTAGGGCCACTGAAAAAGCCTTACATAAAAGGGGTTATATAATGGTGCTATAAAAGTGCTGCAGAAAATGTGAGAAATAACTCACTTTTTCACTTGAGAGCCATTAAACAATTTGGCCTGCAGCACTTGAGGAGTTAAAGGCACAAGTACCCTTCTTATGAGCAGAGGTGAAGAAAGAGAAATTATTGTTGAAAGGTCTGCTCTAAGGATCGTGAACTACATACTTACTGGCCTTGAGGGAATGCTTACTGTATGAACGTATAGATAATCACTGGCAGGCTTGGAGCAACTTTATGGCATTGGAAGAAAAATGAGAGTCTCCTGGGAGTGGTTATCTAGTGTCAGCATTTTGGTTGGACTTTTTCCTTTCCAACTGAAGATGAGAACCAAACAAAAGGGGTAAGAAAGAATGAGGGTAAGGGTGCATTGAGAGTGCTGCCAGAGCTTTTCTCTCCCATTTTGCTTTCATGGCTTTTGTTTGGCCTACATAGGCATAGTGCAAAGGTCTTGTCTGTGCATGCAGAGCCATTTATGGACATTTATGTTTTTGCTTAAATGTTCTTTGTGCTCCAAGCTGGTTCATTTTTGAGTGAAAAGTTTATTTTCTTTTTTCTAACTTTCTTTTTCTGCAGGGGTAGACATGTGGTTGTCTTTGGTGTTACTCCTAGCTTCACTAGTCACCCAGACTGCTACATCCAGGGAACGGGAATGGGCTCAACATGGAGCCTCCATGTTTGCTGATCTCACCCCTCGCGAGATGCATGCCGTGAGAGACTACCTTCACTCCCGCAGTGAGTTGGGCCTTGTTTCAGCCAAAGATAAGTCCCTCAAGAAGAACAGCATCCTCCTCATGGAGCTTCATGTTCCTCGAAAGCACGATGCCCTCCGGGCACTGGACAGAGGTCAGGCCAAACCACCACGTCAGGCTCGTGTGGTGGTACAGTTCGGCAACCAGGTCCATCCTAATGTAACAGAGTACATTGTTGGCCCTCTGCCTTTCCCAGATTTCTATCAGCTCAAGACCTTCAAAGGCAACCGACCTATTCGCTTCGAGTCGCGTCCAATCTCTTCTGTAGAATATGGATACGTGGATGCCATCTTGGAGAAGATTGGCAAGAAAGTGAACAAGATTCTGCATGAGAGCACAGGCTTCACTTTTTCAAACTGCACTGACCGGTGCCTGACCTTCTCAGACATAGCTCCACGTGGGCTGGAACCAGGAGAGAGGCGAACGTGGATCATGCTGCAGAAGTTTGTGGAGGGATACTTCATACACCCTGTGGGATTTGAGGTTCTTATCAACCACAAAGACCTGGATCCAGAGAAGTGGACTGTGGAGAAAGTGTGGTATAATGGACAGTACTTTGATAGTGTGGAGGAGCTGGTGGAGAAGTATGAGATGGGAACAATTTCTAAACTCAAGCTGCCCGAACATGATGAGCAGGACTTATACTCTACCTTTATTCCTCGTGGTCATAGCAATACACACACAAACATCCACGGGCCAAAGCTTGTGGAGCCTCAAGGTCCCAGATACAGAGTAGATGGAAATTTTGTGGAGTATGCAGGATGGTCCTTTGCATACCGTGTTCGCTCATCTGCTGGCCTCCAGGTTTTTGACCTTCGATTTAATGGTGAGAGGGTTGCCTATGAGGTTAGCCTGCAAGAGGCCATTGCTTTCTATTCAGGAGACACGCCAGCTGCAATGCAAACAAAATACATAGATGCTGGCTGGGCCATGGGGACCTCCGATTATGAGCTTGCACCAGGTATTGACTGTCCTGAAATCGCCACCTTTGTGGACATGTATCATTTCTATGACACTGACAAACCTGTCCGGTATAAGAATGCATTATGCATCTTTGAGATGACTACAGCCTTACCTCTCAGGAGGCACTTCAATAGTAACTTTAAAGGTGGCTACAACTTCTATGGGGGCCTTGAAAATCATGTTCTAGTGATCAGAACCACATCCACTGTCTACAACTACGACTACATTTGGGACTTCCTCTTTTATCAGAATGGAGTAATGGAGTCTCGAGTTAGTGCCACTGGGTACATCCATGCCACATTCTTCACAGAAAATGGACTGAACTATGGAACCAGGGTTTACAACTATGTTCTTGGAAATCTGCACACGCATCTTGTTCATTACAAAGTAGACCTTGATGTTGCAGGTAAGCTTGAAATTAGGTTTCAGTAATAAACCAAGAGACAGGAATGAATGTTTAGAGATCCATTGCCTTTATTACTAAACATTATACTACTGTTTATGCTTTCAAATAGAGCTAAAATAGCATGACCAGTTATCTGGAAAAAGACTAGTCCTAAACTTACCAGGACTCCTAATAAAGTATCTCCAATTTTCTGAAGCTGAAGCCCAAGCTCCACCTAACTGTACCTTGTTTCCAAAACCTTGTTTTCACGATTTTTCACTAATAAATTCTCACGTTTGACTATAAGAATTCTCTTCTCTTTCCATTGCTCAGGTCAAGACAACAGCTTTGAGTCACTGGAACTCAAATATGTCAACTTCACCAATCCTTGGAGTCCCAAACACACCATCAAACAATCCATCCTCCACAGGACAAAATATGAAACAGAGCGCAAGGCTGCCTTCCGCTTTGGCAAGAAGTTCCCTCGCTATTTACACTTTTACAACCCAAATCAGAAGAACAAGTGGGGGCACCAGAAGGGTTACCGTATTCAGTTTAATTCACATGCCAACAGCGTACTGCCTCGAGGCTGGAAAGAGGAGAATGGCATTCCATGGTCAAGGTATGATTTACTGCAAAAAGGTCAGTTAAATGTAAGACAAAAGTACTTTAAAGAGGTAAAATTATGTACCTACAAAGTGAGTAAACTTCATAATCAAAATATAGTCAAATATTTAGGTAAAATATGCTATATGTCCAAAAGTATCCAGATAAACCTTCTAATTAGTGGCGGCAGCTACTTTAAGGTGCAGCCACTGCTGACACAGGTGTTCAGTTGCACACACTGCTCGAGTAATTTTCACAGAAAAGCATTGACAATAGAATGGGACGCTCTGGAGCAGCTATACATGAGATATAGGTCACACGCCCAGTGTCAAGCGTCAGCTACAGGGGTATAAAGCCCCCCAGTATTGGGCTGTGGAGAAGCAGAACTGTGCTTTTTTAGAGTGCACCCTCCAATACCTTTGGAAAAAGCTGGAGTGGTGTTTGTGATCCAGAACTAATCAACATTTGGTACCTGACCTCAAACTGCTCTTGTGGCTGAATGCAATCAGACCCTCACAGCAATGTTCCAACATCTAGTGTAAAGAAGAGG